GCTGCTATTGGTGATTGGGAAGGAGGAGAAATCGTCTTCTACGAGCTTGGAGTGGTCATTGATCTGAAACCAGGAGATATCTGCTGGTTCCGCAGCACAGACATCACTCATTTCAACCTACACTTCAAAGGCCTCAGAGCATCATTTGTTCTGACTAATGATGGTGCTGGTAGACGCTGGGTGGAGAACAAGAATGGATGGCAGCCAACCGGCCATGTTCATTGATATGGCTGCTACACAACAATATTCTGATATAGCATAACTTCAGAAGCAACTGCATTGTCATTGATTCTTTACATTACTCGTGCCAATATAACTATATCAGTCTGTTGGCACCAGGTGCAGAGTGTAGGTATGCGGTGATCAGGAGCAAGGTTGGTAGGTGCCACAAGCCTAGGCGGCTGAAGCGCGACTCGCGGATTTCAACCACGACCAATCGGCCTACCGTACCGGTGGGAGCGGCTTGGAGAACACGACTTTTTGACACACTAACCGTGGGAAATTGATCGCTGGATAATCCTCCAGGCCCTTCTCACCGTTTTAGGAGGATATGATGAATTACGGAACGACTACCAATATAAAGCGAGGTGCGAGAATGGTTCTGGATTCAGTACTTCTGGGGCTATGCACTGACACCCCAATCATCCAAAACTGAGATGCCCGGAGGTCAGCCTGACCTCCTGGCTGGGACAGGGCTAGGGTAGGGGGGGAACGGGGACGAACTTATGGTCGTAAAAGTACAGTAGTACTAGGGGTACTGAGCGGGTGCTCACGGGTCGCTGACTGGACCGCTCAATCTGCATCGGTATGGAATTTGAAACTCTCGCCTCCTCAGTCGGAAAAAGAGTAATTGAAATTCTATCCTGTGTTTTCACCTCGCGCATTCTTGAAAATCTAACATATCGTATATGCCTAATTGTTCTTATAATGTAGCTGTAGATACGCTCATCGTGTTCACTTGAAATTCCCCACTCGGTAGTTCTTGAAATATCAAAAGGCATGCTGAATACACTCGGTTTTAAAATGTGGGTATATGTTTCCGTCTTTTGTGATTGAGCGACCGATCTTCAAAATCTCATCCGCGCACGGTTATAAATTCAACACATATCTGAACTCTGATCTCACCGCCGTGACTCGCAGCACAGCGAGCGACGGACAATCAGCTGACATGTTCGCGGATGTTGCGCAGCATTCGCTCCCAATCGGCGCACTTTCCACTGGGCGGGAAGAACCGAAATGCTCTATCACGACTAGAGCCGCGCGTCGAGCACCAGACTACCTGTGACTGCCCATTCAGCAGTTCGTCAAGGAATCCAAGGAGTGCGCGTCTGGGCGTGTATTGCGGGAAATACGGCCCTTGCTCAGATCCTCGTCATCCCTTTTGCCGCTAGTGACATTGTCTCTTCGACAATGCCCGCAAAACGACCCAGAAGATCTGGTTTGACTGGTGTCGAGCTCGCCAGGGCTGTGGACGCAATTCAAGCGTTGGTGAACAAGTCGCGAGAGGAGCAGGCGGTGAACAGGGACGATCCAGAGCTTGAGGCCGCGTTCGACGACACGGCGGAACTCCATCAGTTGGATGACATTCTAAAGATGCTGCAATCGAAGGCTGATGGCCCACAGGTTCGTATGATTGATGGCATGCACGCTACGATCTAAGTTGCTTCTCCAGAGCTATTCGTTTTCCAACATGACCCAGGATCATTTGGACAAGCTGGGCATCTCCGCCTTCGGACTGCTCGAATTGAAGCCCAACGCAATTCCTCGTGCGGTCCAGACAGATGCTCTTGGAGCAGATTCCCTCTGGTCGTCTGATATGCTCTGCCGTCATCTTCAGTTTCTGGAGGGTCTCGTTCCACGAACAGTACGTTCTCGTCATGCCTTCGTTAGAACCACATTGACGGATAATTGTCGCTCAGAATGAAGCTGCAGCACGTCTGTGGATCAATGCCTTCTTTTACCGTGTCGCTGTCATGATCTCGAGTGACTCGAAGATGGTGTTGAGCGTTGAACAAGTCGTCCCATCCGTCACCGTCAGTAACACGAGTGCCCACACACTCTCCGGATACATAGATTGGACAGCTGTAGTGATGTCCGCTCATAAAGCCAGTACGTCTCCTTCGTCCGTCGTCTGAACGCTTGTACTCAACATCCTGCAGATATATACTTGCGAAACCCTTTCTTGCAGCACTTGAAGAATGACGAGTCTGCCTTGTTTGTTTCTGAAGCCAAAGGTCCCGACCAGCTCCTTCAACATCACGTACCGCAAGCTGTCGGGGAGATGTTAGCGTGCGCAAGGACCGCAAGGTCAATCAAGTCTTGGATTCTTGTGCGATGCTATTTTCATCATTACTTTTACTCAGGAAACCTATAATTCGCGGTGTCCTGACGAATGGACGTGCGTGGATATTCATCATTCTCAAGCTCAACGACAAGGGAGGTGGCAGCTACCTTCAATCTGAGGAGCTCAGTATCTCCTCGCTGGTGTTGTCGGAAATCTCACAAGAGGCAGTCTCTTTGATTTCCGCAATTATTTCCCATTGGGTATGCTTCACTGCATGTCGTTCAGGAACCCTGCTAACCCTTCTTTCACTCGGGTTAGATGGTGCATAGTCACGAGGAGCTCCATGGCGAAGATGATTATTTTACTATACTATGATACCCAGTTGACGATGTATGGTCGATCGTTTGGAATAGCCACTTTTGGCGGGCTCTGGACGGATAACGTTTCAATTGCGTACTCGACGCCGTCGCCGATCATGACCGCAAAGTCTGGGGCAGTAGCGTTTCAGCTGACAAAGAACACGTCGTCTTGCACGGTCGCACCTGGAACAAACTTCTCCATTACCGCCTAGACGATCTGCCAAAGCGATGCCAAGCGGTTCAGGAATAGCCTTAATATGAGCAATAGAAGATTGATGTGCACGTACGGGAGTGGGTATGAACGAGAGCGACGTCCCCGTATTCAAGATGTCGAAGATTTGCGTCGACAGCGCAGTTGAACTCGGGATCTCGCAGGAATCCACCGTCACGCCGTAGCAAACATCCGTCTTGGCGTTCGGTATGAATCCACTGAAAAGCAATACGGGGGCGGAGGCGGTCGCGTTCGTGACCGATACAGGCGCGACTCCGCCCAATGCGAGCACGCCTTTGTTGGGCTTTTCGTCGCCGCCTCCTTCGTCCGCGAACGTGCCAGGGCTAAGAGATACTGAGAACACTGGGAAACTTGCGTTAGCCCTGCAACGTGTCATGAGATCCACTGGATTCGCCTGGCGTTGACGATGCGCCCTGGTTGATAGCTCTGAAGAGGAAGGGGTTGTAGGGAACGAGGTTCGCGGGAGTATCGAGGATCTCGTTGTATACTGTCGTGAGCGCGGGGTACGGGAGGCCTAACAGGCCTCCCTCGATGCCGGCATCGTTCCATGCGGTCATATTCGGCGAAGGTCTCTGGACAGGGTGAAATGATGTCGACGCTCGACGCGGACGTTCGACATTGCTACGCGGTGCCCATGTACATCCTTGTTCAGGGCGACGCTGGTCTTTGCGAGCGCGGACTTGTAACGGTGGCCACGATACTTTTATGCCAGGTTGCGTACATTCACCGGTGCTAAATATTGCCGGCGTCAGTAAACGGCGTAGAAGAGAGATGTATGATTAGTACAACATTCGTGTTAATCTGGAGGCCGAAATGCGACCAGGTTAGATGCTTTCGGGGCCTTTTGCGTGTCCTGAATCCTGTTACAGGCCCTGCTTGGCATGTGCAGGCGACGATGGTTCGAGCTGTCTAAGCTTCTTTGAACATGGCGCCGTGGGATATCCTGGACGTGAGAGTAAATGAACGGCTGCACTAATCAGATGGGTCTACGAATGTCAACACACACTTTGTTGATATCACAGGTTTTTGGAGATCGGCGCTTCAACGGATCGTCGGGGGTTGCGCAACCGCTGAGGAGGCGGTGACAGGATGTTGGTCTCAAGCGACTGATACCATCGAATGGAACTAGTGCTTGACATGTTGTTGGCTGGGACGGCGCAGGCTTATCTGCACGGTCGATGATGATCACGGCGCTCCACGATGACGGTAGCGGGTCCTGTGCAAAGGGTTAGTATAGATAGACTGAGCCCATCATGATACTACCTAGAATACCTAGGGTAGGTTCTTCGGGCGCCCGGCGTGCAGAAAGCAGTCCGCCTCACGGTCACCTGAAATTTTGAGGACACCCTACGACCGCAAGGCAATGGATCGAAGAGGATATAACACCCACTCGACACGGAGAGGCGCTTGCACTCGCGCCGCCGGACGAAAGGAGAACAACGCGAAGGGCGGCCATTACCGACACGCGGCGACGGCCATTGGCTCGGATTGGCTCGCGCAAGCTAAGAATACATCCGCGCGTCGGATTGGGCCCAGACCGAGCGACACGCGCCGGAGCGATTACTTACGAGCCCCAGGTCGCCGCGCTGCCCCGTTCACAGGCTTTGCCCTATCCTCCGTCAGCGCCAACGCGGCCCACGACGACGACGAGAACGACGAGCTCTCGGCATGGCTCTCAAGGACGTCGTCGTGTCCCGCTCGACGGCCTCGTCACTGTCCACGACGACCACGGTCAATACAGTCGGCACCGCGCTCGTCCGCGCCGTCCGCAAGCCAAGGCTCATGGCGATTAGGTACGTTGTGGCCGAACGCAACACGCACCCCGAGCTGCGCTAACGTTGTCCTCCCCACACAGGATACGCCAACGCGCGCGCACCCGCCGCACTGGGGTGACGGCACTCCCGCCGCATTATACCATGCTCCCGCCCGAGCTATGGCTCCTCATCTTCCGCTTCGCTACCATCCCCTCCCCATTCCCGTCGGATACGTCGTTCATGGCCGCCCCCGCCCTCTCTCGTGCCGCGCACTTCCGCGCGATGCAGATGAAGCGCACCCTATCGCTCGTGAACTCCATCTGGAATCGGCAGATGCGCGAACTGCTTTACGAGTTCGTCTGGCTGACGAGCGCGGCCCAGGCACACCTCCTCGCGCTTGCCCTCAGGCGCGACGCTTCCCTGGATTGGCCCCTATCTCCTCGCTCCCCTGGGCTATGGATCGCCCGCATACGATTGGAGACCGACCTACTCCACCGTTGCGACCCCGCGGACGTGCTCACTATTTTACACCACGCGCGCTACGCCGAAGCATTCGAGGACCAAGTCTCGATCCGGCGCTCGAGCTATGCTGGAAAGCACATGCTCGCGGATCCCGCTGCGATGGGTCGACTCCTCGCGCGTTCACGCCCGGCCGACGCACCTCCTCTCCGAAGGCTCGCATGGACGACATACGACGACACGCCGTTCGACGTCGAGCTCTCGCCCGTTCTGACACCAAGCGGCCGGTTCGCGCAGCTCGAGTACTTCGAGCTCACGACGCTCGCCGTGGACCCTCCGATCGCTGTGCGTGCGCACGCGCCGCACTCAGAGGGCCTAAACCTCCCAGCCCTTCGCGCACTCAAGCTCTCTCTTGCGGACGCCACCTTTGGCATTATCGCCACCTGGACCCTCCCCGCGCTTACATCGCTCTGCGTCCTCCTCGCCGATGCTTCCTACGCCCGCGCCGGCGTGCGCGCTTTCTTCCTCCAACACGGGGCCTCACTCAAACAGCTCGAACTCGCGCACTCCCCCGCCATCCTCGCGCTCACCGCCATCTCACGCACCGGGAACGCAGACGAACTCGCGCGGCGCGAAGTCCGCGCCTATCTTGCTGATTGGACTCCGAGTCTTGAAGAGCTCGTCGTGAGCTGCGACGCCGAATGGAATTGGACCGACCCGAATTGGGCCCCGGCGCACCCGCTCATACCGGCGCACCCCACTCTGCGCATGATCGGCGTGCGCGATTTCGACGTCTGGATCGGACGCGCGCTTGCCCGGTTCCCTGCAGGCTCAGACTGGGACTATCCGGAGGAGGGCGAGGACGCGGTGTTGAGGCCGCTGGCAGAGCAGGTAAAAGTCCTGCTCTCCCCGGAACGGTTTCCGAAGTTGCGGTTCGTCCGCGATCTGTCCGCCGCCTCGGACGAGATGCGAAAGCTTCCGGGTGACAGCAAGGAGCGGCCGCGACGCGCAGTGGTCCAGTTCTGGCTGGACACGGTGAGGAGGTGCGGTGAGCGCGGGGTGTACATCGAAAATTGGAAGGGGGACAGCATCCGGGTCAGGGATTTGCAGAGGGCTGGCGGGCTGGTGGGAAGTCCGCAGGTGAAATGATTTAGGGAACGATACAAAAATTTCTTGCTTTCGATCTTTCGCTTTCAATGCTTGCTTTCGTCGAAGAAAAGGTTGATCTCTAGCCACGCTGTGTACAATAGACCACCCTCAGTTGCATATACCATCACCATGCTTGCTGTAGAGCTGAAGTCGGAAGCGACCCGGATGGTCCTTCCGCCTAAGTACTATCGATGCACCACCAATGTCATTTTTTGTGTTGTTAGTGGTACACAGGCTTTGTTTCTGCATATATACCCTTCAGAAGTCGTCCCTAACCCTCGGTGGATGAGGAAGAGTGAATTCGAGATCATGGTCAACAAAGCATCACGCTATAGTATCTCCCCACTCCTCGTGCAACCGGGGAAGCCTACACTACCGGCGATTTCGGCTCTGCCCCATTGCTCCAGTAGGTCCGGAAGCGGCGCTTTGCTTGATCTCCTCCTCATCTAGCCCAGCGTCAGCTAGGATCCTTTCGATTTCTGCCAGCAATGGTTTATATTCGGCTGTGAATGTGCATAAGCAGATCCTACAAGTGTTCAGTGCCAATCTGTGCTCACAATATCTCTCCTCTGCTAGGGTAAAACCATCGCGACGCAGCAACTTGCCACGATTGTCGCTTGATCCATACGCCTTTCCAGCCCAGTAATCACCTGTCAAATGGGTGAGGGTTGTCGGAGTTGGATGCATCAGCACACGTACGGGATCGAGCATAGAACATGGCTAGTGTCTCTCCAGGCAGAGGCGTGCTAATCGCATCCTCCGCCGAACGTGTCGTATCTCGGGAAACACCCATGAAGACGGTCGCTCGTGCTCTCAGCGTGTCCTGGTAGTGAGAAGATAAGCGTGAAGATTATAAAGGATCGCCCACTGCCGATACTGATGCACGAACTTCGTTATCGACCACCGTATCTTCAGTCTCGTGCGCAGATGCCAGAACAATGCCCGTCGCGAATTCTTGCTCATCCTCACGCACGCTTTCCATCTCCCGCTCGTCTTCCGTATCGCTGCTTTCTCGATGCTCACCGTCGGGGCTGACTTCGCTGTCGTCGTCGCTCTCGTCATCCCCTTCCTCGCTACTGCTCTCCTCCTCTTCTTCTTTTGGTATGTGAATCCCACTTTCTTTTAGACATATGTATCGATCCATCTTGTCGAGGGCGATGGTATAAAAGTCGTCCAACGTGTATTCTCTTCGACGACTTTCGAATATGCCGCCGTATCTAGAACAACCAGTGTCAGTGGTGCGTATTACGATTATGTCCGGGCAACATGCATATATAAATTGTTGCGCAGGACGGCCAACATGGCATTATATCGCGGAAGGGGTATTGTTGAGGTGGGGTCGTCCGAGACGCCTTGTGGCTCCGGCCTCGACTCAGGGAGTTTGATCGCGATTTTAGTATCCGTTCTGGTGATATCCTGGACGGAGCTTTAACGCGCTGATTCATCAGGGTCCATCGTCGTACCTCGTCGCTGCCGCCTTCCCGATCACTGACATCCTCACGATCCGCCTGTTCGTGCATTCGCTTTGATTGCTTCTTCTTCGCCCCTTTCCCTTTCTCTTTAGGCTTCTTGAGGGTCATTGATACCCAACGTCCATTTCCCGCGATCTGATATCCGTAGCTGCGAATTGCGTAAGCAGTCATGTCCAATTCCGAGAAACCAAGGCAATTCTACTCACAGATCATTATGGAAAGTGCTCTCCAGTGTTTCTTCGCTCGTGTCCTCGTCGGTCACGCCTCCGAATAGAACACCCATGCCCTTTGCGGGCCACAGTGCCATGGTGCAGCCTGAGCGGAGCGAAGGAGCGTACGCAGTCGAAGGTCGCTTCCGTCGCTCCCATTTCAGTAAAAGCGGTAGTGCATCATTCGCCTTCTTAGACGGTCTTGGGGATGTGGAAGGAGTCGACGAGGCAGAGTCGTCTGTGCTTGAGGCGGTGATACTACGGCCCGTATCAACGAGACGTCTTGAGGCGCTGGTGGTTGACGTACCGGAGAAACCAGGTGTCATCGAGCATGACACCAATGGGGCGCTTCCCTTTGGCGTATTCCTTGCAATACCCGCCTAATCTATTCTCAGCAGCTGTGTCACTTGCACGACGTGCGATAGACACACCGTGAAGCAAAATCCCGTCCGCGGCTGGCAGGAACGAGAATCCGCTGCGTGGGCTGTATGTACTCAGGGTCGTGTTCGGGGGCCAGATATCAGGCTTGTTGGACTGACGAAGGGCGGCGGTCATTCTCCTTGAATTCGACGTGATGCCAACGGTAGTACTGGGTGTCGAAAACCCACAAGTCATCGAGGTAGCGTGCTGGAGAAGAAACGATTGAGGTTATTTATATTTACGCCAGATGACAGTGGTGCGTAGTCTGACGTACTCGTGATTCCTGGATCATAGAAACCTCCGAACAGGAAGATGTACTGCTTCCACATTGCCATCCTGTAGCGATGTAAACGAGCCAGGAACGTTGCACGACTAACATGGCATATGGGTTTCGTGCGAGAACAGATGCACGCACCGATGACCCGAACGTGCGGATGGCCGAACCTTGGTATCGATACGGTCCCAAACGTGGCTAGAGATATCGAAACACCAGAAGTCGCGGTAATGGTGAAACGTGTTCTGGTACAATGACGAGTATTCGCCACCTTTCATGTCTGTAAACATCCGGCCCTTTTCGTAAACATGTGAAGGGCACGATACCGAAGAGATACAACTTCCCGCCGCCGGCGGGGCTAGCTGCGACAGCGTGTGCAGAGCGGGGATCAGGACAGGTGGGAGATACGAATTTGCGCCATTCATCCTGTTCAAATGTCAACATTGCTGTATCAATCACGGTGATTGCTAACCTTCTCCGGAGTGTATCTGAAGACGTCTTTGTAGAAATGCTGAGCAAAAGGGATTAACTAGACGAAGCCCGCATCAAGCGATGCACTGACCGCTTTACCGTCCTCAGAGAAGAACTCGCCCCCGATGCACCATAGATGAGGTCCAATCGGACAGGGGGTAAGCGTCGCATTCACTCTTCTGCTCGGCGGTCCTTCCACGAGCTCCTCGCTGACGGTATGTGCCGCCTCCCAGTCTCTCCGCATCTACTGATAGGATACAAATCAGATTATTTTGTTTATATATATGTTCGCGTTGCGAGGTACCTTGTCTAGTATTCCTTCGAGATCGTCGTCGTCGGCGTCGTCGTCCTCGGCTTTGGTCTTGTTCTGTTTCCTCTTCTCCTTTCGCTCGATCTTTTGTGTGGCCTTGGCCTTCTTCGCTGCCTTGGCGGCAGCCTTTGTCGCATTCCCAGTCTTTTTCTTGGCCATGGTCAGTACGAGAAGATAGATAAGTCGAGCATGAAGCGGTGATTACATCCATTCAAGTTGCATCTGTACTTCACGTGGCTATCGCGTCCTCGTCGCTCGACGATCATGCTCCTGTCCTCAGCCAGCTTCGTCGTCCGCGTACGACCGCAACTGAGCGCGGCTTTCAGCCTCGGCGGATTATTTTCCTTCGGGACCGCGTCGGCATCAAAGGGCGGGAATGTCACTGCGTATACCATCCGCACGCCTCCGGCTACCTCACCTCGAGAAGTGCCCACTCCGCTAGTCTTCCTATCGTCTAGCGCATGGGATGGGGCGAGCGCTCAGAGGTGAGTCTTCTGAAGCTGCTGCAGGAATGTTTCCCGCTGAACACCTGGTTTCTAGCATGCGCGACTTCGCGAGCATGTTTGCGGAACGAGGCTACACTTGCCTGGAGATAGACCTCGGCCGCCCAGAGACAATAGGATCCTCAGAAGCATTGATGTCTCATTTTATGCAAGGCAAGTAGCGCAGTGATCTCGTTGTCGTGTTGTTGATTGGATCCCTGGCCGCAGAATTGCGCTCGCATATACGCCTGACTGCCATTCCGTTTGCACCCGTGTTGATTGCAAGGGATGGAGGCACTCTCATCGCCCAAAGCTACGTCGAATCCAACCCGGCTACAGGCCTAATCATGATTTCACCACCTGCTTCGAACACATCTTTCGCTACCAGCTACTCGTCTCACTCAACGCGCTTGCCGACCCCTCTTCCTGAGTTTACGTATGAACCGAAGTTTCCCATCGCGATCCTCGGCTCTCCCTCAGAGATCGTATCTCTGAAAAGAGATCATCGCCTGGGAAAAATTGGAAGCCAAGGAGGTTCGTCACGGTGGACGAGAGGAGGCGTCCATTGGCTTCAGGTTCACGATACCATGGGCCAAGAGGCGCGTACCCAGATGGAGTTGTGGTTGGATGAGATCGGGGTATAGCCGTTGTCAGCGAAGAGCCTTCCACATCACCGACCTCGTGTAAAGTTATTAATGCGCGTTGCATAGCAAAACTATCATTGACCTCATGTTTGCCATTTGAGATGTTACAGTACAGTCGCAAACGGCAGTACAACGAGCGCAAAGGTCGCGCAAAGTGAAATAAGCCCGCCCTTGTTCACAACGCGCATTGATTGACCAGCATTCGACGTTGTCGTAGAAGCGGAAACTGACGATGAAATAGACGTAGTCGTCTGCCTCCCAGGAAGAGTGCCGATCGGAGTAGTGAACACGGAGCGCGTGCTGGTGTAGGCGATACGCGAGCAATCAGCGATGTTATCCGGCCCAAACACGGTTCAGCTTACCTGGGGATGCTTGATGTCGTTGTCGTCGGCTGCAGTGCGCCTGCCAGAGCAACGTCGGAGTCCCACCTGGACACGATGGCAAAGTCGATGTCCGTGAATGTTGATCCGTTGCCGGTATTGGTAAGCACCAATGAGTGCTGCGTCGTAGGTAGGCCCGAGGCGTAGTACAGCAGCATTTGTGGCCGGAAATGGATCTGGGAACCATTATAATTTTGCCCAGGAAGGCCGTCGAGAGAGACGGAATAAGGCCCGTGGTTACCGGATGTGGCACCATAAACGGAGACGGCATTGCCTGCTGGCGGTGAGCGTCGCGCATTGTCGGTAAGGAGACCAAACTGACCAAAGAACGTGAGAGTGGCGGCGGCATTCGGAGCATTGGCTAGGCTGCATGGCATGCTAGTGAGCAGCGTATACGGCACATCGGTATATGCACGCACAAAAACGTGGAATTGTAATACTGAGGTGAAAGGCTGTTCTTGCCCACCGACCAGTTCTTGTCGAAGGTAAAGTTGGCGGAGGTATCGTCCAACCAGAAGTCGTTGGAAATGGTGCTGTTAGGTGTCGCGGTCAGAAAACCATGTCGGTCGCAGGTACAGAGTGTACGAACTTGGTGCTGCCGTCTCCGACCTCGATCACAGCCCAATCTATGTCGACGTAACCATTGGAGGTAGGGGTGTTGATTAAACTGACTTGATGGTGTCCGAGTGTCAAGCCGGAAGCGGGAGAGCTGAAGAGCGTAAAGTTGAAGACGCCGGGGTTTTCGTCAGTGTGGCCGTTCGCGGTGCTGTTCACGCCATCCAAAGCGACAGTATAGACATTCTAAGGGAGTGCTAGTGAGCCAGCAATCGGGAGGGAGCTAGGGTCACGCGTACGTGGTTCGGGCGCTGAGCGCCGTAGAGCCATACACCGGAGCCATTGAAGGCAAAGTTGGCGCTTGCACCCTAGTCGCCTCGTCAGTGAGGGCAGGACCGTAGAGTGCACAAGGGACATACAGCGACTTGGGTGAAATGGAAGGTACCGTTGGTGTACAACTGCGTTGCTAGGTCAGAATCTCCCCATGCGCCGGCAGGGGAGTAGGTGATCCAAGGACTGCTGTCAGGGACTGAAGTCTCGCGTCGTCAGAGCCCATGAGTCGCAGACAGCCGTCGAGTGCCTCACTGGTGAAGTTGACGATCGGCATAGCCCTTGTTCGTAGTTGAGGTGCTAAGGTCCAGCGAAAGAGAGAGGAGAGCACGACACATCCAGGAGCGTGAACGCGGCAATGGACGCCCTCTATAACGCGTAAATTTGGCGTACATGATGGGGCGGGCGGTGATGGAAGTGCTTGATCTCATCGAAGGCGCAGATGGCGGTACGAGTGTGAGCACGGCGGGAGGGGGCGGCGAGCAGGGCGCTACCCGAGACCAAAGTCGACTTGCCCCGCGAGATGCAATATCGATATGGTCGTGGTCGTCGCGTGACCGATGTGCGTTCGATGGTGGTCGAGCAGCTGAGCTCGCGTCGGTCGCGTCGTCGATGCCGGCATTGCGGCCATTGATTGGGTGGCTATGCCGGGCGATGGGTTGCCATCACATGACCCGACGCGTCCCTTCTTCCGCCCTTCTCTCCGTCGGGCGGTATGCGCAGGAAGGGCGGCGAAGGGGGAACTGCGCTGGACCATGCAGCAACGCGCTTCGTCCTCAGCCTGCGTGTCCATCTTTGCCCACCTTGGCCCGCGATGGCGCCCGCTCTTACCGCTCGTGATCTCGAAGAACCACCAGAAGCCGTCGCCTTCTGTTCATCTTCGGTCGTTTCAGACAGTTCCAAGAAGGCCCCTTCCCCGTCCTGAGCAACCTCTCGCCTTATAGCTCCCCCAGCAAGACCGGCTCATGACCCCCACCCGCCCCGCGTTCCAGCGCATTCGCTGCCTCTGGACGCCCTGCGCTCTCTTTCGGATATGGCTCTCCTAGCTTTCGTTACCCTCGCTCTCGCTGCCGTCAACCATGTTGCGGGCCAAATAGACGATCCTGCGTCTTTGGTCAACATGTTCATCGGCACTACTGCGGGAGGTCACGTCTTCCCAGGTCCGCCTCTCCCTTACCCCGAGCTCTGCCGTAATTCAACCTCCATCTCGTAGGAGCAACCCTCCCCCATGGACTCGCTAAACCCGGCATGGACACCGATTCTCCCGGAAATGTTGGTAACATCAACCCGCTCTACCGCATGAGCTCATCGTTCTCCTTCCCACCCGTAGCAAGCTGGCTATGATCGCGATCCCCAATTCAATGTCGTAGGATTCTCGCAGTTGCACGACCAGGGAACCGGTGGTGTAAGCTCGCTCTACCCATTGGAGATGCAGGAGCTCAGACACGTCTCAGGCGGCCTCGTTGTCCAACTTCAAATTGTTTCCGATCGCTTCCTGCAACAGCTTCGAGGAATGCCAAACGTCTGAAAACGGACGCAAGGTCCTTCGCAAAGTACTGAGCAATGGTCGGTGGTATCTCCGTCCCTTTTTCGACATGAAACTGAACGTGCGCACGCGTAGGCCTCCCCGACGACAGCGCATCGCCAGGATATTTCTCCACCAATCTCGTAAGGACCTGGACCTTTTGGTTTGTCTTGTCCATTAACATGTTCGCATTTCAGACAACGGGCATTCGCGTGGAGCTCACCGCTACACGCCGAACCGCTCTTCATCGCTACACTTTTCCGGCCAGTGTGACCCAGCCGCGCATGGTAGTTGACATCTCCAACGACGGACTCCAGAGCAGCACTATTCCTATCATGACGCTCGACCCCAACACCTCGCGTGTTGTCGGTAAGCTTGACGCAGAATGCGGACGATCATCGTCTCATCGATATGTCCTAGGTGGAGCGGAATTCCAAGCCAGCTTTGGTCCGGGACGCTATAGCGCCTTCACATGCGTGGACTTCAAAGGAGACGGTTTTGACCTCGGGCCTCCTACGGAGTTCGGGACGTGGTTGTCAAACGGCCCCATACTAGGCATGACGAACATCAGGCAGCAGTATCGCGGTAGGTTTTCCCCGTAGCCCCAGGACACGGCTGGTTCTGATCTGTCCTGTAGGTTTCAGGGACGAACTCGGCGCTTTGTTCACCTTTTCCCGTCCGGCTGGTTCTGATCCCATGACCGTGCTCGCACGCGTCGGCGTGTCCTTCATCTCCACTGACCAGGCCTGCGCCAACGCGGAATCCGAGATCCCGGACTTTGACTTCGATAGCGTCAGCACAGCCGCGCGCGCGGCATGGAATGATATACTTGGTCGCATACAAGTAAATACTACAGGAGTTGCAGACAACATTACGTCTCTGTTCTATTCGTCCGTAAGTCCGAGCTTCTTCAACTTGTGGACTTTGCTCACCATTTGATTCAGCTGTACCGGACCCATGTCGTTCCCGCTGACTGTGAGCCCTCGTTGCATCTGCTATCGCCATAGCTGCTGACGACAAACCTAGACACGGACGAAAATCCGCGCTGGACATCGACCGAACCGTACTACGATTCCTTCTACTGCAATGTATGTTGCCCTTGGTCACCTCTAGTCATGATCTCACCCTTGTGACTCAGTGGGACACATTCCGTTCATTGTTCCCTTTAATGTCTCTGCACGACCCTGTCAACTTCGCCCGGATTGTGAGAGGGATGATTAACATTCAGCAGCATGAAGGTCCGTCTCGTGTGCATCTTCCTTTGTGTTCTCACGTCTAACCGAGCGACGGATACCAGGATGGCTTCCTGAGTGTCGTGGAGCAACCGTTCAGCAGTGGATTCAAGGCGGCAGCAGTGAGAGCCTTAGTCTTTACCTTCATCATAGACCATCGAACTTAGCCGGCCCGCTCAGATGGTGATCCGATCGTTGCCGAACTTTTCGTGAAGTATGCGGCGGGCTGTTGACTTAGCGTACGCCGCTTATCCTCATCTCAGGTACCCGAACCACCTGGACGCACTCAATGTCTCTGGGGACGCTCTATACGCATCACTCCTGGCGGACGCCGAAGATCAACCTCCGGACTGGGATTTGCAGGGCCGACAGGTCAACATTTGGAAGTCGCTGGGTTAGATTCACTCTGAACGTTCCTGCGATCCACCAATCCTGACCAACGTACGCTAGGCTACATCCCATCGGACGTCACCGAGCCTAGCGGCACGAACTCCAAGCAGGTCTCCCGCACGTTGGAAGTAAGAGTCGCATACTAGTGTATTCTACTCGAATATCGCTAATGACAATCCGTTCTAGTACGCATTCAATGACTTCAGCATATCCCAAGTTGCTAAACTCATGAACAAGTCGTCAGACGGGACCAAGGTAACATTGTTGGACCATTCAATGAATAACTGAATCGATCCATAATAGTACGCCCAACGCGCCGGAAACTTCGATAACGTCTGGAATCCAAGCATTACCGTCCCCGGTGCTCCCTCGACGGTGAAGGGCATGGTGCAGGTTAGTCAGCGTTCGAGCAGTTCTGGTAGCCAATGTTAAACTCCGAAAAGCCTCGCTTTGCCAATGGCACGTTCAACTTCACGGATCCGAGGCATTGCAGTGTCAACGATCCTCTTCACGCGACATGTTTTTTGAATGCACAAAACCACGACGGTTTTTACGAGAGTTCGCCTATAGTGGTATGTCACGTAGTCCTTCGTTCGGGTCTGGCGTAAACTGAATGCTCCGTATAGTATTCGCAGGTATGCTCGAGCCGAATATGCTCTGGTGAACTGACATGACAACTCTGCCATAGTTTGTACCCCAGGATACCGCCAAGCTCATCGAACTGCAGGGAGGGCCGGACGATTTCATCTCAAGACTCGACTTCATCTTCAATCAGGCAAGTCGACGTTGTCACCCTCATGTTGGCATGACTTGACCGCATACAGAGCTACTTTGATGTCACTGACGAAATTTCGCAACAAATCCCGTACCAATACCATTACGCAAATCGCCCCGGCCTCAGCACGCAAAGATCGAGACAAATCATCGCGCAGTCGTTCAACACATCCGACAATGGTCTACCGGGAAATGATGGTGGGTTGCAATACCGCTCGCGTTGTTCGATGTGACCTCACTCACCTTATTGCAGATTCTGGTTAGTGTCGATTCCCCTCGCGATTGGTGCCTTTGAGATTGTGCGCTCACCCACTGATGCACAGGTGCTATGGGAAGCTTTGCCGCGTTTTTCCTCGCAGGAATGTATCCTGTACCTGCTACGCGCCAGTATCTCCTGTCCTCGCCGTACTTCCCCAAGATCTCATTCTTCAACCCTCTTTTCAACACCACGACGACCATAATAAGCACCAATTTCGAAGGAAACCCTGCCGACGGCGTTGGAGGCAAGGTCTTCGTAAAGGTAAATTTACCCGCAGCGAACGTGCCGTCGCGTCTTACCGACGTATTCGTCCATAGAATGTTACAATCGATGGAACACCGTGGAAGAGTAACTGCTTCATCGAGTGGGATGCCTTTGAGCAAGGTGCTACAATCGAGTTGGAGCTCACAACGGATATCACGCAAGGGTGTGGGCCGACCGCTGACGCCTTGCCACCATCACTCAGCACAGGTGGCTTCGATTAGAAGCGATATCAATGTCACATTTACCGCAATCGACTAAATGCTGGCACCTTGATTGAATTGCCCGTATGGACGATTAGTACGTGCTGCTGTGCAATGTTATTGCCTTCTGCAGCTTTGAGAACCTGCTTGCTTGCTCTAACACCGACGGATTGCGTAGGCGAACCAAAGCCCGCACGGTGCATACTTGCAAGACGTCGGCGTTAAAGCGGGCCTAAAGGCCGTACCCTCTTCGAGGGGCTATGCCTGATTGCTGCTACTGAACATCTCGCTGCACTTCTACTTCCAGTACGCAGGCCCGCTGCTTCTCTATTTTCGCCTCCGACCGGGACAGTGCCCAAGAAGCATCGATCGGTCCAGTGCGTGTGCAGGTTGTCGACTACATAAGAGTGACATGCGAGCCGGATTCTTTCACTGCTCTCAGCCATGCCCTCTTGGTACGAAATCACCAGGCGCGACGACGACGACGACGACGACGATGGTGATAGCGATGACGGGTCGGACAGCGACGATGACGACGACGACGATCGGACCAGTTCGAGCTCACGTTCGAGCGCAGTCACTATTGCAGCGACCGTCGTGGCGGTCTTCGTCGTCCTGCTCCTCATCATCTTGTGTTTCGTGCATTTGAAGAGGAAGAGAGTACGGAGACGAAAAGAGCGCAAACGTGGCCATGTCAATCTGGAGGGCGTGACACCTCGGCAGGAGGAAACGATGATGCTACCACAAACAGTAAGACCTTACGTAGAATATCGCCTTGATGAAAACTTATGCTCTTCTACCAGTTCATCCCGATGCCGGTGAGCAAGGACGTGGAACGGGATTTCAGTGAGACCAAGAGCGATCCGTCGTCGGTGCCACCGTTCGAGCCAACTTCGACAGGTTAGTTCAATCCTGCATTTTCGTCTCTGTCCGCAGCTGAACGCTCTCGCAGGAGGATTCGTGTGGGAGAGATACCCCGGAGATCGAAGGGTGATGCGGCAAAGCGCTGACGCAACTTCGCCTATTATGACCGCGATGGGTTCTTCGTCTGGAGATCACGGACGCCCTTCGACGAACAGCGAGTCTTCTCGGCAGGTTGTTGTTGATCAGAATCCGGGGGCGGAGGACAATGACGCTCTGCTAAGCCAGCACGCCGCTCAGCACGGTCCACCTCCTGACTATGAAGCTGGCCCTAGTCACGAAGACCACACTCATCGCGTCGCCGGCTTGAAGTTCGATGTTGTCTGAGGGGTCCGGAGACTGCATCCTTTCTTTGCTGCTGTGACTTGCTCCTCCTCCTCGGCTTCGCTATGACGGACAAGCGGGTACACGGAGCGTACCGCGATGCGCGCTCGTATTTATGACGTGGACATTTGCGCTAGAACTGTTCGTAGTTCATTCGTAGAATATTCTATCACTCATGTTTACTTGGTGAGGAATCAAGGACATTATTGGAGTCTTTCCGCGAAATAGCTTTTTGTAGTAAGGCGGCACGGATGTCAATGCGCATATATTTACCCTGGCTTTACGTGAGAGATGGAATGACGCCGATCCTCAACGTGCACGCGGCCATATACGAATCCATGACCGCATCTTCAGGATACAAACGTTTCGCACATCATCCCTCCTTCATGTAGAGGTTTGACACTTCTTCATAATCATTTTCTAGGAAAGAAGTCTTTCATTGAACCTGCACAAGAGGGTACGCACGGGCGCCTGCCAGCACGGTCAATTGATCTTCCATGTTGTAGGGAAGGAAATATCGAGGGTTGCTTGCGATCGGTAGGAACAGGAGATCTCTTTGCTGAAAATGGAAACGCATGCTTAGACCTCGTGAAGGACAATCAGGGCACATAAACATGGCGAGCCAGTAACATCTCAGCCCGGACGCAATTACTCATCATGTTCCCCAACATGCCGAGATCTTGTACCAGTATCTACTTTGGAAGATGAGAAGCGCGCGGAAGAGGTCTAGTTACACGCACTTCCACGCAGCGCATTGGCTTATCAGACCCAAAACTTGGCCCTCATGCGGAACGTGAAACATCCCCGCGATGAACGTGCTTGTCGTCAAATGAATCTTCGACAGTGCCAGGAATACGGCGTTGTTTGCAAGGATCGACGTTACGGCAGCCCTCGGGGATTCGCGTACCTGCGAGCATGAGGGTGCTGATTGTCCATCGAACGATCATCCGGCATATTCGCCGGTAAGGGAGATTCCTAGCAAGCTCGTAATCTCGGTCGATTGCGCAAAGATAGACGCCACGCGAGCGTCCTGGCAATTCATCGGCAATGATTGTCGACAAACCGCCGACCAATCAGGCCGCGAGCGTCAAATTCCCAAGTAAGTACATGGACTCAGTGCGGAGGGCGTACATACCGGTACGAAGGCGGTTTAGGACGTTCGCTATGCCGCGCCAGTCCACGGCATCCGAGCTGGCGATAGGCAGTAGGAATACACCCGTGCCATCATGACTCATTTCCTGAGGACGCCTCCACTGGCGCTGTACGTACGAGGAGCTACAACTTGCTACGGTTGGCCTTATGTTCGCATAGGACGACCTGCGAGCACAAGGCGATGAACCTGCTGAGGTTGGTGGCGTCAAATGGCGAAGCATCCCGGATGCTCGATTTACCTTGGGTGCGGCTGAGTTAATCTGTGGTGAATTAGCGCAATAGAGCGGAGTTCATTCACGCGCCCTGCGAGAATAGTGCCGTTCGCGCACCCGCCGGGACGGCTTGCTGTTCTGATGTTCTCAGGGGGAGGCCGAGTTCCTGCGATATTTTACCGAAGCTACGAATCAAAGGCAGGAAGCGGATCCGACACTCCAAAGTGAGATTTGTGCTGCCGTTTCCGGTCATGCGACTCGGGCGTTGCGATAGATTGGCACAGCTCCCTGCGATGGGGGTGCTCGTCTCATTGACGTGTTGCTCCGTGTGCTTTCTCGGGGCTCTCCCAGGTCTATACTATTTATCGCCGCCTGCGCGGGGTTGCTTGAACGTTTGGCCGATGCCGGTTTCCGGCCGCCAACCAGACGGATGTGGGATGCAGAGCTGCGCGAATTCATCGCCACGCAAATATAGCGTTGGGTCTCCCATAGGCAAAGCATGCATGTTATCGCTCGAGTGTCAGCTGGTGCAAAGCGCAGGCTACGTTGCCATAAGCCCAGCCCGTCATGAAACACGTGAAGTTGCGGTCAAAGCTCTGTCGAACACGCACCGGAATTATTTTGACGATGCGAACATCACGCGGATGGACCGAACGACGCGAGCTTCTCCGGAGCACGCAATAAATTCTGGCTCGCGGTGGGGAAGCGCCTTGCGAGCAGCTCTCCTCCAAGCAATCGCCTGCAGCGGACCGGTGGCACGCTCATATCGGACCGCAAGCTTATGGCCGCGGATTGCATGCCTTGCCATCGGGGCGATATATCGCGACTTGCGAGTTGAAGCGCTATGTGCTGCTGCCGTAATGCACAAAAGCTGATGAAAGAGTCGCGATGTGAAGGAGCCAGTCCAGGTTTGGGATGACCCGCGTCCTGAAACGGGTCCTGCACTTCCTTGATCCATCGGCCAGGTCAAGGAAGGTGCAGGTGGGAAGGCCCACGGTGCGGCAATCGTTCGCGAACGGGCGAGGACCGCTATGGTGGCGGAGGCGAGGTACCGCGATTTCAGTGAGGGTGGATCCGAGATTGTCCGACACAGCGAGTTGCGCTGGTGACCGGAGGTGCCCTGCGGTGAGCGTCGGAGAGCCCGGTCATGAACGACGGACGCGGTCGCTACACCTCTGGATATTATAGTGGCGCGAGGCAGCTAGCCGAGCGTCCGCGATAGTAGACAGAAACGGTCTTCTGGGGGGAAGCGGTGTGCTTTCCGGGGGCCAGTTCTGATGAAGACCGAGACCAGCTCGGGTTGGCAGAAGGCGATTGTTATAGTCTGTTATCTCGCCCGACTCAGATCGCGGACATCAGATTCGACATAACCGAGCCGACGCAGCGGACAAGGCAGGAAAGACTAAAGGGCTGACGAAAAATATACATAACGTAGCGAGCGCCTGCGTTCAATTGCCAACACGCCAATCCCGGCCCGCGTCTCGCTGGGCCTCCTCACCGCCGCCCTCCCTCTCGCTCGCCGCCGGACACGTTGTGCGCGCGTCCAGAGAGCGCAGCCGCCATTCCCCGCGATCCGCTCGCTACTTAACCCCACCGCCACCCGCACGAGAGGGATGCTATGCCTCGCCAGTCCACCAGCAGGGACAGGCCCTCCACCTCCACAGCCCCCTACACCATCCCCCAGGACCTCCCCGGGGGCCACTCTCCCCCGCTCGTAGACGACGACCACGAGATGGAACTCGTCGGGTCCGTCGCCGAAGCCCAGAAGAAAACGTTCGTGTGCGCCGTCTGTCGCCGCCTCTTCAGCACCAGCGGCCATCTCGCCAGACACGCCCGCATCCACACCGGGGAACGCAACCACAAGTGCCCGTTCCCGGGCTGCGAAACCCGCTGTTCGCGACAGGACAACCTTCAGCAACAGTACGTCATACATCTTCGCGTCTTCCCCTGCGCTCGTTCTGTGTCTGTGCCCATCACGTCGCTCGAACCCTTCCCCCGTACTCTGGTCCTCTCTTTCAGCTTACCGCGTACTCGGCCTGTACGCCCTTCTCGCGATCCGCCGTTTCGATGTGCATATTCGTTCAACGATTTCCACGCTGTTTAGCCTTTCTTCTCACCGTCGAGACGATTCGTCCCTCTTCGCGCTCGCTCGATACGCATCGTAACTGACTGCTCGACTCCTTCTAGCTACCGCATCCACCTCTCGCCTGGATCCCGTCGTGCATCCAGCGGCACCACCCGAGCGGCAATCTCCGAACAGCGCCGAAAATCAAGCTCGCCTTCCAGGTCGCCGTCCCGCCCACCTGGACCGAGCTCTGCATCCCGATCTTCGCGATCCATCGCCTCGAAAGGGCCCTCCTACGTGTCCAAACCGAGGCGAATCCAATCCAAGCCTGCGGCGGGAGATCCTGGCGCGCTCCCCGGAAGCCCTCAGGAAGAAGTCCGGATACGCCTCCCTTCTCCGACTCTTCTCCCCCGGCGCCGCGTCCGCGCCAATCCTGGCGAGCTCCGCATACGGATGGCTGTACCCCCCACTCGCCATCCCTCCCCCTCCCCGTCCCCCGAGACGAGCTCTGCCTCACGATCGCCTCGTGCTTCTCCCGGAACAGCTCCGGGTACTCTGGCCCACCATCTGTCCACGGCAGGGGGCGGACGAGAATCGCCGATCGATCTCACCCACCCGAACGTGCCGAGCCCGCCGGATACGCCTCCGCCCTTGGTAGAAGCGCCACTATCTGCCCGTATCGCGCGTTCAGCAGAGTTTTCGGCGTACGGTCGGACGCTCTCCCCTCATCGGTCTGCGGTTCCTAGCGGACCCTTTCCCTCCACGTCCGGTTCGGGCTCTTCGGCCTCCCCGGCATCAGCACCATCCCCCGCGGACGCTCGTCCTGACTCGAGAGAAGCAACGCGATCGCCAGCCGTCCCGTTTCCGCCTCCCATGCCTGTTGTGCATGTCGCTTCCGAGAACGGCGATGCGATCCACATCCAGACCTTGCAGCACTATACCCTCTCCGGGAACTCGTCCTCCCTCGCTGGGGCGACGGATCCCGATAACGGTCTACGAATGCCTCGTCCTGCGGCTAGATTCGGGCGAACGGGCGTCGTAGCTTACGAGGAACAGGCGAGGCAGGCTACGATTGCGACCGCCTTGGGGTATGCACCGGTGGCCTATGGCGCATTTGGCGCCGGTGGGCCCGGTATGGTCGCAGCAGATGTGTCATTGGATGGTATGCAGCACGACGACGCTCCCACGTCGCAAGAGGGAGCGGACGCTCACACTGCGACCGATGGATCTCCGGCCGCCGGTTACCTCGCTGAAGGGGCTACATATGCCCACCAGGAAAATTACCTTTACCAATACGAGCATGCGCCGGACACATCCTCACAGTACCCCGCGAATCCATCGTCCCTGGAAGGCCGTGGCTCAGGCGAACCCGTCTTTGCGCCTCAATTTCTAAGATCCTCCACAGACGCTGAACAGAATGTGGCTCACGCTGTTCAGCATTCGCCAGATCAGCTCCCCCTCGAGACGTCTGGAGCTTATCCCGCGTATGAGGAGCCTCACGCGCAGGTGTTCCAACAGTACGATCAGTATGGTGTGCTCCAGCAGGATCGTGCGCTAGCGACGCCATCGGCCTCCAACGCTCACCCTCAGGATAGCATGACATACTCTGGAGACCTTTACGGCGACTCCCAGACAGCTGGTGGCCCACCCATCCCGAACTACGATTCTCGCCCGACTAGCCGGCATTTACCTACGGCAGCTTCCCGTCCAGTCTCGCCGGTGCCTATGGCAGGCTATCCTCACGCCGCCGCTGTGCTACCCTCGGGTGACCGCTCTGCCTACAACGAGTTCCAATATAGTCATGACCACGCCGCCAGATCTGCCGATGACCCTGCTTCTGTTCCATTTGTTTCTGCAAGTAATACCCCCGAGGAGCCTGCTATAGATGGGTTTGGCTACGCGCACACTTCTGGCGACTACTTCGATCACGTCCCGCCCCCTGCCAGCTCCTACCAGCCTCTTCCTCAGGGTCATCGCCAAAGCCCGATTGTACCTACAACGACAACGGCGATTCCTCCTGGTGCCGTGACGGCCGAGGTCAATATGCCGTCCACTTACGTGGGCGCCGTACATAATGTGCATCACGCAGACCACAACGCCGCACGCCCTCGATCTCATTCGTACGTTCAGTACGCGGATCCCGACTCCGATTACGTCGACTTTGCAGCTTCTCAAGTGCATCCGAGTATCCCGGCCGTCGCTCCTGGTAGCCGGTACGCCTCACCACCACTGCCCGTTGTCTCGCACGTGCAGGGTGGATTCGTAGGCATGCCGGTCAACGAAGGGTACGGCCATCATGAACGAGATTCTCAGCCTGTGTTCCGCCTCCTGTTCCCGGAACAGCCACCGGCTTCCTCCCCTCCGCCGCAGATGCAGGATCACTACGCTTCTAGGCCAGAGTCCTCGGAGCATGGACACCCGTCGTTCGTTCACACTACGATGTTGGAACCCGCAGTCGCGATCTCGACCATGGATCACTCGTACCCTCCGTCCGCAGCCGCGACCCAGCTTCGCCAGCAGGCCGAAGCGACATACTCTCACCAGACGTACATTCACCCCTTGAACCCGTCCCCGGTCGCTTCATACCATCAGGCAGCCCACCTCATTCAACAAACTCGCTTTAATCAGGCGGTAGAATACGATACTTCGCACTCGTCTCAAGTTTTAGTCGGCCAGGTCTCTCATCTCCCCAGCGCTATCCATCAAACTCAGCACGGCCTACACGGGCACGGCGCGTCAGGACACACTCGAGACATGTGGACGAGTGGTGACGCAGGTACCGTCGTTGGCTAAGGATGGCTCCTCAGATATCACCACCGCGCCATGCTTCCTTCCTCGCCGTCGGAAGTCGTTTTGCTCCTCTTTTCCTTTTTACTGGGATGCATTGTGTAGCTATCGATTGTAACCATATTGCATTGCTTTCGTTCGTGTTCATTCATCCACCCCATGCTGCCGCAACAATCTTCCACCACACGTTCACGTCCTGACCTTTCGCCATGTCCTCGCCCGTCCATCCCATCCGCGTCTCACATTCGTTAGTTTACGTGCGCAATAGACCAGTGTACCAGAGTACATAGTTTGTATGATGTAGATATCTCATTCCGTGCAAACTGCTCTCCCGGGGCGCACATGGATATCGAAACCGTCTAAGTGATGGGGTATAGAAGTACATGGCGTGCACAAGGTGGTTATACATCTGCAATGTGTAGCTACATCCGAGATGGGGAGTGAACAAACTAATCGAAGGCAGATATACTAATGAGCCGAAGGGACGTGTGTGTACCCATCTATGTCTTGGCCTTCGCCATATTTTTGCTGATGAGCTTCGCCTTCTCGATCGCGGCCTCCGACTGTTTCATGAGCGACTTCTTGTAGTCGACGATGGTGATGTCCTCCTTCGTGAGGTTGCGGATCTTGCGGTCCCTCACCTCCCACAGTTCCTCGGCGACCTGGCTGATGAGTCGGAAGTCGTGCGATACAATGACCACACCACCCTCGAACTCCTTGATCGCGACGGCAAGCGCGTCGATGGATTCCATGTCCAAGTGGTTCGTCGGCTCATCCAATAACAGAATGTGGGGATGCTCCATGGCAAGCTGTGCGAACACGACACTGGGGCACGCGAGTGAGCGTCTGCTCGTCCGGGGACGCTGGATTACACTCACCGGTTCCGGAGACCGTCGGAAAGGTGAGCAATCGGCGATGTCTGATGTTGGCCCGAAAGACCAAATCGCCCAAGCTGCGCTCTCCACGCTTGCAAGTCCTTCTCCGGGTACTTCTGGGAAAAGAGGGCCTGGAAGTACTCAATCGGGCTCTTGTCGTATGGTAGCTGGTCCGCCGAATGCTGAGAGTACTTGGCAAGTTTGAGGGAGACGTGCCGGGAAACGGTGCCTTCGCAGGGTTGCAAAGCTCCGGTGATAAGGTGAAGGAGCGTCGATTTGCCGGTACCGTTGGCACCGAGGATGGCGATACGAGAGTCCATACTGAAAGACATTATGAGCGATATGTTCGCAACAAAGACAGAGATACGCACTCGATACCGAAAGACAGGTTCTGATACAGGTAGTCTTCCTTCTTGCCGGAGTAGGAGAACGCAACGTTGTCGAAAGCCAGGATAGGAGGCGGCAGCTTGTGGATGTCCTCAAAGTGGAATCGGAGCTGGCGCGACTTCTCGATCTTCTCGATAAGGCCGTCCGCCTCCATCTTGTCGATGATCTTCTGCTTGGACTTGGCTTGTTTCACGAGATTAGCGTATGTACCGGCGGACGCAATGAACCTGGAGATCTCGTCAGCGCCATGGCCAGCTACGAATCAACCTCAATACCGTACTTCTTGATGTGCGCGATTTCGTCTTGTTGTTTTTGGTACGCCTTCATCTGATTCACCTCGTTCTCGGACTTCGTTCTCACGTAAGTCGAGTAATTACCACCGTAGTACACCAGCTTCTTCTTCGGGGTCAGGTCCATGATGTTGGTGCAGACTTCATCCATGAAATCCTGGGAGTGCGATGTGATGACGAGAATGTGGTTATACGTGCTGAGGTATGCCTCGAGCCAGACGACGGCACCGAGATCCAAGTGGTTGGTAGGCTCATCAAGTAATAGCAAATGAGGCTTGATGAACAACGCTCGGGCAAGGGCGACGCGCATACGCCAACCACCGGACATGTCTTTGGTAGGCTTTTGCATCATCTGCTGCGTGAAGCCGAGACCGTGAAGGATGGAGCCGGCCTTAGTCTCGAAAGTGGAGGGGTCGAGTTCTTCGAGCTCCTCATAGGCCTGATCGAGGGCGACATCGTCCGGGTCATCTGCGATGGAGAGTTCTTCTATGCGGGCTTCGAGTTTGGCCACTTTTTCCTGGAAGACAATGTTAGGCGACCTACGATGCCTTGGCTCGGTGATACTACTTACCCTCGCGGATGCAACGATGAAATCGAGCGCGTTGACATCTGAGGGCTCTGCCTCTCCCCGCACGAGGTAGATGTCGATGTGGTCGGGGATTTCAATGTCGCGATCTGCGATGGACTGCAGAAGAGTGGACTGCGTGATGATGAGTGAGCTATCTGATGCTGGGTATGAACACATAAAGATCAGAGCTTTGCTTACCTTTCCCGAACCATTTTCTCCCAGTAATCCGTAACGATTGCCGTAGTTAAACGAAATCTCGGCATTCTCGATCAATAACCGACCATGGAAAGACAGCGTATACGAGTCGATCTTGATGTCGCGTCCCTTGGGATCGGATACGAGCACACCGGCTGCGCTCCTGTATATTAGCAACGTCCGTCAGCGTGAGCTCGTACATGAGACGCATTCAATCGTCCAAGGACGTGGACAAGGGACGATGTAGGTTTGCAAGACAAATAACACACCGATCTGTGGCAATCCTCAGCTTCTCCATCGCGCTGAGATCTTCTTTGCTGGTAGCTGCAGACAAGCTGGTCATCGGCGTGCTGGCGGTGCTGCCGTTGGTGCTGCCAGTGGGGGTGTCGGTGGTGGAGGACGCATCGGTGCCCTTGCCTTTGCTCTTGGCGGCACCTTTCGCAGCCTTCTCAGCAAGACGCTTCTGTTTGGATGCGGAGGGTGCCATGGCTGACGGCGATGAGGAGGAAAGCAAGCAGGCCCGGGGTAGAGCTTTGCACAGGATCGATGAAAACTGTTGCAGATCATAAATTATAATCGTGGGAAGCATGACTTGAGCGCTGCTGATACGGCCAACCACCTTCAGCTTGACCTTCAGGTACATAAACCAACATCATCATCCAGCGCGCACCCGAAACAATCTCCCTGGATGCCGTTCGTGCTTACTGATGTAATGGATTGCGCACCCCCGTCGAGGGGTATAAAAATCGATGGACTCACGAAGCTGCTCTGCACACGATCCGAATACTTACCGTTACGCTTCATGATCGCTTTCGATTCCTTGAGATCGGCCCGCTTGGGAGCATCCAGTGCTACTCGAGCTAGTAGTCAATTGCGACAGCATGTGCACTTGCGACGGTGCGATTCATCTTTACACATAATTCACCCGATTCTTATCGCTGTTGCTGCAGTCCCACCATGCCAGCGCTATGAATGAAACCTATCGTACATTCAGCACGAGCTCGCGAACTTGGGCAGAAGTTAGCAAGCGGCCGTCTCTCGGCGATATGTCCATACCGAAGTACATTCAAGCGCTCGGGACAAGGCCTCACATCCCGAGTCGGACTTGGAAGCTTCGGCACGGGATGATGTAGATGGTCCGGATGAGTTCAAGTAAAAACTCGAAGTAAGGTGTCCGGACGCCCTTACACGAGGTGTGTTCGTCTCTCGTGCATAGGCAGCAACAACCAGCCACATATACCCAATCTCGAAACCGGGCACAGCATGTGCAGCGGGCCCCATCAGTAGTGGGCAGCAAGACATAGGCGTTATCGAGCGTGCAAGTAGAGATACACATCGTAGTAGGTTGGCATGCCTCCTTATATTTACCCCGCCCTCCGTAATGCAACGAGGTGAATATGATGATTCGCCCTAGAGAAAACAGGTGGCTGGTCAAGCCCATTTGAAGGCACCATGTGGGCAGTCAGCGCCAGCGCCCACCATATCGTCGGTTGGCGACGCTGAGCGACGATGCTACATTCAGGTTTCTCCGCCGGAAACCTGTTAGAACGGAGGCTTGGACCTATTCAGGTGTATGGACCGGGATTTGATCATGAGCACATAAACAGGAGGCGTCCGGGAAGATAAGATATATAGTGACCGGCGTTTGTACTTAGATTTCTCCCACACTGCTCTCTTCCATACCGACCGGAAGCTGATCTCCGCACGCAGGCTCGGAGTATCCGAACTTGCTGTCCTTGACATGTCTGACCGACCGCGGCTCGATAACGCTGTTCGACTGTCTGGGCTTACTGTCATAGCCATCGTCATCCCGCGCACGGTTCATTTCGACTGCTGATCCAGTTGACCCATGCGCCATCGACGATCCGTGTCAACGTCGTGAACAGACTGTCCCGCGACAGCTGCTCTTGGCCTCAACTTGCGACTCTATTCCACGAGCGCCAATGTATTTTGATTGACGTCTTGGAGCACTGGAGCAAATGATTGACCGGTCCTCCTTGTTTTACCGTGACGTAGGGTTCCGGTCAATCTCAAGAAGCCTTCGGACTCAGGTGATAGGCTTGGAATACGCTTCCTAAGGCTTCATATAGCCTATGCCGTTCAGAAACCGAGACAACTGCTCACACCGGAACCTCCGGATATCAGCGGTAACCAACACGTGCAGCGGAAGGACGGAGTACACGATCCAGAGGTCGACGCATAGGGGAGGAGGCCATGTCTCTGTCCATGCGTTCTCGAACCCCATGTGGCAGCCGAAACTCATGACGATGTTTCCGGGCCTGTTGGCCAGACTTGTCACGCCGCGGGACGACGATAGGCCCTCCGTCCGCGGCTTCCGCTCTGGTCTAGCTCACAGGTGGCGCCGGCGATCGCCACAGCGACGCCCTTGTACTTAAAGTCTGGTTCATCTGCTTGTCCCGTCTCTCAGACCGCGACAGAAAACATGGCCGACATCAAGAACGTCTCGGTTGTTGGTCACACGACTTCCTCCAGCCCAAGGCCGCATGTGGTTTACACTATCGCGGTCAAACGCGAGGACGGCACGAGCTATGAACTTCACAAACGATACTCTGAAGTGAGTCTCTTCCGCGCATGTCGTTGCTGTCGTCTCATGTACGTATGACCCCCAGTTTGTCGCGCTTCACGAAGCTCTTGGTGATCCGCATCGCCTTCCGCCCAAGCGCATTCTGGCCACCCACTTTGTCCCATCCGCTTGGGTTGACGACGCGCTCATCTCAGAGCGCAAGTCAGGCCTAGGACTGTACCTATCTGACCTCATATCTTCCAAGACCAGTTCTCCTCTTCTGGATGCGTTTCTTTCTCCTCCAACTACGTCGTCCAAGCGTCCTGCACTGCATCCCGAAGATGCCTTACCGTCTACTTTGTCCCGCAAGACCGCCCTTTCTCTCAAAGAGGCTCAGGGCGAAGTTCAAGCGGCGGCGTCTAGCTTGATTGCTGCTTCCTATTACCCCGACTGGGCCGCCGACACTCTTGCGCCGGAGAGCATCGACTTCTCCAAGTTCGACATCCTCTTCTTCGGTACGTCTTGGCCACCTGTCGGCCCTGGTACCCCGTGCACACGAGGCTAACGGTAACCACATAGCGTTTGCGACACCCAACTCTTCCTCTACCATCTCCTGGGACGATGGAGCTACCGGCACCCTGAAGCGCCTGGTGAGCGCGGCGAACAGCAGTGGAAAGGGCACAAAGATCGTCTTGAGCATCGGTACGTGCATGCGATCTGATATTAATGGCGTTGTGGATGAACTAACATGTGGGTTTCAGGGGGGTGGGGTGGCTCGTACTACTTCTCGCAGGCCATGTCGACATCCGCAAACCGAACGAAATTCGTGAATGCGGCCGTGAGCGCCGTTAACACTTATGGCTTGGCTGGTCAGTTTCTAGTCCGAACGATGCATTATTGTGTCTTGATCCTTGCTTTGGATATTAGGTATCGATATCGATTGGGAGTATCCCAACTCTTCGGGCGCCGGCAACCCATTCTCGTCTTCCGACTCTGCCAACCTACTGAGCTTCTTCAAGTCGTTACGCACCGCCCTTGGTTCCTCCAAGGTATTTCCCCTTCCTATCCGCAGCTGATAGCATCGATCCAAGCAATATATGCAGATCATCTCCGCCGCCGTGACCCAACAGCCGTGGTTGGGATCGAATGGCAGTCCCCTTACAGACGTCAGCGCTTACGCTGCTCAAATGACATACGTGAATATAATGTGAGTTAACAAGATAATTGTAGTCATCGTCAGAACCTCACGTCTGTTAGGAACTACGACGTGTGGGGCGCCTCGGCTACTCCGGGTCCGAATGCGCCGCTCGGAAACCTTTGCGGAAATGCAACGCAACCCCAAGCGTCCGCTCAAGCGGCGTTCGCTGCATGGACAAAAGCGAAGATGCCCGCTAACAAACTTCTCCTCGGCCTTCCGTTGTATGGGTGAGTCTGGGCCAGGTCGCGGCTGTGAACGTTATTGACGTATCTCTTAGATACGTGAGCAAGAGTACCAAGACCACATTGACCAAGATAGCTATGCCTCCTGCGGGTTTTGTGCCTTCGATCCATCAAGCACGCGTTCCTGCATGCCCCTTACCTGCCGCGTCCAAAGAGCCGACGGCGGTTGTTCCTGGGGAAGAGCCCGTCTTCTTGAACAACAAACACGAGCGGGCGCGTCCATCTACCACGATACACGCCGAAGCTGCCGCCGGTGACCTCAGTTCATACTTCGGTCAGTCTTGCTTGTGTGCGAACGGTACATTGTCTGAACAGTTTCACGACGGTTTTTCAGGTCAACAAATCGCTTTCAACCAGATAATAGCCCTAGGTGCACTGAAGAAGAGCGGTAGTGTCTATGTGCAAGCCAATGGTTATACCGAGGGTACGGGCGTGAACGCTATACCGAGTTAAAACAACGTTTCACTGACCCACTTTAATCAGGTTGGGATGACTGCTCGGATACACCTGTACGTACGACCGTTTTCTTGCCACATCATACAACACTAACCTTCCTCGGACAGTTCCTCTTCAACACGTCGAGGTCCACTGTCGTCACCTACGACGATACATATTCGCTCGCAGACAAGGCGGCATATGCGAAGTCTTCTGGTATGGCCGGCTGTTTTACGTGGTCCATGGACCAGGTACGCATCAATCCGTGCCTGCTTCCTCTACGCAGTTGACCCTGTTGGCAGGACGATGGATATTCGCTGCAGAACGTCATTCGATCCAGCTTGGGAAAATGATGGTGGTAGCTTTACGATTGTTTCATATGTATTCCTAGGACTTGGGCACATGTAATGAAGATCTACTTCACGACTTTGCAATGATAACGTGTCTTTCATACGTGTACTTACCACCTTCTATGAGTGAGGGAGTCTTCCTTTATTGTGGAGCTAGTTGACGTTCACGCTGTCTAGGAACGCCTATCGACCGAGGTTTAACCTTAGGGTTAGATCGCCGAGGAGTCGTCAGAGCAGCAAAAGCGATACAGCAGTCAAAGCTCTGAAAAACGCTGAGAAGGTGGCCGAAGGGTCGAGATGGAGAGTATGAAAAACTCACGAGGATGAAAAGAACATCAATGCATCTATTGTCGATATCAGCAACTGTGACAGATCCTTTCCGAAAGGTGCGTACATTGCACGAGAAGGAATGCCTGAGAGGTAGCAATTAACTGTCAGTTTCAGAAAACCTTCTGAGCGGAAGCGGAAGCTACTGACCGATAACGTGTCAACGTTCCCATCTGGGGAATATAGTTGCGATACAATGAGTTGGCTTCACCGCGACGAAGTTAGATCATGCGCCAAGAAGTGAGAACGAGCGGCTTACTTGACGGCGGCTGGAGTTCCACTCAGGAATGTTGCTACGAATCGCTCAACCTTGGCATCTTCAGCGATGAGTCCGCGGCGGACCATTGCTTGCACGATGAAGACGCCTGTGAACGTACTAAGGGATGCAGGCCAGCATCGCAGAAAAGAGTGGCGCACCGATCACCGGAAGCACGAATAACTTCGCACCGGCCACCGCAAACATGGCTACGATGGGTAGTCGTGAAACGGGACGCGATAGACGCAGTCTTGCAAAAGACGCGCCGAGTAATACCAGAGCCATTGGAATGGTTATGGAACCTAGGAAAGATGCTGAAGGTTCGTGAGTTCAACAGAGCGATCGTTGCTGCAATGATACTCCTACCTGTGTCAATGACAAAGTTGAGCACGGGCTTTCCATCGGGCCCACGCCAACTGCCACTACTGTATTTGTCGCTTATGGCAGAGACGTCAACAAATAGCGCTTTGAGGGGCGTGATCAAGGCAATTGGCAGCGAGATCGCGATTGTCAACGTAATGGGCGTGATGACCACCCGTAGCGGGGCAATAGCTTTGAGTATTGGACCAAAAGCTGAACTGCATGTGGAGGAGGACGCCGATGATCGGTCATCACCAGGAAGGTCCTCGGGACAGACGGTTTCCGCAGGCAAAGACTGCTGCTGGGGCGCCTGGGTATGGACATGAGGCCTTGACGAGGACGGCCATGCGGCCGATGCTCGGCGTGACCGGAATGAGGGCGTGGAGAGGTGGGACACTTGGCGAGCCAGCTTGATGTCAGGATCGTTGTCGTCTGCAATCGCGGAATTACATGGTTCCGGCTCGACTTCTACAACATCGCCCAGTTCAGCTTGCTCTACATCTCGATCTTCCGGAGCGGGGCCTTTCTCCTTCTCCTCCCTGCGGGTTGGGGAAACCGGACGGAAAGGAAGGGGAAGGGGCCGCCGGCGCAGAAGATATCGTGCAATCCATCCACCTATGGGCTTCTGATCCCAGGCGATTCGGACTTCTGCATATCTGCCCTGAGGAACTGCCGGTCTGGGATATCGTATTGAGCAATGATACTGACATAGATATGCTGCGTTTTTTGTTTACCTGTAATCCCACGCGAGCGAAGCGGCTGCGCCGAAAACCCAAAAGCATATATGATAACAGACGATGAATATCGCCACGTAAGATACGCCCACTGCGAACTCGGGGCTAAGTGTAAGTGCCGCCTTGATGAAATCGGTGTACTCACGCGCGGAATCCGAATCGCCGTTGAAAGGTTTTTGCTGAGTGACTGTCGTCACCACTGCGTTCGCTGCACGACTACGTCAGGGAAGCTGGAACGATCGGATGATGCACGGACTGACGCAAGTTCCCCCAGTTGCTAAGCCCGCATAGAACGACTATGCCTTGCCAGAAATTTCGCGGAACGTAGCACACCTCTCTGATTAACAGTCCGAAGGTGAAACCGATGAGCACGTAGATGAATGCTATGAGCATAAGTGGTCCAATGGCGGAGACATTCTGAGGCGTGAATGCAGGAACGATATTCGCGAAGATGAGAGCGGGCAAGGATACATTCATGGTGACTTGCGAGGCCCCCCGTGTTGCTGCGGGAGGAAAGAGATCCCTCTTTGCGAGCACATAGCCGAAGAAGATGGTGAGGAACCTGTGAGACTGTTTAGTATTTCCATGACATATCGCAGTCCTCGAGACGCACATTTTGAGAAGAGGCATAATCCCGCTGTAGATCAAGAAGCCTGCAGTCGCCATCTTGCCAGTCGCACTACCCAGCTTCTCCCTGTGTTGCTGTAGTGAAGTACTACGGAGGGTCGGACACCTCCTCGATACGGCTGAGCAAAAGATAGGCAAGTGCGATTTATCAGACGTACTCTCATTCGGAATTAGAAGACACTCGGCCCATCGGCGCCGTCACCAGCAGGATCGCCTGTCCGTACACGACGCATGATAGATTCACATGCGCAGAGCACGATGGAAAGAATATCTCATATCCGCACTGAAGTATTGTTGTTTCTAGAGTTGTCCGTATTACTTTGACAAGAGCATGTAATCTATCGCCGTCAAGAGCTGGCCGACAGTGGCCGACACGAAGCGCGATGCCGCACCTCGATGTTGCACAGGCCCACCCTGAGGCGGCCCGACGCTGATCCGGCGAGCTCAACCTTAGCCAATTGCAAGTCCGCATGCCGCCTCGCACGAATCCAACTTACCATGTATACGGCTTGCAATCGCACAGAGCACGTAGGCAGACAACACTCCCTGTACGCCTTATCTGCGTATTCAACATACGGCTTCTCTCTCTAAATTGCAAGAATACTCAAGGCAATATCATGCATCCAGCGTACCGGGCCCCTGCTCGTGCTGAGGTCGTCCATTCTCCACGACTTCGGAATTGTCTCGCCTTCGTCGGAGGTCTCTGTCATACGCCGCAGCGGCTTCCTTTGAGCATTGAATTCCAACGCTGGCTTCTGACATCACATTTTGACGATTATAGCTTGGTGAGTCCGGTGATCTGACTATGAATCGGGAGATCCTCGCTTTGTCGGAAGCTACACCTTGTACGTTTGGAGATGGTACATTCACTAGGAGATCTGGCTGGTGTCATCACGCATAATCCACCCAAATTCTTTCCATTCAACCGTTGACGCTGGATGCATGCCAAACATCACGGACCGACTTTCCGCCAACACTTTTCCACATCTTCCCTCGTCTCTGAATGAACGTTCATAAGCGAGGCTGGACGCACTTTAAACCTCCAGCGTGCAACTCCCTGGCCATCATGAGACTCTTTACGTCGTCGATTCACGCGCTTGCTCTTGCAGCAGTCGCGTGCGCTCATACCACTATCTGGAGCGTTGTGAGTGTATCGTTACATAGTCTGCGTGGCCGGTATTTGAATAAGAACATAGTGGGTTAACGGAGTGGATCAGTCGAGCGGCGTCGGAATCAGGCTTCCAGCGTACAATGACCCCCCTCTACCAGCGAACCCTGCGAAGGGGCAAAGCGCCGGGTGATTGACATTCTTGAATGACCGTATTGGTATGCTAAGCATGCCCACATCCCAGGTACAATAACTCTCCCGTACAAGATCTGACCTCAATCGGTATTGCTCTGTTATTGGTCATAATTTTCCGCGCCGCTGAAGCGCGTTATGTAGATCTGCGCTGCAATGTCTTGGGCGACGTCCAGAACCCACACACAGTTCCAGTACACCCCGGGGATATTGTCACGTACGTACCGTATACATGCGCGCGGACCGTCATGCTCACAATCTAGCGTAGTCTTGAATGGCACCACAACTGGCGCAACACCTCTGACGATATCATCGCCACGTCCCACCTCGGGCCGTCGAGTATATATCTGTCACCCGACCCGCCAACCAACAACAGCTGGGTATGTACAATTCATTCTATGACGCCTATTTGCCGAGTGCTGACAGCCGCATTCCGCAGGTCAAGATCCAAGAAGAAGGCCTCTCTGCTGATGGCACCTGGTATACTGGTCAGAAGCTGAACATGCGGCAAGGCAAGCAAGACTTGCAGATACCCTCTGGTATCGCTCCTGGTTTCTACCTCCTCCGCTCTGATCTCATGTGAGAGGTATATATCTATATTGTAGCCGCACGACGGCTGACGACCACTTATTTTGTGAAGCGCTTTGCATCAGGCTGAGATCTCGCGTCTCACGAACAAGAACTTTGGCGCCCAGGTCTACGTCGGGTAAGCGATTGTATGTAATATTCATGATCAATTCTGATTCTATACCCTCTTCTCTTCGATAGCTGCGTTCAGCTCGAGGTACTCGGATCCGGAACAACCACCCTCCCAGTCGGTGTCGGCTTCCCAGGTGCATACGGGTAAGAGCTTCTCTACGTGTACTCGACGGTGCCGGCGTTGAACTATCGCATTCGTAGCTACAACGACCCCGGAATTCTATACAACGTGACTCCCCGTTGTCTTCGAATGTTGCGGAATCATTAATAGCCGAGCCAGATCTATAACACGCCCCTGCCTCCATATACCGTCCCCGGACCAACAGGTACGTTCCGCTTCGACTAGGAACTTGTTCGGCTGCAACCGAGCTTCGTTATAGTGTGGAGCGGAGCTGCGCCATCGCCAACGCCTCCTGTCTACGGCTCACCCTCTGGTTAGCGATGCCCCGAGTATATATATTTGTCTTTGACCGCTGATATCTCACCAGGGTACACCACCGCCCCCAACTGGTCGACGTGGATCGGGAGCGGGTTCCAGACAGGTCAGTACTATCGATTGGATACAGATATCGAGCGTTCACCGTATTTCATCAGCAACTTTACAAACATCCGTCACCGTCGTCACTGGCACGGAAACTGTCACGCAGACGTACGTACCTGCATGGTCAAGTGCATACAAGACGCCAGCTCCGACAGCTTTCGATGCCACGCGCACCTCGTTCGAGAGGGAATTCACGACAGTCTCGCCGTCCGCTGCCATGGCAGTGCCGACGAACGGCGTCTAGTTCAGTGCCTTGACTTCTTCTCAGCGCGCGGGCCGTAGTATATTTTCGTGGACCTGTATGACTACTGTGACTCGAATGAATGAAACGCATCCTTTCAGATCCATGTATAAGTACCCGGATCGAGCGTTGTGGCACGATGTCGTTCCCACGTCTCCTCCGCCCACCCGTACACATGGCGCTTGACCGAGCTCTGCGTTCGGACTGTGCGACCCGATTGAATGCACATGGGACAACACATGGACGTGCCATGCGACTTCAAGCTTCAATGGCTAGCGACATAACTGCCGCTCGAAGAAATCACCTGCACGCCGGCTCCGACGGCACTTCTGGCTGGCTGCATGCATATGTCGGCGATCTCCTTTGGAGGGTTGTGTCTGCGAAGAACCGTTCACGATCAGCGGCTCTAACAACTGGACCGAAGGACTGAGGAGTCCTCCATCTGGGTCGACAAGGCGCCTGCACTCCGCCATCAGGATCACCACCCCACGGCACGGCATGATCCCCGCCGACACAGTAGTTACTATCATGTCCAACGCGCCGTCAGCTAACTAGCGACCGCGAGCACCACCATCGGGCCCCGTGTATTTTTAGCTAGAGTACACATGGAACAAGCATCGACCGAGATCACACCTCCGCTTCCTGGCGTCCGGACAGGTTGGGAACCAAGGCGCACAGTGATCGTCATGAGCTGCATCGCCTTCGTCCAACAATCGCCATACGTGCTCGTGGTCAGCATCCTACGCGACGAAGGACGCGAAATGGTATATAATGTGCGTGCAAACCCCCCGAATCCTCAGTCCAGGTCCTTCTCCTGCTCAACTAGCATCTGTGTTCATCCAGATCTACACCCTCGGCGTCGACAACCATGTTCTGCAAAGCGTCCCTCATCGCTGTCACCCTTGCCCTCATCGCGTCTGCCTCGCCCGTCGAGCGCGACACCGGCATCGCCCTCCCGCTGCAGAAGCGTGGCTCCCTCACCAAGTCCGATGGCACCTTCGATCACTCCAAGGCCATCGCGTCCACCGTGAAGGTGCAGAACAAGTACCGCCAGAACTTGATCAACCTCCAGCGTAATGGCGGCAGCCTGCGCCAGGGAGCCGAGATCAAGCCTCTCGCCAAGGTCCCCGCTTCCGTCCTCGAGAAGCGGCAGAAGGAGAAGTTGACCGACGAGGACGACGACACGGAGTGGGCCGGCACGATCTCCATCGGCACGCCCGCGCAGTCGTTCCTCATCGACTTCGACAGTACGTATCTGCATTCTCGCGCGCGGACTTCAGCTCACGACCTCCCTCCGGTAGCCGGGTCATCTGACCTGTGGGTCCCTTCGTCTTCATGCTCGAGCTCGGCCTGCTCCTCCAAGAAGAAGTACACCGCGTCCAAGTCCTCCACGGGCTCCAAGAAGAGCGGCACCTTCGAGATTGAATATGCTGACGGCTCCACGGTCTCTGGCCCCAAGTACTCCGACACCGTGACCGTCGCCGGCATCAAGGTCACCGGCCAGTACTTCTCGCCCGTGACCACGCTCTCCAGCAGCTTCAAGGACGACCCCATCGACGGCCTCCTAGGCCTCGCATACCCCAGCATCTCAAACCTTGGCAAGACGCCGTTCTTCAACAAGGCGGTCAGCCAGGGCACGGCGTCCAAGAACGAGTTCGGCTTCAAGCTCGCGTCCTCTGGATCCGAATTATACCTCGGTGGCACCGACAGCTCGAAGTACTCGGGCTCGATTGAGTACCACGACGTCGACACCTCCTCCGGCTTCTGGCAGGCGACCGGCGCCAAGGCCAAAGTCGGCTCCAAGACGGTTGTGTCCGGCTTTGATACCATCATCGACTCCGGAACTACGTGAGTTCCCGCTGTATCCTTCTTATCTCGCATTGGTGCTGACGCCTCTATGCAGTATCATGTACGGTCCCCCGGCCTCGGTGAAGAAGGTCTTCGCTGCCGTTTCCGGCTCGAAGCTCTACGACTCCACCAACGGCTACTACAGCTACCCGTGCGACTCTCCCCCGAAGATCTCCTTCAACTGGGGTGGCAAGGACTGGGAGATCTCTTCTGACAAGTATGTCGCTCCATTATCCCCTATTTGTCGTCCGAGAACTGACGCACCACTTCTCTCACAGCCTTTCCCTCGGCGAGACCGAGAGCGGCTCCGGCGAGTGTGTCAGTGCTCTCGCTGCGCAGGACCTCGGCCTCGGCGACGACGTCTGGCTCCTCGGTGACAGCTTCATGAAGAACGTCTACACTGCGTTCTCCTTCTCTAAGGATGCGGTCGGCTTCGCTGAGCTCTCTTAGACGATCTCCAGTATACCTCATGATCTTCAAGATACCTCACACGGACTTCACGCACGCTGTAGAGTCATGTACATTACCGACATCTCACGATAGTAAAGACGGAACGATGGACGAACAAACACAGACGTGATATGCGAAAGCGACAACAACAGAGCGCGATTACAAGATTTGCGAATATTATAGGCGATTAGGTTGGTGGATTATAGACTGAAATTCGTCGGCGCCGCCGTACTTCGTCGACTGTCAATAGCTTCCAACCCGGCCATCGTACCGGCCCAACTGCCATCCGAGGATGAGACCACCGACGCCATCCCATAGCGCCGTGCCCCATAGCAGCTTCTTGTCCCCCCTTCCCGTCAATGCGGCGGTCGCGGCGACGACGCCGATGAGCATGCGCACCGGTGCGCTGGCGTGGAGAAATTGGTTCTCCTCGATGGGCATGTAGGCCGTGACGAGATACGCGACGGCGAGCGCGAAGGTGGTGATGCCGCGAATAGCGTACGCGTCTCGAGGTGTTCCGATGTACACATGGTACAATCCTATCCCGCATAATCCAATGGCGTGGAATAGCACGTAGTAGGGGAGGTTAATCGACGCGTCGAAGACCATCTCGTGTCTGGGATGGTGGCGTAAGTCACAGCCGAACGCACAAGGATCTATGGATCTCACTTTTTGGCAGAGAAACGTCCTCAGGTAGTGTGGTAAGATACGCTCCGGGTCGAGCGCGATGGATCTGGGGAATAGGAAGACCTGGATGCCACTTATAAGTCTTTTCGCCCGGTGTTATAAGCCATGTAAGGCCCCGTAACTCCGGATGGTACGGACAGCTTCTAGGACGGTAGACGACTTTGCGGAAGCTAACCCCGAACGGAAGCTATGCGCCAGGTACTGCCATCACGACTCAGACATGGCGTATTTCGCGAAGCTGTGCAGGTATCCGGGGATTGATCCGATGGCTGAGTCGCAATGAGTCGTCTCGGCAAGGCGATATATCACACATCTACCCGTGGTAATGGGCGTATACAAGCGTTTGGAAGTTTCTATTCCCAGGCAGATGCTGTTTCAACAGAAGTCGGATGACCCACCATTCGCACCAGTCTGCCTACTCGTACATACAAATGACACGCTAATATCAGTTTCCTGACCCGATCCTGGTCACAAGAAATAGTCAGCAAGGGGGCGTTTAGCCGGCACCGATCGAACGTCCTGTGTATTTCGTCGTCAGGCTATGCAGGTCTGATGCAAATGACACAATCGCGTACCGAAGGCGCATGCGAGAAGACCTTGTATTCCTGTCCTAGGTTCTCGTCCAGTTCAAGGATGGACGCTACGTTGCCGCAACGATAGCAATAGTTGGGAGCACTCCAGACGGTCACGATGGTTCGGTCAAACATCATCTTGTACCCTTCCATCGCGAGTTGGTGGGCACGAGCGATGAGGTCGATCCTGTGATACAGCCATCTTAGCCGATACGGTTGCATAGCATTCCGGCGTAACCTACCGGTTATTATGAGCAAAGGTTTTGGTGATATCGGCGCCGAAGAGAAAACCTGCGCCTCGCGGGGATAGGCCCCAGCCAGAGATATCTGTGGGCGCCGTTAAAACCACGGGACCCAAAGGCATCGATCGCAAGACGGAATGCTGAACGCTGAAAAATGTACACACCATCTGGATCTGACCACAGTAAATCACACATGGGACCATCATGCGGTACTTCCTGTTTGCGGTCTATTGCTCGGATCTACCGTGCTGTGTTCAGAGATACATCTCGCAGGGCCGATGACACATGCTTACCTGATCGATAGCCTGCAAGTTCGGACTCAGTCCTCCATGGATACAGAACACCCGTCCGTCGACGATTGCCCCCAGTGCCAGATAGTCGAAGACTTCGCAACACCATCTCCACACACCGCTTCCCGAGCCGTACTTCCGTTGGCATTCGTCATAGAATCCGTAGACTTGCGTGATCTGCCGTGACTCGTGGTTGCCCCGGATAAGGTGGACGCGATCCGGGTATCGTACTTTGAGGGCGAGGAGTAGGAGGAATGTCTCGACGGAGTAGAAACCGCGATCGACAAAGTCGCCGAGGAAAAGGTACGAAGTATCAGGCGCTGAGCCACCAGTAGAGAATAATTGGAGTAGGTCAAAGAACTGTCCGTGTATGTCCCCGCAGATCTATCGTGTCGTATGTCATGAGCAACGAAGTAGCATATATGCATGATGCATCGCATGACGAGAGTGCGCACCGTAACGGGTGAGTCTAGTTGCTGCACATTCGCTTCCTCTATCAATATCTCTCGGGCTTTGATGCAGAGGCGTTTGACTTGCTCCTCTGAGATGATTTCGCATCTCTTAAGCTGCTCTATCTGACTGACTCTTGGTGAGGGCGAGCCAAGCCAATTGTCGCTGTACGGCACCTATCGAGGTCGCTGGTCATGACTCTTCGTTTGGCACGGTTGTCCGAGATGTCGTCAGGAGAATACGGTTACGATGTTTTGCAGTTGGTGAAACGGAGCAATTCACGATGCAACTGCGATTGACTCCAGGCTCGGAATATTGAACGACTATTCACGTGATCGGTTCAATGGCCAAGTCTCCGCCGACGGTGAACGGTTCACTGAAACGGTGAAGCTTGAAATTTGAAAGCTCTGGACTCGCATCGCAACGAAAACAGCTGGAACCACATCGATCAGTGTCCGACAATTCAATGTTCTGTACATACTCCTCGAGAGGACACCTGCCCTGGCTTTCTTCAGCGATAAGCGCTGAAGCGCTGAAAATGACTCCAGCTCTTTTAGCGCTCGCCGCCCAATCCGCCAACAGTTCTGTATAGCTTTCTGGGCCTCCATGATAGAACCTCTAGACCCACTACGGCGCTGATTACAAGCGTACGCGTCTAATCTCCCACATCACATCCATGACGAGCCGCCGAGAGTCGGTTGAACTCGAAGAACTGGAGGAAGGTCGAGAGGTCAGTTCAGCGGCGTCATATACGCGAACTGTAGCATTCATACTGATATGCTTGTGTCCTGCATCATATTTCACCAGAGAGGAGTTTCTGGTCGTTTCGTGCCAGTTCGAACCGATGCGCGTCATACTATGCATGAGAACGCGATAAACGAGAAGATGGTTTTGGACCCCGAACCTGTATGTATCTGCGCGCTCGAAGTTGACGGTTAACGGAATTGAAACATGATAGCAGACAGGAGTTCAGGAAACGGGGGGGCCCGCCTGGAATTATATTCATGGTCGTATGAAGGAGCATGATAAGGCTATGATTGAAGGGCATACGGGTGATATCGACAGCTTGCTGATATTTGTAAGTCTATGCCATTTATTTCTTGCTCATTTGTACTAACCAATGTGCCATCCTAGGCTGGACTGTTCTCAGCTGTGCTGACAGCGTTTCTGGTTGAGACATATTCCCAGCTCCAGATTGACACGGGGCAAGTCACGGTTCAGATTCTACTCGATATCTCTCAGCAACTTCACAACGTGTCTGAAGGCCAGGTTGCGCTGCCAACAAACGCTACGGCTACTATAAACCACTTCGCTCCAGACCCATCCGTCGTCGTGATCAATTGTCTATGGTTTCTCAGTCTCATCGCAGCCTTGTGTTCAGCGCTGCTGGGCATCATCGTCAAACAATGGTTACGGGAATACTCGTTATGGACTACCATCGCGCCGGTCGAACACGCCGTCCACCTTCGACAATATAGATATCAAGCTATGATCCGCTGGAAGGTGCCGACCATCGTAACGTTCCTACCCACTCTTCTACAAATTTCGGTCATTTTCTTCTTTGGCGGTCTGGTAGCCTTGCTATGGCCTATCAACCACGCTGTGGCAATCGCTGCCGGCATCGCTGTTGGCTTCTCTATCACGTCTGCTATGCTTACGATCCTCATGCCGCTCGTGATGGAAGCGTGTCCCTACAAAACACCACTGGGCTGGGCTTTGCTTGCAAGCGTCCGGCCGCTATATAGTGCAAGATATTCACTGGGTCAACGGTTTCAGGCCTTGGTATCTACCTCTAGAATTCAGAATGGTTGGCGGCTTAGATTTATGAAGATACTTCATCAATGGTCCAGAAAGCATCCCGATCTATACGACAATGGAAGTTGGACTCAACGAGACCTATGGCTCCCTTCGGTGGGCGCCGATCCCGTGCACGCAGTAACGTGGAAGTGCAGATCTCTGTTGTGGACTGCAGCTCACGAGGAGCTGAGCGCCGATATTATCACAAGCCTGATTATTAGCTTGCCAGGACCGCGGTTGCGCACTCGCGCCGAAGGGGAGTCAGCGGAGGACGATGAAGCGCTCTACTCATGGCCAGATAATGCACATAAACGGCTCCATGCCTACTGGCTCGCAATATGCGAGGTCATCGGCATCGCTCACAAGGGCTCAGTTCCAGCTTTAGACGCCATTGAAGTTGCGTGCGCATATGACACGACCGAAGACGGCGGATTGGATTGGCTCAGCTTCTCCTGGCGAAACGTCCGACTCCCGCTTTCGGGTCTCAACGCGACGCAACTGCATATCATGTTCGAGCTCTTAGCCTCGGGGGTTCAGCGTATTCTGAAGGAATCCGAGGTTCCCTTCCCAAGTGCCACTGCTCCTTTCACCGTAAACAATGTGGAACATATGCATGTCAGCACGCTCTGTATGCTTCGTATCCTGAGTGGATTGCGACCCGAACTGCAAGCGCCTTTCTGCAGTCTGCTTTTGAAGACGCTGCTCGATAGTTCTCGACTCCGCTGGCCCGACTCAATGGACGGAACTGCGGTGATCATCTCCCTTCTGCTCAGCATAGACGAAGCGGACTGGAACGGTAAGCACTCCGTCTGATTCACGCGGCGAATTCGAACTCATGAAAACCGACAGATTGTACCCCGACAGAATTCGTGGAATGCCTGCGGGCGAGCTCGCCATTCGGCGAAACGGAAACGCTGGGGACTTCCCAGCGAGCCCGAGACGTGTTTTGGGCAGTGATAGCGGTCGTCACCAACTTGCGGGCACACAACACGTCAGGCAGCACGTCTCGGATCCAGTCTGCCACGACCTCCTTTCTGGCAATGGTGACGCACGCGATATCGGAGGAGGTCCGATTGCGGGATAGCGATCCCGACATCGGTGCTCACCGTCTCAGCGTGCCGTGGATCAAGCTCATCCGATTTGCCGGTCATCACCGCGAACTGGCTCCTCGAGCGCTCGTACACCAGATCTTGACCGCACAAGAGCTCGGATTCGGCGATAAAGACATGCTGGATCACTTCCGGCACTTGTACTGCACGTTCGACGAGCGGTGGGCCATACGAGACATGGAGGCGCTGTATTCCTTCTTCGACTACATACCGCTCTCAAAGCGTTCACGGCCCAATACCCCGATCAGCTATTCGTCCGCCGAAGATATCGAACCAGCGACCCCGATCGTAGAATCGCGGTCTCATGCTTTCGTTGGCGGGTTCAGGATGCTTCCTCCGCTGCCTGTCCCGCCCCCTCGTCAACGACCCGTCGTCGGTTTCAGAGGGCCTCGTCCATTACCTTCGCGCTTCGCTTCAATTCCTCATCTCGTTCACGCGGGGATGCAGTTCGGCATCGGAGGCGGGGACGTCGGTTTGGCACCCCCGGCGTATCACCCCCGCAGCGTCGTCGGTCCCCGATGGCCGGGAGAGTACCCCAGCTACATGGAATTCCCGGAACCTGTCATACCCCAGGCCGCGCCCATCACGGAAATGCCTCGTTCAAATGGACAGCAGTGCAACGGCTATGAGGCGCCGTCAATGACGGTCGAAGACTCCGGGGTACATCTCGAACCGTCGCCGGATATCTCTCACGACAATTTGCGAGCATCTGTGGACCATCCGCTCTCGGAAGAGGTTCTTCTGCAGAGAGATGACCGCGAACCTCACGCAAAACCAGCGATGCTACAGGATCTTCTATCCAGACTAGTAGGGGCTGAGCCCCTCAGAGTATCCGATGACGGCGGCTCCTTCGAAATACCGCGGCTGCCTGCGGAGCCGCACCAGGAAGTCACGAACGGACGCGAAGGCTACCTAGGCGAGCAAAGTGAAACGTGGCGAGACGCGATGGGGAGCAGAGTGACGTTTGACGAGACGGTGCATACCACTCGGACTCACCCTTCCCGCGAAGCGACTCAACGGGCTGCCTCTCGCTGAGTCACAGCGGTACGGGCGGGCGAGGAATCGACGTTCAAAAGTAGCGATTTGTCTTAGCTAGTAGTACAGATGATGACACGCGTTCGGCGGGAAAGCTTCGATGGCGCTCAGTCTCCGCCCTTCTTCTTCTTTTCCTCGACGAGCTCGATGTTGGCGTCGGGGACGCCCTTTAGGATGGGAAGGTCCTTGCCCTTGGGGCTGACGAGGAGATCTTGGATGTCGTCGGAGACGTCGCCCTGGACGACGATCTCGTCCAGCCCCTGCGGGTTCTTCGAGACGGAGGCGCCGGTCGCGAACTTTTGGGCGAAGAGTTTGGCGGCCTTCTTGAGGTCGATCTCTGCAAAGATGGTCGGTGATGTGAGACCGCGGAGAGGTAGAGCGGGAGGCGTCGCACCGAAAGCTTCCAGGCCGTGGATGGTTGTCACGTATTTGTTCTTGTTTCGTTGAATCCGCTTTATAGTCACCTGTGCGGGGCATCGCTCAGTTTCAGGTGGGTTTCCCCGATACGGCGGTCTCGCGCACCTGGCTCGCCATCTTCTTCTTCAGTGCGGCGTCAGCCTTGGCTTCCGCCTTGGCTTCCTTCTTTGCGGCCTCCTTCTCGAGTTTGGTCTGGGCTTCGAGCGAGAGAGTGCCTAGCTTGGCTTGCAAGGCCTCTAGCGGTACCGGTGTGAACGGGACGTCGTCCGAGACGAAGGGCGGATAACAGGCACGGACCTTCGGACCAATACTTGTCGTAGAGCTCCGGATGGGTCGACTGTAGCCACTCTTTGCATCTTGTGATGCTCGATCCGAATTCGCAATACTCGGGCGGGAAGGTGCAGACTGTACGGCCGAGGACGAGGTTGCGGGCGCGAATGAAAAGTGATCAACGAGAGGTGTGGTAAGATCGGCGGGTCAAGGTGACGGTAGCAGAGCGCGGAGACTGACTGTGGCAGTAGAGGACCTGCTTGGGCGGGATGGGCTGCTTGGGGGCGTCGGATGTGGAGGGATCTGCGGCGGACATGGCAGCGGTGTGGGACGGGTGTGAGAGGCTCGGCGCCGGCGTCTATCTGAGGAGCGTGTGCATGTCGCATTGCCCTGGGCGCTCGTTTCAGCTGTGTGCCTGTATACTCACCGCATGTACATAAATGAACGCGTGTCTTACGATGATATCCGACGTGTCTCACTTGCATTTCATCCAACCGCCTCCGCATTGCTCTGGTCCAATGGCCGGGGAGCGCGCACGTGGGCGAGCGCGTGATGTGTGCGGTGTCATTGCTCATCCACGGCACATCCTAGAGCCAGAGCATGAGACACATATAAGTATGAGATGCCTTCTACCACGGGCGGGTTGGCGAATAAGTAATGATTAGTAGGCCACGACGCCAGGAGCAGGGCGAGGAAACTGGTACGACTCAGGAACCCGGCGGGATGGCTTCCCAATGCGGCAAGTGGCAAGCGCGATCGGGCGGGAACGACGTCAGGGGCCAGATCCGTTGCCCCGCTTCTCACCGTCACGAAGTTTGCGGGATGGCCACGCCCCTTCGGTCGACGCGCGCATCCTCCCCGCCAGGATGCCGTCCCCGTCCAGCGCCAGCTCGCGCAGGATGCTCCTCCCGTTCAGCAAGCGCACCACCCACACCGTCCCCGACGTCCTCCCCCTCCACGTCCCTGGCGACAACCGCCCTCGATCGCCCCCTCGCCAGTCGACACCCATCCCGCCGCCGCCGCCGCCGACGACGACGACGGCCCACCCTCAGCCGTACCCGCCCAAGCCGCCCCCGGCACCTACCGCCTGGGCCAAGGCCCGCGCCCGCGACCACAAGCGCACCATCGCCTTCGCAAAGCAAGAAGGCAGCTCGCCATGGCGCACCTTCACCAAGCTCCTCTCCCAGATCACCCAGGCCTCTACCGGCTCTCCCTCTGACGGCCTCAGCAACACAGAGAGCAGCACGAGCGTCCCACAGTTCCTGACCGGTCACCGGAGAGAGGCCGAAGACGAGGACTGGAAGCTGGACGAGGTCGTAGTCGATCACGAGTTGGAGGATGCCGACGTACAAGCGCCCTTCAGCCCTATATGCGTACCAGATCACTGATACATTCCACGATACAGACCCATGGCTCCCAACACTCCGCGTCCGGTGTTCCTCCGAAGCAGTCCACCACGCGCCAGTCGGATTCCAACGGCGGTTCCATCCATCGACTGTCCCTTTGGGAAGCAGATCAAGGCGACAGGAGCATGGCGTGGAGGCTTGGCTCCAGGCTCTGGAGTTTCTTCGAACCAAGGTATATACGACAAGCTCCTTCGTCTGGTCTTTGCGTATTGAACGAAATCCGCCCAGATTCGAAGACCCGGAGCGAGAGCTCGAATACCAGAAACTGTCATGGTATTCCAACAAACCTATCGCCGTCTACGCCGCCCTTTATCTCTACCTCAACTGGATCCTGTACCTCATCCTGAATCACTCCGTCACCCCCTACGAGAAGTATACCTACTACGGAGGACTTACCTTCTTCACTCTGCCGGTGCCCTTCATGGTCATCTTCAACATGCCTAGGCGGTACGTCCTGCTCGGCTATCCAGCATGCTCCCGTTCATATCTCGTCGCCAGGCATCCGATCATCTTCCAAATATGGTTTACGATCGCAGTGTGGTACTGCGGGCTCACCGAACTCATACAAATACATCAATGTGATTTCTTCGACCACCCGAACAACACCTGCCACGGCAAGGACTTCCTCGCCATGATGTACTACAATACCGCGCTGCCGGCATTAGGACTCTTCGTCATCAGCAAGAGGCTGTACAACTTTATCATCCAGGCCGTCGTCTTTATCCTCCTGCTCGTGCTCGTCATCCCGGTGCAGTCGATTTTTTCCAGAAACGTGATCAGCTTCGTAGGTCCCAAACTACCACCCCTTCTATGCCGCTACTTATGCTGTTTACCTAAGGCCATTTTCTCGGTTTTCATGCAAGGACTGCACTACACGCGCGAAATGGTATACCCCTATCCTTCGCTTCTATTGTCGCTCTCCTTACCCGGGACGATTGTGGCTCCATCTTAGACAGATCGTCGGATGTACATGCTCAATTCGCAGCTTAAGGTCGCCTATCGGGCGCAGCAAAAGGTATCGGCGTTGTCTCTGGTTTAATCGTACCGTGCTCACCATTCACATTCAGGCCCAAATCGCGGAGAGCAAGGCGAGTCAAGCCAAGAGGCGGTTCGCGTCGTACATCTTTCACGAAGTCAGAGTACCTCTGAACACCGCCAGTAAGTATGAGACGTCCTTTTTATAGCCACAAACTGATGGCCTGCGCAGTGCTCGCATACCAGAACTTGCAGACGTCCAACGCGTTCCGAGCCGCCGCCGACTCGAACCAGAGCGTCGAGATCTACGCGATGGAAGCGAGCTTGACCATGATGCAACAGGTCCTCAACGACGTTCTGGATCTCCAGAGTCGGTGCTCTGCATACAGCCACATCGGAATGAGACTGAGCGTTGTTCACAGAGATGGATGCGGGCCGCTTCGAGTCTTCTCCCCGGCCCTTCAACCTCCATCGCGCCATCTCTTCTGTTGTAGGGGGCCTCGGAGTCGCAACCGCTGCCAAGGGTTTGGACCTGAAAGTGGAAACGGACCCGCGATTAGATCAACTCGCCAAGTCCTGGCACGAAGGCCGAGACGATGGGCTCTGGGTCGTCGGCGATGAAATTCGGCTGCGCCAGGTCCTCACAAACCTGACGAGCAACGCGGTCAAGTTCACCCCTGAAAACGGTGGATCGATCAAAATCGTCTCGAAGGTCATCGCACCGACGTCGGAGGTGCCTACGCCACCATCACCCTCTCGCGATGTGGAGGACCGTGAAGATCACGGTCACCCGTTCGACAAGGAAATGGCGCTCGTGGAGGCCGAGGAAGGCCGCATGCCGCGCGCGTCCCCGCGGGACGGCGAGCGACGACTCGTGATCCGGCTCGAGGTCCACGACTCCGGGCCCGGCATTCGGCCGTCGGACCTCGTCGACAATCGGCTCTTCCAACCGTTCGTGCAGACGCGCGTGGGCAAGCTGAGCGGTAAGGGTTCCGGCCTCGGCCTCGCGATCGTGCGTCAAATCGTGCATCTCAGCGGCGGCAGGCTCGGCGTGCGCTCGCGCAAGGGCGAGGGCGCGATGTTCTGGGTCGAGCTCGCGTATTCGGTCGCGACGCCGGAGGAGGTGGAAGCTGCGAGGGAGAGGTCTGCGTTCTTGCCCTCGCCGGCGATCCGTGATGAATCGTCGATGGGTGGGGTGCCGCCTGCGCTGTCGGCAGCGTCGGGGTTGCCCGAGAAGGACGGAACGGCGGCGGTGCCCCCCCAGCCGGTGCATCATCCTACGTCGTTCGGGTCTGGAATATCACGCAAGACCGACACGACGACGGACAGCGAGTTTCCACCGTCTTTGCCGCCGGTGGATCTGAAGGACACGACGCCTTTGCCGAGGTGAGGGACTGAGTATTCCTGAGATCTCCACGGTTAGCTTACGAGGTCGACGAGGTATGATAGCTTGCCTGCCACTGCGCCTCCCAGCATCACCTCGACGCCGGCATCCCCGCCGGTAGGTCCACCCACACAGGCGGCGAGCACCGATGCGGATGACCCGCTCTATGTACTCGTCGTGGATGACGACGGCATGACGAGGTGATGTCATTATGTGTTGTTGTCGAAGAGAATTCCGCTAACGACCTCGCAGAACGCTCATGGCGAGGATGTTGACGAAACTTGGGTGTCGAATCGATACGGCGAGCGACGGTCAGCAGGCGCTCGACATGATCCTCGGCGGCGATCCGAAGAAACCGTACGATTGGATCAGCTTGGACAACTACATGCCCGTCATGACCGGCGAGGAAGCGGTGAAGGAGCTGCGAGCCCGAGGACGTAAGGACCTTGTCATCGGTATGTGCGAATAAGTCTTGTTTCCCTTGCCGTGCTGACGTTCTGGCTCAGGCTGTACGGGCACGGCGTTGACAGAAGACCAAGCGAGTTATATCGCCGCTGGTGCGGACCGCGTGCTCGCCAAACCGATCATGCTCAAGTACGTGTCCTGATCGTCCCTCCACGTTATCGGTACTTATATTCGATACCACAGGGATCTGAAGGCGGTCCTCGACCTAGCACGGCAACGAAGAGAAGACCGTCGGGCGGGTCGAGAACCGCGCTCACCCCCTGAACACCCAATACCCACATAATAGCGCATGCATTAACGCATGTTCATCACACTGACGGGACCATAAATACGGGGTTCCCTATAAACTAATCCTCGCGCATTCGTGTCTTTTGTCCAGATTCCCCTTGGTTAATATGCTTTAGATATACATACCATTGTTGATCGTAAGCGCATCCTGTACTCATAGCAAGCAGTCGTCCGTGATTCATCGGGCCCTAGATATACCTCCGTTGTGTAATATTTAAGACCATACATATGGTCATTGGAATCATTTGGGAGAAATGTGCACACTCCAGACCATTTGGCGTTCGTTCACGAGTTCAGCAGCAACCGTCACTTGCTGATGCGTGTCACGGAACACGCTCTCCCACAGTGCCTTCCACGATTCGGGAGAGTGTATGTAACGTGGTCCCCTAGCAGACACAGCGTGTAAGCCCTAGATGACAAGGCAAAACAAGGCATCACTCACCGCCCCATATTATCTCACATCGCAACATCAGTGTTTGGGTGTGGCAACTGAACGAACGCGACATACCAGGCGTCAATCCTGCCGTAAATTGACCTCGGTGCCTACCAAAGATGATCGCAGGCCGATCCTTGGGCACCAGGGTAGCCAGCCTTAACGCCATCGCGACTTGCGTTGACTCGTCAAACTGTACTGCCCGTTGAGAATGGCGTACCCGAGATCATGCAAGCCTATCGCACCAAATGGAACACGGCGCCGGTGTATATGTGGTCGACTCGCCCTTGGAGGTGCTCTAGGCGGGATACTTCTTTCAGCGGAACCGGCGCGTCGTGCGACGAAACGTCGAGCGGGATCTCGAAAACGTCCGACTGGAAGAAATGGATCCTGCACTTGTCCTTATCTTCGAAGAGGCCGTAGCCGATCTCGATAAAGTCGAGACGAAGGTCGCATGCCAGCACTTTCTCCGCAGGATAACCGTCGTAGACCGCTTTTCTGGCGTCCGTGCCCACTGCGCTCTGGACGTAAGTTTGAGAGCGCAGGTACAGCGGATAGCGATGTACACACTCATGCAACCAATATCCAGCAGGATCGTGTTTCCGGTCCGACCCTCGCGGAGGACCTGAGGATATACTGGATGCCTGGCCATCCGCGTGGCCACAAATTGAAATGCTCGGATGCACATGTACGGAAATTGGGCGCTAGATAGTGAATGTGAGCCAAGCGCAGTCAAGGCGGTTTCGGCTGGATGGGTCGTACTATAGACTGTTACACAAGTAAGTACTCCTGATTACTTGAAGGCTGAGAAGAGACTCACTCTTTCTGAGTACGAATGATCTTCGCCCTGATCTCCTCTTCCGTTCCGGACATGGTCTCTCGCAGGAAAGCCATCTCGGGATCTGACAAGTCCAGCTCCAGCTCATGACTACCTAGAGCTGGTATCAACTCGGGCGGCGGCTGAGCTGGTCGAGTGATCTTGAGATCAGCCATGCTTCAGTGAGAGACAGAGGGAAAGTGGTTGCGACCTCAGCATCGAACAGTGCTAGCGTTTATCTGGTGGCCTGCCGAAATGCGGGGCTGCCGATGCCAAGTTTAGGGACTGTTATCAGATTAGATACCGAAGTAATGCGGCAGCAGTCCTGAGGCAGTGACCGCCGAAGCTGGTGCGAGAGCGAGGATCCTGTCAGCTTCGTCTTCGTCGCTTTCGGTTCGATGGCTAGGTGTGTTGCATACCTATGTAACAGCGGCCGGGGCATGGTTGGTCGTCACCGAAGAAGTGTAACTGCTTATTCAGCACGGGACAAGTATAGCTAGCGGTGCCGGCTCTGGCGATAACCTCCAGCCATATGAGCAATCGTGGACGCCGGGTCCAGAGAGCACCTAGAGCTTCGTGTGCTTGAGGAAGTCGAGATGGACCACCGGAAGCAAACAAGGTTGGATCGTTTTGGTACTATGCCGGGTTACAATACATGAAGAGAACTGCGGTCGCGATTGGCCAGAGTTCAGGAACGCAAGGCTCGAATGAGAGCATACCTTCTTTGTGGTTACGACTCATTCACCTATAACATACGTGCATCCCGTATCCCCAATCCACACTTCGTGCACCTTCCGCGCTGGCACGTCTAGCCTTTCCCCTGGCCCAAATGTCTCTCGGATACCGTTCGGATCGTCTCTCGGGTACGTGATCGTGAGTTTCCCATCCAGGATTAGATGTGTTGTGAGTCCCGCGTGCGAGTGGGGGGAGTAGTGCGCGTTTCTGGGTGGACCATAGTGCCGCGTTCGTTGAGTCCCGAGGATCGCATGAGAAACCTGGTTCAATTGAGGACGCTTGCTGAGACGCACGGGCTATCTGTCCAGGTAAAGACGTGTGAGAAGCCCCAAGACCGCACTTGAGTTTCTGCATCCGCTTGGGAGAGCATCGCGGTGAAGAGTAAAGTTGTCGTGAATTCAGTCAGATGTGGGTCACCGCCACGTTCTCTACTTCGCGGCAATATCTCTCGACCAACCTCTCAACCAACCTCTAGCCTGTGCAAGGCTTGCTCCGAGGCTTATGCACTGATCCGCACCAGGATGCATGGACATCGTCTATGAGATTCATATCCTAGCCACGTCATCAAGGTCTTCCCCCTTTCCTCCCGGCACTACTCGTCGTCCTACATTATCGCTCGTTCACTTCGTCCTCAACTGGACACCCAAAGTCCTACTCTCGTAAACATGTTTGTGTGTATCCCTCCGTTCTTGCCGTCCCGCTTTGCCGTCACATGCACTGCGAACTGCAATTAAGTTCAGCTCGGTGGAACCAATCTACTGCCCATTCTCATGATCCGTGCGACGACTGTCCTCGAGGAACCCCGCATGCGGGTCTCGTGTTCATTCCATTCTCCAACTGGTTCGCCCTTTCCATTGGCTGTCCTCCGCAGCTCGAAGACTGCGATGGGGGGTTTTGCTGCCTGACTACGGTCTTCATTGGTTACAGCAATGTTCCCCCTCCGGCGAATAACATGCGAGGCATACCGAACGGTGGATACATTGATCATTTCGAACGTCTTTACTGGCGCCCTTGATTGCTACGGAACTCTGATTCTTGGTCACGGTGACCGATCAGCATACTCCACCCTGCTACCCACGGGATCAAGACAGCGTTTGCCGCATATGCGGCACTTAGTTCGCAAGCCAGGCGTCGAAAACTCAAACTGTCTTCCATGTTCTTCTCTGCGCTCAGTTTCAACGCTTGGTCGTTCCTATGACCTGCGCAGCGCGGCCCGCAGGATGTGAATTCGTGCAATCGTAGCTCTCTCGCCACTCGCTAGGCTTCATTGGCTGGCGAGCGGTAGCGACATCTCTTATAGCCTCGCTTCGCCGATACCTGCGTCTCATGTTATCAGGAAGACGACGATTCAATTCCACAGCTATACCTGGTGACGCCTTCGACTATATCGTCGCTGAGAGCTTTCTTCCTGGGCAGGGAGCGATTGGCTCTTCTCGATGCAGGAACGGCCAAGGTCCGTTCGCCGGTGCCCTTCCGTTCCTTTGTGCGCAGACGCTATCAACCTTCTGGTGACCTCACGCGCGGGCCAGCTGACATTGCTGACATAGCCGACATTTCAGCTGTGCGTGATCGGGGACGAAATGCAGATATAAACCACCGACAAATGCGCCCCCACCGTGGAAGGACTCCTTTGTGATTCCAATCTTACTTCAACTGTTACTCTGAACGAAACCAATCATGGTGCAACCACAGGAGGTCGACGTAATCGTCGCGGGGTACGCACGGTTTCTATATTGTCGTCGTCGACCTTTAACGCCCGACTATAATTCGCAGAGGTGGCCCTGCGGGTTCGTAGTTGCTATGGTCATGTTCTCCGGCCCATCTCCAACGCTTCCCCACAGGCTGCGTAGTCGCGGGCCGTCTGGCTTACGCTGACCCCAACCTGAAGGTCATGCTTATTGAGGGTAAGCCATCGCCGCCTTAGGTCCACCGTCACGACATGTCAACTCCCCATAGGCGGCGCCAACAACAGAGACGACCCGTGGGTCTATCGGTGAGCTCGGACCGTCTTTCTTCAGTGATGTTCTGCTGACACGCTATCCCCCAGGCCCGGTATCTATGTCCGCAACATGCAGAGGAACGGCACGTAAGTATGCCCGTGACCGACATACGACGATCCACTGACATTATTGCAGCAATGACAAGGCGACGTTCTACACGGATACAATGGAGTCGTCTCACCTGCGCGGAAGGCGCTCCATCGTCCCGTAAGTCATTCCGTATCCGAACAAGTTCCGACTGGCTTAAGACGATGTACAGCTGTGCAAACATCTTAGGTGGCGGTAGCAGGTGAGTCGGGATGGCTACTCATGATAACGGCGATGCTGATGCTTCATTCCAGCATAAATTTCCAGGTCAGTCTTATATCCTCGACCGAATCGTTCGGACGTATTGATCGACGGCGCATCAGATGTACACTAGGGTATGATGCACTATTTTTTAAACGTCAACAATGACTAAAATAATGGCTGGCGCTAGGCTTCCGCCTCCGATTGGGGTAGGTCCACAACTCACACACACACCATATTACATACCCCTGACACGCCTCTGTGTAGATGATTTCAACGCTGAAGGATGGGCTGCCAAGGACCTCCTTCCTCTCATGAAACGCGTACGCACATATATCTCTGTCACTCAACACGGTCTCAACATATCCGCGCTCTCCAGCTTGAGAATTACCAGAAGCCGGCGAACAACGACACCCACGGTGAACAGCTGTCGTGGACAAACACATCGCGCAGAAACTGATTACGTGATTACGGTCATCAGGTTACAACGGGCCCATCGCTATCAGCAATGGTGGACAGGTGAGGCCCTTGGCTCAGGACTTCTTGCGCGCTGCGCATGCTATCGGAGTTCCGTACAGTGGTACGCGAAATTCTTCCATCCAATATAGCTCATGACTTTAATGCCATGAATCTATGCTAGACGACATCCAAGATCTCGAAACTGCTCATGGCGCGGAAATTTGGGCCAAATATATCAGTACGCCTGCACGTCCTCCCCCAAGGTTTATGTTCACGCCAGATTGCAGACCGTGAGACTGGACGGCGGAGTGATGCCGCTACAGGTATAGTGATTCAAATCTACTTTTGATACACTGATCTCAGTGCTTCCCGTGCAGCCTACGTCCACAGCGTCATGGACGTTCAGACCAACCTGTACCTGCGCTGCAATGCTAGGGTGTCTCGAGTTATCTTCGAGGGCAACAAGGCCGTTGGCGTAGCATACGTTCCTTCTCGGCCTAGGGTCAGCGGTGGCGCCGTCGAGGAGACTATTGTAAGCGTTCTGATGATCAGGACATCGACGCAGAGCTGACGCTGTCATCCAGGTTCGCGCTCGCCGCTACGTCGTGTTGAGCTCTGGGACTCTTGGAACCCCCCAGATATTGGAGCGGTCTGGCGTCGGCAACTCCCGTATGCTGCAGGAGCTGGGCATTCCCGTTGTCAGCGACCTTCCAGGTGTCGGGTACGCTGTCTTTCTGGGCTAGCATCGGGATGATTCTGACCTCTGTTACAGCGAGGAATATCAGGACCACTACACGACCCTTTCTCGTATGTCTCTGGAATAGTCCGAGTTCTCACAGCGGATCTCATGATGACTTCCAGTTTACCGCGTATCCAACGAGAGCATGACTACTGACGATTTCTTACGTGGTGTCAAAGAGGTCCAGAGAGAGGCAAGGTCAAATTTTCTCCTCAATTCCCTCGGCTAACATGAAGTTGTTCGTAGCTCTTCGCCGAGTGGGAGACAAGCCCCGAGAAGGCGAGGCTGTCCTCGAATGCGATCGATGCTGGGTTCAAGGCGCGTGAGCATGTATTGCTGATCTGTCATAAACTGATGCCCGTTCTCTAGATCCGGCCGACTGAGGCGGAGCTCAAGGAGATGGGGCCGGAATTCAATGAGCTTTGGGACCGCTACTTCAAGGACAAGCCTGACAAGCCTGTCATGTACGTCATCCCGGACCCGAATCACGAGCATAGACTGATCCTACGTTTCCAGGTTTGGCTCCATCGTCGCCGGCGGTACGTCTGCCAAATCCCCTTCGGCCTGCTTGCTGACATGCCCCATTAGCCTACGCCGACCACACCCTTCTTCCTCCCGGGAAATACATGACTATGTACGTTTCGATATCTGCGTTCCGGATTGAGTCTTATGCACGTGTTGCAGGTTCCAGTACTTGGTAAGCTATGCGTAAGCACCAACCCAAATCATGAGCTCACCTCTCCACAACATTAGGAATACCCGGCTAGCCGCGGAAAGGTAAGGACGCCATCGATCGTACTGCCACTGTTCTCAGATTCCGTCCGATCTAGATCCACATCTCCTCCCCGAACCCGTACAAGGAGCCGAACTTCGACAGTGGTTTCATGAACAACAAGGCTGACTTCGCCCCGATTCGGTGGAGCTACAAGAAGACGAGGGAGGTGGCTCGCCGGATGGATGGTATGCTGTATGGTCGACCAAAAGGACGCGCTTGACATTTATCCATCAGCCTTCCGCGGCGAATTGTCTTCGCACCACCCTCACTTCCACCCTGCGTCACCCGCCGCAACGAGGGACATCGACATTCAGACTGCGAAAGAGATTTACCCCGAGGGTTTGACTGTCGGGATCCACATGGGAACGTGGCACAGGTAGATCAAGAAAGGTGACGCATAACATCTTCATTGCTCATATCGATATGCTTAGGCCGAGCGATCCGTACGACGCTTCGAAGGTTCACAACGACATCAAATATACCAAAGAGGACGACGCTGCCATCGACGACTGGATTGCAGATCACGTCGAGACGACGTGGCACAGCTTGGGCACCTGTGGTATGTCTCCATTGCATGTTCTTGGGAGTGTAGAATACTGATCCTCTTAACGAAAGCCATGAAGCCTCGCGAGAAAGGTGGTGTCGTTGACCACCGTCTCAACGTCTACGGTGCGCTGGAACCTGGTCGTCATATATAGGTTTGCTGAACAATATCCTTCCAGGCACCGAGAACCTCAAGTGCATCGACTTGAGTATCTGCCCCGATAACCTGGGAACCAACACCTACTCTTCTGCCTTGCTGGTAGGGGAGAAAGGCGCCGACATACTGGCAGAAGACCTCGGTTCGTACCGCCACCTCTTGCGATATGAAGATCACCCGGCTAAGGGTTGTTATAGGCTTGCAAATCAAGGTTCCTCACGCACCTGTCCCTCACGCACCGGCTCCGAAGGGTGTCGCGTCTACTCAAGTCCGCTGATGGATCCTCTTCTTCGTCGTCGTGCTCGTAGGCTTTGAGGTATCGGGATGTATGATAAAGGTCTGAAAACGCTGCAGAGCTTTGTATTGACCCCTTTGGTGGGATGTCTGTACGATTAAATGTCCAATACGACATTCGGATGACCACATTGACGAACCTTCATGCACATACGCTCGAATGCCTATCATCTACCGCTTCGTATTCGAGGCGCGCTTCACGAAGGGGCTGAGGACGCAGACAATCGTGCACAGCTATTCAAAGGGGGATAGAGGGACAATGTATTCCCCGCCTCCAGTACGCCCACCGGGAGAGACTGGAACATAAAAAGCCAAAACCCACGATGCAACCGCATGCTGGCATTCTTTCACCCCTTCGTGGGCGGCGAACATGCGCTGCAGTGCTGTAGTTGACGAACAAAGACGGACTACATTCAACATTGGCCCACACTGGTCTCGGTGCACATATTGCGTAGCGCATATACGATCTTGTTCTCAGACGGCTCTTCAGGGTGGCTTCTAGATTACGGTACTGGCGGTCGCAGACGTAGATGATGTGCCCTCAGGGTAGGAAAATCATATTACCGATCAAATTCAAAGTCTATCGGAGATCGCGAGGGACATGGTGGCGGTGCTACACATGGCTTCTCATTCCTTTCTCCGACGCGTTGCACATCCGATGTTGAACTCTTTCATGATAACCGCTGTTTGTAAAAGACAAGTCAACGTCAAACGATGTAGAAGACAGATGATGGCGTACAACGGATGACTTATGAAACTATGGCGACGACGTGGCTCTTGCCCGGAACGAGGCTTGATACGGTTGCGCCCTGTGCCCTCTCGATGATCGACTGCTTACTCTGGACGCCACGCATTCTCTCTCTCTGTGGGTCTTTAGATCTCTTTCAGAGGCACTCTCTACTGTCTGGAAAGCCACTGTTTCTTGCTATGCGTATAAGTTTCTCGTCGAGATGGACTGGCTACCCATTCGAAATCGCCAGTACTCTCGTCTGCAATCGTTTTACGGTGCTATCCTAGCCTCGTATACTCTATTATACTCTACTCCTCCTCGAGCGCTTGTAGACATGTCCGGTCCTGGCCGCCAGCAAATCTACACCGAGTTCACCCCGCAAGCCGGCCATGGAACGACACCCGCCGGCAGCTCAGGCCAAGGTCTTAGTCTTGTCCCAGTACCTCAAGATGCTCCCGAATCGAAGGCTAAGTCGTCCTCCACTTCGAGTTCGAACTCCGCTTCTCCGGTTATTCCGCTCAACGCCATCAACGCCAATTACCTTCCACTTTCGCTTGCCCAACTTTTGCCTGACACCAGTGTTCCCGTACTTGCTCGCGTCCTTCAGAACTACGGCCTCCCGGCGTTCCCTCCTGGAACGCAGAAAGCGTCTCTCAGGATCAGGGTACGGTTTTCCTGTTGATTGTCTGTTCGTTATTAAAATATGGGTTCGAATGCAGTGGCCTGGATACACGAGCGGAGAGCGCACCTTGCCTTTCGTACTTTCTGGTCCAGGTGGGCCTGCTTCTCGTGCAGATGTAGTGCGCCAAATTGCCAAAATCTTCTCCCAGGTCTATGAGGTGAATGCATTCGTCATTTATTCATGTCGCACTGATTAAAAACGAGCGCGTCCTCTGTTCAGAAGCTCCAGTACGACACTCCCTTCAATAAGCAATGGAGACTTGGTCCTTCGGCGATCTCAATGGATGACGTTTACCTTGCGAATCTACGCTACGTTTCTCAAGATATATGGCAATGCGATTTTCTCGTAGCCGTTGCTTAGACAGCAAGCTTGAGAACAGCTCGTGTCTTTCTGGTCATTCACTCGGACAAAACATATTACAGGCGTGAAGAGCAAACAGCTCTCGTCGGTCCTCAGCAAAGTATTCACGATATAATACACGGACTTCATCGATATTCCCAGCGCTCATGTACTAATCGTCGCATTGTGTTGCTCTCGTTATGCTGTCAGCTGCTGCTCGCATCTATCTGTGAATCTGCTTTGCAATTGAATGAATATGTCTACATCCTTTTCTTACGTTGTCTATTATCCGATAGTACAAAACAGCTCGTTCAACCAAGCGATGCACCGTACAGTCAGAATGTTATGGATCGACTTGAAGTTGTTAACCTACAAAGCTTCCACAACCAGGTCATAACCTTCTCTTCTGCTACCGCCTTCTTCTTCTCGAGGCTGAAGTACGACACGGAGCTTGCGACGCTCAAAGGCACTTCCCTGCCAGATATCCAGCAATAATTTGGTTTCTTCCAGAGGTGATTTGACGAATGATTGATCATATTGGCGACCCGCAAATCCGCGCCCCGCGGTCAGTGTGGATGCAAAACCGCGAACCCCAGAGAGGCTGAGGGGTACCTTTGTCGAGCCAGCGTTGCGGGCAGCTAGGCCGAGTCCGACGAGAAACTCCGCCCAGTCGTGTTCGCCGATACCATGCGATCCCAGCTGATCAGGGGCGTACAACGGTTGGAATCCGTCGGTGATCGAGGAAGAGACGGATGGAATGCGGAACGGAGTAAACGAATGGGATCGGATCCGTATCGGGGACGGCGTGGAGAAACACGACGGCGGGGGGTCTAAAGGTCCGGTACGATCCTTGAGAACGGCCGAGAATGAAACAGACAATGCCACAAGCCCTGACTGAGGCCCAGGGCTTTGCGCTGGCGCCGTTCTGGAGTAAGGCGGGGGAGGTTCCGTAGGAGTTTCCTCCGCTTTATCGATATCTTCTGTTCGACTGGGAGGTGATCCAGGGGGAGGGGCATACTGGTGAGTGTACGGCTCCGGCGCACCAGGAGGTGGATGGTATTGAGTGCGCGCGGGAGGCGATCCGGGTGGGGGTGGGTAGGAGGTCATCGCGGTAGCTGCGCAAGTAGCGATTGCGTGACGTCATAAGTTAGAAGACAGCACATCAAACCCATGGCGCTTACATTCGCGAGCGGATACAGAGCACAATAAAAAAACTCCGTTATATACTCATTGCCTATTTAATCAATACGCTCCAGTACATCATATGATGAATACGTTGTTCTCCTCCTCGTGCTGCGATTGCTAAAGACTGGCTTAATTGTGCATTCACCTCCACTCGGTTCTGTGCAAAGTCTTCGCCTTCCAGATTCCCAAAGACCCGTTTCCACAACTTCTTCCACGACTCAGGGGAGTGCCCGTAGCGCACTCTGCATACTACTGAGAGGAGGGCTCGAAGAACATGACGTTTCAAGTACATACCTGCTCATATGATCTATGCGAACTACATGAGCGCGTGCAATCACCGTTGAACATCATCGTCAAGCGCACCGGGTATCAGACCTTCCTCTTCACGTCCTTGATGTCTTCCGAAGATTATAGCTCCAGTATCTCTCTTTAAGAGCAGCGCAACTCGCAATGCCATAGCATATTGCGTAGGTTCGTCAAACTGTCGTAGTATCCATAATCAGTATGTATATATGTTCATAAACAGATAAGATCTGTCCCCCTACCAAATGGAAGAGTGCGCCGGTATAAACGTGCACCAGCCTGTTGCGTAGTTGGGCGAGGTTTGTTACATCAGATAAGGCGACGGCCGATGTTAGCGAGGGCGAATCCAATGAGAGCTCCAGGATATCGGAAGCGAAGAAGCGGATGTTACACGAGTTCGCATCTTCATACAACTTGTGACCGAGATTGATATACTCCTGGTGCAGGTCCGTGGCCAGCACATTCGAGGCGGGATATCCGTCCTGCACAAGACATCTTACGTCGCTTCCCACTGTAATGTGCGTCAGCATGATCTCAAGGAAGTTACAATCACAAAGACGCACTCATGCATCCGATGTCCAGGAATATGGTGTCACCTCCCTTTGCCGCTTCGATGACGCGGGGATATATTTCATTCCGCCGCATCATCAAACACACAAAGTGAAAGCCATGTATGCAGGGATATGGCCATTGCGAGCTTCATCAATCATATCGATCAGCGCGAAAATGCTGCGAGGCTTCTAACGTTAACGCCCTCACTATGCCCTGGACAAAAGCAAGCTCGGAATAGCGAGCTAGGGAATCAGCTCAAATAACGCACTCTCGTTGGATCTCTAGTATCTTCCACTTGATTTCATCTTGATCACCAGGGATCGCTGAGTACAAGAACTGCCACTCGGTGTCCGAAAGTTGCAGACGCGAAGTGTCGAGTTCAGGGATGACGTCTTTTTCTGGGCGTACTTCCCGGGTGATCTGGACATCGGCCATGGCGAGGTAAGTATGTTGGGATAGTATTTCGCTCGATGCTGACGATATGAACAAGAATGCGACGAAAGGGGAGTTCGACGGAAAGCTGGCGGTATGTAGAACTGATAAGGCTTGTAGGTTGCGTACGTCATTTGTAAGCTGTTCCCATGTCACATATTATGAGCACGATGCGTGAGCTCTAGAGAGACGAAGGCCTGGCAGGTAATAAGTATGACATATGAGATGGATGCATATGGTCCAGCACTATCCTGTTGCGCATCCGCAAGCTCGGTGGACTGGGGGACTTCGCCATTTTTGCCACGTGGCAATCACTTTCAGAGATGTCGTTCAAAATATGAATCGTCTTCCTACATAATCAAGCCCTGCCACGGCGTGATTATGTTTGCGGCGTGAACGTTCCATAAATCACCGTTCTAGAGGACAATGAGCTACAACCAATTTGCTACTGCCGCATCTTTGTTCGTCGCCGGCTATTGCTTGAAGGCAAGCCATGCTTCATTCAGAGCCCCGAATACACCATTTGCTATCATCCTCTGCTCCAAAGTCGTGTTGTTGACGTTTAACTATGTGTCATTCTGTCAGCATGGGCAAATGGGACGAGCAAGGTAACCCAAACCTTATCCGGATGCACCTTTGCGATCGCCTTAACATATCGCACTTTGACCTGACCAGGGCTCACGAGCTCATGCATACCAACCTTCTGCCATCCGAGCTCGGGCCAAAGTACCATATCGAGACTCGCGATGAGCGCCCGCAAATTGGTCTCCTTTCCACTCTTCCACGCGAGCAGCCGCGCGTCCACAGTGTCCTTCAGCTCCGCGCGCTGATTCTCCTCCGCATCCTGCGCGGCGTTGGAAGCCTGGAGGCGTTGAAGAGCGGCCGAAGGGGGGGTAGGGCCCCGTCTGGGCGAAGGCCGGGCAGGCTTCGGAGCGGGCTTACTCTTCGGCGCGGCCTTGGACGAGGAAGCCTCTGGCGGCGCCTCGCCGCGTTTGCATCTACCAATACCGCGTAAGGCCTCCGACCTCGTGTTGGACGGAACCCAGCCCGTTCCGGCGAGCTTCTCCCAATCTTCACGCGCCTGTGACCAACGCTCCAACGCCTCGTAAGCTTCGGCGCGACGTCTAAGCGCCTTCGCTATCCCATCCGCAAGGTCGATCTCAATATTACGGGTACCTCCTTTTGCTAGCGAACTGTTGGATGCTTCCAGGCCACCATTAAGCGCATCCAGGGCGTCAAACCCGGAAGCATTGCTCGCGGGATTGCTGGAGTTGGATGACTGGATTGTGAGCTTCACGATCCGTTCTTCGCGGCTGGGATCCCAGCCATTGAGCATGGTGAGCACCGCAGTGCAGTCGTCTGCAGCCGCTTTGCCGTCACCGACCTTAATCCGAGCGAGGGCGCGGTTGTTCAGCAGCTGAACGAGGAGAATATGTCCTGACGGCAGTGCATCGATGCCGCGGGTGTACGCATCGACGGCATCTGCGTATTGACCAAGCTTGAACTTCGACGCACCCACGTCCTTATGGCGAACGGCGGTGGAGATTGCGGAGGATGATGCGGTAGGGAAGTTGCGTGCTTGTAAGGGTGTCGGCGGTGCCGATCGACGCAATGGTTGGGTAGTCGGAGGAGAAGCTTGAGGCGGAGTTGCTACTTGAGCGGGTTGCTTGGGCCGTGAGCGGTGTCGGAAAGGCGAGACATATGCCGTAGGTGCATCGGAGGACAGCAAGTCATCCGTCTTGACCTCTGGTTTGCGCTCAATTTCCTGTGCCGGTTGAGGTTTTCGTCGGCCCTGGTCGCGCTGCGCCTCGCCTGCGACACGATCCTTGCTCGAGCTAGTAGGTAAGCCCCATTCATCTTCTCCTTCTCGAACCTCCCTCTCAGCTGCGTCTTGCATCCATTTCGGTCTTCCGTCTGTGCGAGTAGAAGCCGGTGTGCCGCTCCTCCCCGCTCCACCCCTCGCGGCTTTGCTCTCCTCATAAGCCTTCGCCGCTTCTTCGTAGGCCTTCTGTGCACGTTCCCGACCCTCCTTCAACAGCGCGTTCGCCTTGCTAAACATGCTGAAACCAATCTTGCTCGCCTGTGCAAGGAACTCGCCGCTATCAGGCTCCTCGCCAGCACCTGCGGGACTTTGGCGCCGGTTCTCAGCTCGGAGGGGCCGGGCCCTGTTGCTATCTCCGGACGTTACGGGAGGCCGAGGTCGAGCATCGAGGGCAGACTGTCCGGAGGGCTGGTCGTCGTCGTCAAAGGAGAGCAGGCTCTCGGCCGCCGTCTGGACATTGAAGCCGCTATCCGTGGCGGTCGCAATCAGGGCGCTGCGCGCTTGCTGCGGTGCGAAGCCCATTTCGACCAATTGCCCAACGAGATGGGGCGGCGGCGACGCTGCCCGGGACGATGGAGCGGGCCGCGAATCAAGCGCGGGAGAGGCCGACTGTCGAGCGGGAGCCTAAGAGCAGAGTCAATCAGCTAAAAAGCAGACGCCGAGGGATGTTCTGAACACTTGCCTGCCCTCGCCGCGGACGACTGCCAGCAGGTTTGCCGAAGCCCAGAAGATCATCTCCATGATCGTCATCATCCGACTCGTGCCCGAGTAGTCGGTCCTCGCGACTTCCGAAATCGAAGTCATTGCTCGGGGAGTCGGAACGTACGCGTGCTCGTGGTACATGGGACGATGAGGATGCAGCAGGATGATCGTCTTCAAGGCTCCATATAGATTGGAGTTGGGAAGAGCTGGAGGATGTGGCAGGGGCTGCGTTTGCTTTGACTGGTTTAGGACGAGCGGGGACGGAGGAGGTGAATGCGTCGTCGAGACCCCAGTCTTCGGCAGCTGCTTCAGGAGCGGACTTGGCGGCGTACGCGTTGGTGGTGTTTGACGTCGACGTCGACCCAAACAACCAATCGTCATCCTCCGCCGGCGGGACGGATTGAGTCGGGATCTGCGCGCGTATTGAGGACGAAGCTGAGCTCATGCCGAGACTATCCAAGCCTGCCCATGTCTGTGCGTTCGCCTTCCTCGCCTCTTGTTGCTGCGTTAGCTGCCTCAATCTATCCTGCTCCGCCTTCGCAGCGCGCTCAGCGATTGTCATGTTCGGGTTCCCTGCACCTCCCGGGCCGGAACCCAAGGTTGATTGGAAGAGGTCGCCGAAAGCATCGCCAGACCTGGACGTGCTGATAGGTTTGGTCGTGCCCTGCTGGGGCGGTTTGGCAGCATTGTTGCGGGCCTGAGACTGGGCCGGCGTGATCGGTCGCGAGCCGGCTAAGGCGGCAAAGACGTCGGTCTTTGGAGGGGGTGACCGGCCGTTGGCTGGAGATGGGGAGGAACCAAGGGTACGAGGAGGTGCTGCGGCGGGCTTGACGGGAGCGGTCGCATTCCAGAGATCGGCAAAGGAGTCAGACATGGGTATTATCGCAGAACACAATCCAGACCAGCTAGAGTTATCAGAGGATTAGACACAGAAACGCGACACAGTCCTGCCCTTCCGCTCCCTATGAGTGCCCCGAGACGAGCTCAGTGACCGGACTGATCGTGGGAATCCCGCAAGAGGCCTTACTTCATCCCGTCTCTTTTCCTCTCCTCGACGACGAACCACCGACGGCCCGTTGCTCCTCTGTTCCGTTAGTGTTGGCGCCAGCTGAAGCCTCCTAATGCGATCCTTCCCGCGGGTTTCTTCGATGAGATAGGAATGAGTGTAGGCGCTTTGGCAACCGTCGAACGGAACCTTAGCCCGTGTATGTGTTGGCCTCGACGATGAACGATACCCTGCGAGTAGAGCTCGTGGCTGTTCCACATGTGCGTGTCTCGATGAAACGCATACACATTAGAATGCTGGGGTGGCTTGCTCGCTGTGATCTTATTGATCGTCGTTGTTTACGGATGTGCTCCGCATCATTTCCAAGCTTAGAACATGAAGTTCGAGCAGCCTCTTCGCATTTGGTCTGAACATAGCATGATTGTGAAAGCTCTGTCATGAGGTGACTCAACATACATGTTCGACAGAGACAAACTTGTCATCTATGTCAACAACCGCAAGCTCATGTTGTCACGATGACGACGTTCAGGTTTTCCGCCGATGCACGCGGGCTGGCGTGTTGTAGGAGTATGTATCGCTTCCTTACGAGGTTTCTATGCCATGGGAGCGCCACTGTTCTGATACCTCTCTTAGGATGTGTTACAGCCAGACACGTCTGTTATCGCCAAGCATCAGGGACATGGGGACGTGGTCGGGCACGACGCTCCCATGCCAGCGGCTACATTCCATAGCCCGAACCCCTTCGTGCCTCGGTATCATGTGGAACATAGCCTGTGCGGAGTCAACCTTCAGCCGCCCGAGAACTGAAATGGTTTGGATCCTTTCTGCCGCGGAGGTAACCGACGTCTGTGGCGTATTGGTTTACGATGTTCACGTCCAAAAGACATCGGACAACAGCGTGGCAGTTGTAATGCCCGAAAGCGTCCAGTTTCCGTGACATGCTTGGCTTCGTCAGTGTTCGAATAAGAACCCGGAGCGCCGTCCTGTTCATCCAGCGTTGCGTCCCCTCTCCGGTACTCTACTACTCCCTGGATCCCTCCACGCGCCGGCGTCGGCGTGTTCTTACCACCACAATATTCGCGACATGATTTCTTACTTCTCACCCCTCCACTCTCCTTGGTCACCGTCGAACATCACAGCTATCGCTCTCGCCCTCTCGGCTTTCCTCATTATCGTCAAGATCGTCTATCGCCTCGCGTACTCTCCCCTTCGTTTCATCCCTGGTCCTTGGTATGCCGCGGTCTCCGACTTCTGGCTATTGACGCACGTTGTCCGCCTCCGTCAATGCTTCGTCGTGGACAAATTATTTGAGCAGTACGGTCCCGTCGTCCGCATCGGTCCGAACAAGGTGGCTTTTTGTGATCAGCAGACTATGCGCAGTGTCTATTGTGTCCATAAATTCGATAAAAGCTGTAAGTTTCACGAGCTCCAGCGCGATGATCTTGGCTCAACATTATTCCAGCATTATACAAGGCTTTCCTGACGTGAGTGGATTGATTGTGTGTTATGTCCTTGTTGCTCACGAGTCTGGCCAGTAATGACAACGACCATGCGTCAGTAGCTGAACCACTTCCCGATACCTGTGTCTGAAATCTTGAGATAGTATGACGACACTGCGGCATTCTGCACACGCCACTCGCAAGCGCGGCTACTCTCCTCATTACATGCCATCTAACTTGGCACTTTTCCAACCTGAGATCCAGGATTCTACTCTGGAGCTCATTCGGGTTCGTGATTGCGTTATAATCCGTCGTGTCATCTGAGATTAGACCCATAGATGCTCGGAGAGAACGGTGGAAGGACGAAGCTCGATTGTCTCGTTCTGTTCCGGCACCTTCTGGTCGACATCATCTCGGCGGTTTCCTTTGAATACCACGTAGGAGCACTAGGCAAGTATGCTCTCGGTGTAGAAGAGCCGCTCACGACGGCCATCAACGATTTTCCGAAGGTATCGTCTACCTCGTCTATCATTTGAGAAGACAAGCACTGACATGAGGGCAGCGGGGCGTTCTGGTTAGTACCGCTTTCCGACACAATTTTGGGCTCGATCTTACTCGTTCTATACAGCGTGGTGCCGTTCCAAGCTGGGCGTGGTCTGTCCTTTGCCGTATACCGATTCACCGATGGCAACAAATCTGCGATTCAGACAAAATAATGGCAGGAGTATGTACGCTGCCCATGTGTTTATTCTGTTCTAACGATTAGCTTCGCAGTTTGTCTCGTCTCGGGTGTACGGTATCAGCGGCCAGATCAAGGCAGGCATTATGGACGAGTCGCACCGACCGCCTTTGGCGCATAGGCTGCTCAATCATAACATTGACGCCTTCGCGACCGCGGACTACCGTAACATCATATCGGAATGCATGGGGCACCTGTACGTATCCATTCACGTCTGCGTCTGCCACCACGACCTCAGTCTATTAACCCGATCCAGGATTGCTGGCGTGGATACCTCCAGTAACACCTTGTCTTACCTGTTTTGGGAGTTGAGCCGTAGGCCGGATATTCTCAAGAAACTGCAGCATGAACTGGACGAAGTCATGACCGAAGGGAACACCATTCCGGACATCACCACCTTACAGAGCCTGCCGTACCTCGCCGCGTTCTTGAAAGAAGGTGCGCGCGCTATTCTGATCAACGATCAAGTCTATTCACCGTCCCTCAGGTTTGAGAAGATATGGCGCCGCGCCCAGTCTCCTCGAGCGGGTCGTTCCTCGACCCAAGGTCGCAGGGGATGCAGGCTTCGACCTTCTTGGCTTTTCACTTCCTGCCGGTGTCGTTGTCGCTACACAGGCTTGGTCGATGCACCGGGATCCAACGGTCTTTGCCGATCCAGACGCCTTCGAGTGCGTGTATACAAGTTCGCCACCGTCGCTCGAAGCTGACAGAGCCTACCTGCGTCAGACCCAATCGTTGGCTGATCAACGAGCCCGACGTGCTTGCTCGCATGCACGCCCACATGATACCATTCGGCGTAGGCTCTCGCGTTTGCGGCGGCCAGAACCTCGCGCAGCTTGTTCTGCGAATTGTTGTCGCATCTATTGTTAGGAACTTCGACATCGTGGCACCCGGGGAGACCACGGAGAAGAGCATGGAAATCTGCGACGCTTTCGTAAGCACGCCTTCACTGGTTGACTGCCCCGTACTAATGCTCTTCACCATCCCAAAGGTCATATTTCCCGCATCCATGCGCTGCAACGTATGGTTCAAGCCCAGAGAATACTGAACAGAACATGATACCTGATCTCTCACAACTTCTATACAACTACAACTCTCCTTCCAACTCCCCTTTGATTACTGCCATTTTCTTCTTGCTTGTTACAGTTTGATCAGCGGAAATCGAGCGTCCTTCTACTTTACTCAGTGTATTAATCGTAGCAAGTCATCAGCAACTAAAAGCCAATTCCAAACACCCCGTGAATGAAACTGCGTGAACGAGCGTGAGAGCAGCAACCGCGTCTTTCCAACCGACACCCACCGTCGGCAACACGATGACCGACTCCATACCATTTGTCCCGTACAAGCTTTTCTTGCTGTATGTTGAACCGATATCAGCACTGGTCGGCGCATTCTACGCAGGAATCCGACCTTCCGAGTACTTGGGACTGCTGACCTTAGGTCACACCATCGACAAATCAACCGCCGCAACTCCACCCACTGCGACTCTGATGTCGCTCTACCAATTGTCCAACCTCTACCTGCTGTTTGCGCTCAATGAACACCTTGTATTGTCATCGACGTCTTCGCTGAAGACCTGGAGGCGCCTGCTATTCTGCTTATTGGTGGCTGACCTGGGTCACCTCGCGACGATGGCGCCTCTAGGAAGGGATGTCTATTGGAGGGTATGGGATTGGAACGCAATGGTGTGGGGAAGTGTCGGCTTCGTATACCTGGGTGCTGCTACCAGGATATGCTTCTTGGCAGGAGTAGGCATGAAAGATCCCAGAACGCAAGGAACGTCCGCGGACAAGCAGGTATGCCGTCGCGAGTAAACGCAGTCCCGGATCTTACAACGTATCGCTTGCAGAAATAAACTTACCGCGATAAGGGTGGGCTTGGACCGAGATCGACGTTGTTTTTGAACGTTGACCGGTGTTGCGGGGCTGCAATATGCCCTTACACGGACTGTGCTGAGCTCATCCCTGCTCCAGGTATGTACATACGGTGCCTCCAGGGATGTATAGCATTCCCGTTGCCTTGAGTTGTGAGAGTGCTGGCGCTCAGTCATCATCATCATCATTGTGCCTGTGTCATACCACAAATCGGTGGAGCGTATGGTAAGATATACGCAACTGTGTCGCCCGGCGCCCCGGATCGCAAAAACACCGTCCAGGAGCATTGACAAGCCGCGAGTTAGAGCTTACTCCTTCGCCTTCGTCTGCGAGGATTGCGTTCTGACGCAAGGTCCATGGAAGTCAACCGCACTTCGGTCACTTGATCTGGATCAAGTCCTTCCGCAATCGCCGCGACCCGAAATCGTTCATCGTATCTACATGCATGATGCAATCAGCACAGTTTCAATCGTGGGGTTAGTATACGGACCGGAGAGCGTACGCTATGCGGTCGTCCATGGTTGGTTGACCGGGCGCAGAGACATCAAAGAGCGGCTCTTGAGCATAGCCTACCGAGGCGACAAGAATCAGGATGGACCTGGGCTAACGTAAGCGACAGTCTGACCATCCCGGATACGTGACCACCCACGCGGTGAGTCCAAAAATGGGTTTCGTACCACCTGCTTCTCTCCCTGTCAGGAAGCGATGCATGCGGATACGACGAGACTTTGGGGTGATATGGGCAACGCCTTTTGACGGGCCTTCGAAGGGTGGATCACGTTTGTGGCCTGTCTTGAAGGTTGGCGAAGCGGAAGGATGTGGAGGCCAAGGAACGTCGATATACGTGTGGTAGTTCATCTCGAGGGTAATCACGTCGGTGGGAAAAGGGGAGTCAGGCGAGAGGAAAGAGATGAGCGGATGAGAAAAGAGCGAGGAGACTTCAGCGGCGTTGAGGATCGGCTGAGATAGGTTCCTTCAATAATCGCCGCCAGAGAAAGGAGAAACGTGAATGGACACACTTTTATCGTGCTGTCCAACACCATAACAACCACCCTAAAGGTAATCCTTAGCAATGGTAGGGATTGAACTGCGGGAAAAAATCGTACGGTGTAACTAGTAGCTGATTACCGGCGAGAAAAGGTTCCATGACGCATAGTAAGGGTACTTTGCGGTTGTCTTGTGGGAGGCCAATCTACGGAATCTTGTGGTTTGCCGGGGGCCTCGAACAGCACACAGGAGATCTCCTACCTCCTCAAACGCTTCGCGTCTCTGTACGTCGCGTGAATGAGCCTATTGAATACTCCCATGATAATGTATGCTTTACGGCAGTATCCACGATCGTCTTGTCCTGCGGCTCGACTTTGCCGCCTGGTAAAGCAGTGTCACCAGCGTACGTCCGTAGGGAACTCGCTCGCCTAGTCTTGGGGCATCAGAATACCTTTTGATGCCGAGATCATGCACATACTCACTGGCTGAGGATGACCCATAGATCACCGTTCCGTCCTGCAAATAACGCTACGAGGACTGCAGCACATCTTGACCTGGGGACCTTGAACGGCAACGATGAGGGTCTGTATGCAACCAGGTTGCGCAGGCACCTATTACGTCGCGCTGAATACCGGGAAAGCAACATGTCTTAGTATCGTACGTACTGCCGAGACGACCTGTTCAAATGCAAAGTCACAGGTGCATCTCGCAGGTTGATGTGGTGTGGGCGATGAAATCTATATAGAGAACTAGACTTCTGGTCTGGCATAACAGAGAGTCGCGTAGGTGATCTCCCTTTCACATACAAAGCTCTCAATACGAATTCGAGTTGGTCGTAAGTTAACGAAAAGCGACTGCCCGAGGAACGCGGAGTCACTCGGGTACTCCAAATAGCCGGTCACGTGCCTTGTCTTTTGCTTCCCAGTTCTTTGCTCCCGATTTCGACACGCTCGGTTTACGAATCACCAACGGCGATTGTACTTCGCCTTTGTTCATCTCTAAGCGTCTGTCTGCATTGAATTGTTTGAGTGCGACGGTCGGAAACCCGGCACAAGGAGGACGCATCTCCAAAGAACAAGGTACGTCTCCGTCATGCGAAAGTCTGGATTCACAGGTCATTGTTCGTTACGTTTCAGCGTTCTTCTGCTTGATATCAATCACACGTGTAGAATGGGGCGATTGCATAGAACAAGGCGTTTATGAAAACGCGGCGGAGTCGACCACTAATTATCTACCGCAAATTGCACTGTCCGGCGCACATCAGGTCGTCCACGTGGTTATCGTGTTCTTCCTTAGGCCTGCGCGATCATGACCAGGTCATCGCCTCCATAATATGAACGCTATCACTGGATGTCTCCAGGTTCCTTGACTTCGTCTTCACCCCGAACACGTGTCTGCAATGAGGCGCATGCGATAATCGCGCTGTGATCCCTTCAAACCCGACATTTGCCTCGATGCAAACGCCTGGCAGAATGACCATCCATAATAACACCCGTTGCGGCGCGCCAATCCATCGACCCACCACACTCACCTTGCTCAACGACCAACTTTGCATCTCTCAACGAACTACACGCAATCAGCTTCACGACCTTCATCTATCTATTCTACTATCTTCTAGCCTATCTCGAATTCTTTACCACCACTATCCAGCATGGCTAGCGCCAGTCCCAATTCCAGCCCTCAGCCCGCCTCCCGTCCCTCGTTCCGAACGAGGATCAGCAGTGCCGTGCGCCGGCAGTCCTCTACATGGTCGCGATCAAGCCAGAGCCCATCTCGTCCAGAGACACCCTCGCGAAAGAGCTCCAAGTCCGACCTGGCGACGCTGGTGACTTCGCTCGGCCGCAAGACATCCTCTCCTGCTCTAGCTGCCAGCGCTCCCAGTCCTGTCCCGGAGTCGCCCGTTCGTGAAGCGGCAGCGATTGCGTCGCTCACCCAAGGCGCGTCGCCTCTCGCTCAGCCACCCGCCACAGCCGAGACAGGTACTTCGCCTATAGTCGCCGTGGACGCTCAGCCTGCCCAGGACAAGAAGGATAATGCTTCCTCTAGCCAGTCATCGCTCGGTAACCCTGTGTCGGAACCGATTGCTGAGCAGACTGTCCTAACGGAGGAGCCGGAGTCCATGTCTATCAAGGATGCACCTACAGCTGCTCCAGCTGACGAGCCCGCTGCGAAGATTGAAGAGTCTACGCCGCCGGCCGAGGAAGAAGAGAGTCAGGCTGTTGCCATTCCTGAACCGCACCCAGCCCCTGCGGATGTCGCCGTTGCGGAGGCTGTGGTCATGCCGGTTCCCGAGCCCGTTCAGGCCCAGCAGGAAGCCCCGATCTCGATGCCCCGCCCTCACCCCTCATCTGAGCTGGGCGCTGGTTCAATGGTTCAACCTGATCCCGATCTTCTCCTCCCAGAGGTTCCCGACGAACCGAGCATGAGCTCCGAGACCACGCCTCGACCGCCTGCGGAGCGCCTCCAATCCGACGAGACAGTCAAGAATGCCACGCTTGCGGTCAAGATCAGCAGGGCATCTCTCGTAGCGGACAGCGCGGAGGGGAACAAGGGCCAGGAGAAGGCAAATGATGTCATTGCGCTTGTGCGCAGCGACGGCGAAGCTGTCACTGTGCAAGCTGACAGACCAGTCGAGTGCGTCGCTCGTTGTTTCGGTTAGAACAGGGACATACCAATCTCATTCTTCTTCGCAGAGCCGCATGGGAAGACCCGTTCGCTGATCAACCGACGCCTGACATGCCAGTGCATATTCTCCCGGTCCCAGAGAGCATTTCGATGCCGCAGTACGTGCCAGTCTCATTCTCCCCCGTGTCTCGTTCTGACGAACATTATGCAGGCCTGAAGTACATCCTATTGGCGGCCCTGACCTCAATTCTCCCGTTGTCACAATGCCATTACCGCCTCTCCGTGACCTTGTCGCCACGGGGTATGTGGTCTGTACATCATCTGGTTGAACAAATCGGGCTAATGTTGCTTCACAGTTCTTCCAATACAGTCCCAGGTGGTTATAGCGTCGGTGACGGATTCACGGGACCATCGTATCGGGAGACAGAGTACGCCGTTCAGATTAGTTATCTCGGTCGAGGCCTGACATACTCACAGTGAACGCCTGCCTCTCCTCGGCAAACGGGCGTCAATGTCCACTGTCAGCAATGGCCACGCGCACACCATCGTTCCCGCCAAGAGTCCGCAGACTTCCGGGTGGACCGACTACGTGCTGCCCGACAGTTCAATATACTTCGTCCACTCTGGTCTGCGCATCGTCACAGATATCGACCTACGGGAGCCGAAGAGACTCGATGCCGTCGGCATTTTCATTAACAACCACCTCGCCTCGGCCACTTCTTTCATTCCCGAAATCGGTGAAGGCTGGGAGATGTGGCTACGGGAAGGCCCGCCGTCGAAGGGCCAGACGAAGATCTTGCGTACTTGGATCAATCACGGTATGCGGGCCGTTTTCGCAGATCCGCCTGCACGAAACTTGGACGGTATATCGGAAGACGATAGTAAGAGACATGCACTTCATTGTGCTACATCTGCTGATGCCATCCTTCGCAGAGCTCGACTTAGAGTACCGCTTCTGGTCGTTCATGGAGGGTCATCCTGCCCATGCCCCTTTGCCGCCTACAGCGCGCGACGAAGCACTTGACGTCCTTACTTGGGCATACACTGGTTTGTTGAAAAATGCCATCTTCAGCGTAGAACTCATTCAGGAATAGATTGTTTGCTGCCCACGAACCGTCTGGCGACTCCTCCCTTCACTCCGGAGGAGTGTCAAGAGCTCATGGGCCTGTTGAAGCAGACTAGTGAGCAGATATGATTTTTGTTGCATCGTTGATGTCATCATCACTGTTGCTTTGTAGACACCTCTGTTTTGCAACCCGCCGTGCAGACGCGTATCGTCTCTCGAATCCTGTTGCGTGGTGGTACGTATCTCGGGCCATATAACGGTGCTACACTAATCCTATGATCGCTCCACTAGCGCAATGGCGTCAACTGGCATTCCGCCCAAACCGGGCGTTACCGAAAGACGTGCCCAAGCCCGGCCCGCAGCGCGTGGAGCGTCATGTGCCCCTCCGACGGGCTGTCCTCGATATCGCAGTGTCCTTCCTGTGCCTCGGAATCCCTTTCCTGTTCATGGGCCGCTCTCATCAGTCAAGATTCGATCTTGAGCGCGGGTTCGCGATGGGATCGGTGCCTGTGATGAGCCTGCGGAGCCCGGGACCGGCGATGGTGGTTGCTGGAACTTCCTGTCTGGTGGTATGTTTGCCGTGCGATATTACTCGTTTGGGCGTCCTTTTAACAAATGATGGCGACTACCAGGCCGCAATGATACTGAGTGCGTCAGTCACTTTCATTTCGCTACCCGGGCTGGACGATCTTTCAAGAATCGCGGGGCTCCTTGCCATTCTCTGCTCTACGGCGAGCATGGCATCAACTGTTATCGCCCTTTTCAGGTACAAGACGGACGTAGAACGCTCGGCGCAGTATTACATGGCTGGAGAAGGGCTTGTAGTGCTTACGGTCTGTTTCTGCGCTTCCTTACTGTCGATTCATTGCTGATGATCGACGATTTTCGCCCAACATCAGCGTCGGAGCATCGTCATGTCGCTTCCGCTCGTATTCCTCGCCTGGGCCGTCGCAGCTTTCATAACAGGCGTTACGATGTACTCTTTCCGTGGTTTCACGTTGACAGCTCCGGGTTCTGGTGTGTACAAGCAGCCGTTCGACAAGTACACGCAGTGGACCATAGCAGGTACACTGGGTGGCCTGGTCGGCGTGTTAGTCACGTCTGTCCTACTTGTACGGTGAAGGCGAGCCTCATTTGAGTGTTATTTAATGTCTGTATGTTGATGTTCTGTCTGTTGATGTGGTTCATAAATGCTCTTGTGACGGCCATTTGTACCACCTACGCCATGTATAACTTATTCTCCTACGTCTGCTGCGCACTTACGCGATCTCTCTTCTCTGAGTGTTGGTTAAAGTGAAATATAACATGGTAGCCCTGCAATGGTTATTTGCCAACTTGAAGAAGCCATGAAGCAGATATGTTGTGTGTGACAAAAAAATGTATGATGTACATGCCAGTATAAATGCGTACAATATTACAGCCGTCTCAAAAGATTGAATCAAGTATGCATATGGAGGGGAGCGTCCATGTCTTAGCAAAGAAGGATGGTATCCTGCAGGCGAGCGCGAGCCAATGAGCTAACTAGCGGTCGAGCGGTGTTTTGTCCTGTTCCGATGGAGACGGGACAAGTGGAGTATGCTGCTCAGCGCCGGGGGACGCGTCGTCCGCTCGCCGATCTTCAGCAGGACCGAGCGGCTCCGGCTGATCGGCGTGCTCATTGTCGAGAGTCGTAGTTATCGGTAACGGCGAGTTCGCCAGAGGCCGGTCGACGAAATAGGAATAGGAATATGGACTAGGAGAACGCATGTACGCTGACCACGGACCGTCGTCATCGGGAGCGTCCGGCGCGATGACCGTCGGCGTCTGGTACTCGGAGTCGTAATCCGGGTAGCGCTCTGAATGCCGTTGGATGTGGACGGCGATGGGAGGAGCGAACTGGAATTCTGGGTGAGACGACACGCTGCTGGAGAAGAAGCTGTATATGTAAGTGGGCGTATGATGCGTTCGGCTGCGTAAAATTGGAGCGCTTGACGACGTCAACGGAGGCGCAAATATGCCATTCGTGGCGACCTGGCACGGTTTGTAGCGTGTGCCGAGGATGTTGCCGCTAGACACCGAATTAGTAAGACGATGCTTCCGTTACCAACAGTGCTTACCATTGAGCACATCCAACACCTTCTCTCAAGCAGCCGCACGAGCTCTGCACGAGCTGTCGAGCGGTCCCTTCATCGAAGTACTCTTTGTCGAGAGGCACAACCACTTCAGACGCAGGGCTTCTTGCTGCCCACACGCTACACGAGAGGCGAGGGCTCGCATTAGAATGTATAACGGCTCCGCATCCCGTGCGTCGAGTGCGGCGCGGTCGATGTCGCACCGTCTGCGCGGGGTGTGGTGGGTAGCATGGCAGCGGTGACAGTTCGTAAGGGCCGTCTTCCGAGTCCGAGACCGAGTCGCTCGCTTCTTCCTCCGTGCCGCAGTACAGAGTATACTCCATCCCGAGTGTCACGCCCCCATCTTCTCCGAACAGCTCCCTTTCCGGCCAGTCGTACCCGCCGTCAATCTCGTCCTCCGCGTCTGGGTCGCCGTATCCCCAGTCAAGCATCTCGGTAGATTCTTGATGTCGCTGAGTGCTTCCAAGGCCGGTTCCGTTGTGGTCCATTCGTATGGCACCTCGTCGTCGGAGCCTGGAGGCTTCGCCAGTGCGGACGAGATCCGAGAGGACGATGGTGTCGTCGAGGTCGACAGGGGTCGACGGCGAGGACTCGGAGGTTGAGGAGGTAGAGTCAAACGAGTATGTGCGGTATACAAGTGGCATCGTTAATGGTCGTAAAGGCGGTCGTGACGTGTAAGTTTGGTCTGGTGGAGAAGAGCTTGCCGCCCAAGAACGAGGCGGAGGCAGGCGGAGGCGCGGCCTTGAGAGTTCCCGGGAGCACGTGATCCCGGAGATGGGAGGGCGCGATCGCACGATCAATGACCACGGAATGATTCACTGTCCAGGGAACGCCTCAACGGTATGCTTCCGCACTTCAATTCGCTCTTCGTCGACTGATCCGTTTTTATGCCATCAATGTTCGTGAATGTAATGCCAGCAACATCGCCATGCGTGTGCATGAAAGCATGTCTGAAGTAGCAAACGGATGTCATACAAGCTCCGTGTATAGGATTAACTAAGGTATCCTTGGCCGTCGCGGGAGTCATACGCCATCTAGTGATTCCCGGTAGCCATACACACAGGCCTGCACAGGCCACTGATAGTCGTGGCAGTATGGCGGGTGCATTACCGGGCTGAGCCTACAATGGTCACCTCAGCGTTCTGAGTCAGCACTTGATGCTGCCAGTCGCGGCGTTTCGTACATGTGCCGTGCATTGGTTCTCTAACTCATAACATGCGATGTCTGAGAACAAGAACGCTCGCGGCTATTAAGAAGAGTCTGAGTCTAGGCGATGATGAATAACCGCCTTGTTTAACACTGGCTCGCTTGCTCGGATCCCACCATGTCGGAGACCTTGTGTCTCTCCACGTCAACAAACACCTAAGACGGATATACATCAGCATTTGATGCCTGAGTTCAACTAGGCTACTATCTACCTCTGGGCTGGTGATGCGGGGACGTCCGCACGTCAGTGCATGTGCCTATTGAACGGCAGTCAGGGATCGGCAAGCCGTGAATGCAAGAGGGAGCAACCCACCTTCTCCGGTGAATCTGTCGTGTTCGGAAACATGCGGGGACGCTCATATCCTCCTCCGGCTCGCGAGTTCAACGTTGACATGAGCGTGCAAGAGTACAGTTTACCGAGCGGAAAATTGAAGGCGAGATGTCTGTGAATGCCAGTCATGGTTAGAACAGCGCCGGCGTGGTACATGCACCTAGCTTACAGGCCGGTAGGCTAAGGTTATGTACGTTGTCAATATTCAAGTTTTGAACATGTTGAGAGGAATATCACCGTTGAAAGGTAGACCACCAGGTCAGTGATAGCCCAGACGGCCGTGATGAGACCGTTCTGTACGGTTGCTGAATAGCAGGCTTCAAACTTCCGGCGGTGGGTATTTAAAATAACACGTAGAACGCACTCCTGATGATCCTGTCGACAAGTCTATCTGTAGTCGCGAACCCTGTTTTGTGCCGCCTCAAGTACAAACTCAACGATATCGTGATAGCAGTATCGCCTATAAGAGTCGGTAAGTAGCAAATCCCGTCATTGCGGGTAATGATGTACGCACACACTGCTGCGGTTATGAGCCACACGATGACGATAGCCTATACATTGAAACATGAGCAGCAGGCCAATCGCATCGCAGAACTTATACTCGCCCTGAATCGCTGGAATTGTGTGAACTCAGGGACGTATCTGATGGCTATTGCGGTGCCAATCCCACAGACTAGGCGACGGTGTCTATGAGCGTGTAAATCAGCACAGAAGATCGGACTCACGGGCTGACACGCAGGCGAGAGCTCCAATGCATATGGAAGTCCATGAGAATCGAGGCTTCGCGAGAACTCTAACCCAAACGCCTTGAAGTAAGTGGTGAAATCTCATCATATTATGAAAAGCCCACCTAATTCTCCACGCAAAGAACAGTTGTGACATAGAACCAACGATGCCCTGTGACGACCAATAAACCTTTACAGCGAGACGTACAGTTCCCAACCTAACTTACAACCATTGCGGGATCTATCAATGAGAAACATAAACACCGATGGCACGAAAACATACGTTGGCGACGTACCAGATGCGAAGACTTTGACGACAACATCAATAAACATTGAAAAGCGTCGATGCAGATAACGCACCCCAGTTTCCTCTCTGCAAAGCTCCAAAATCACCTGCATGGAACCCGAGCACGGAACATGAGCACGGGCCGCGAGAACCGACGCAGAGAAGATGCATACCGAAACGGTTGACCAGTATGTCGTAAATCCACCACATGTCAAACGCACAGTTGACCGTATCCGCGAGAAGCAAGGCGGCGACGAACAGCTTGATTCCGAGTTTGTCCCTGCAAACAATTTTCAGCTGACTGAAACTGAGTGGATGTAGTGTGGATGTTACTTACTTCGTAAAGGTAGTGAAGTAGAAAAATGACTGGCTCAATAGAATACCGAATAATGTGACGTTGCAGAACGTGCCCGCCAGCGCAGGGCCGTGGCTACATGGGCGTCGAATAGCTGCATCGATATGACCACAGGATATTACTTACGCGATGGATGCCGGAGAACTCATACCAGGGCGATTCGTTTGCGGCTAATCAAGGGGTTGTCGCAACGGCCTAAGGACCAGATCTCAGAGGGACGGGAGAGGAGGCCTGCGCTCGGAGAGACTGGCGGGTCTATTATAATGTGCGGAAGACGTGTGATCCGAATCGACGGAAGGGCGTCGCTCTGCACAGAAACGTCCAAGATGTCATGACAGGACCGGGACAGTATGAGATCGCTTCACGAATATATGGTCCGGATCGCCGCCGGTGAAGGCGATCCAGATATAGAAGGGTGAAATTGCCGGCGTCCCAGCGGGTCTGAGAAGCCCAGTGACAAGTCCCCGAGATGCAAATGGAGTATTAAGAGCTTTCTGCAGCTCAGCTGTCCCAGAGCAGGATTCGAGTCTGCGAATAAGGCAGAGTGAACGATCATCGCTCATATACAAATCGGTCAAACCGGACCAAACAGTAAGTATACATGCCCGTGAGGTGCGCTTTTTAGGTGACGCGCACTGTATGTAGCTGTGTGCGCGAGGATATTCTAAAGACTCCTCGATCTCGTAAGTGGATTGGATGGTGGATTTCACCAGGTCGGGGCACAGCACCTTGCTGGACGAGATAATCAGGAATGCTTGAAATCGAAAAAATGCGCAAATTGCCAGCAGAAGAGAAGGTCCCAACGTATCGAAGACGCGGCCCCTTTCACGAGAGAGGAAATGCATTTTATAACGCGAAATAGGTGTGAAGTTCTGTGAACGACTCATCCCATCCCTAACATGGTTAAGTACAGAACGCTTGTATTGGCGCTTCCCGTATCAGTGCTGAGTGCCCGGTGGAGATCGATAAGCGTGCTGTCCAGTTATGTACTTATGAGAGATTCAGCATGAATCGGTATTCATGGCGTCCGCGCGATGACAGGCTCAGCAAGGAAGAAGGACGGCGACCTGCAACGAGGGCGACACGCCAAAGGTGCAACGCCGAATCCTCTTCCTGTCACGTGAAGCACATGCATGAGGTGCCCCTTCTCAGTTCATTCCTTGCTCGCTATACCGAGTCCCCGGTCCAGGCTGCTATGCAACTCTATCCCCGCTAGGATGCCGCCGCGACATATATCTCTGAGAAACTACACGCCTCTTCATCTTCATCCCGTGGCGTGCAGTACGAGGACGCGAGCCATATGAGTATATAATAACTGATAGAGCCTACGCTGGGAGCGTAAGCAACTTGGCTGCACCCGCTAGGTATCTACTTCTGGACCGCGTTTGCTACGATGGCCACAGACCCTTGCTCTGAATATGAAGTGATCATCGTCGGAGGTGATCGCCAGCACTCTCGCTTCTCCAGCGAATCTGACTGACCCTTCCCCCTTCCCCCATCCCGCAGGTGGGACAGCCGCTGGAGTGATTGCGGGTAGGCTGGCGGCGGCGGACCCAAACCTGCGGATTCTCGTTCTCGAAGCCGGTCCACACACGAAGGACCAGCTGATCCACACGCAGCCGGCGCGTTATCTCGCTCACCTCGCTCCAACTAGCACGACCGTCAAGTTTTATACGGGCAGTCCCAGCGACCATCTCGACGGTCGACAGCCGGTGGTGCCCTGCGGTGCCTGCCTCGGCGGGGGATCGAGCGTGAACTTTGCGATGTATACTCGCGCGAGTGCTTCGGACTACGATGATTGGAAGTCTATCTATGGGAATCACGGGTGGGGATCGGACGATCTAATCCCGCTGTTGCGTAAAGTAGGCTTAATGCCGAGAACTTTACTGCTGCTCGTTTACCATTCCCGTTTCAGACGGAGTCTTACCAGGTCGCTGAAGGCAAACCTACTCATGGCTACGATGGTGCTTCATCCGCGTCTCCGTATGATCCGAATGCTGACCTTTACGCCTCATCAGGCCCCTTAAAAGTCTCGTACGGCGGAGTGTTCACCAGTATCGGACAAGAGTTTCTCTGTGTCGCATCTGCGTACGACTCTAATCGTCCCATTCTCGAAGATCTCAACACGCTTACCGTCGGCAATGGATACGGGGTGAGCCAGTCAACGCGTCAGTCTGATTGCGGTTCGCTCATGTATGGGGCTGCCATTCTCCTGCAGCGATGGCAAAAGTGAGCATTCATTGCCTCATAACGCTCGAAACCGTATGTTAATCGTCTTCTGGCAAGGTGGATAAGTGGTGACAAGGGGACCCGCTCCGATGTCCCTCACCACTTTTTGTACAATCAGTCGCATAACAACAACCTGGTCATCGAGACAGGGTGCCTTGTCCGTCGTGTCCTTTTCGAGTACGTTCCCGATCTCGTGACGCAAGGTTAAGACGTGAAACTGATTCTCGAGTAGCGGTAAGCGTGCGACAGGTGTTGAATACACCTATTCACCCCGGGTTCGCCCCAACCAAGACTGCAAACTCGTCCGAGTCGCACACGCCAACCGGCTCGTCGTCGTATCCTCTGGCACCATGGGATCCCCGCAAGTTCTCGAACGTTCTGGCATTGGTCGCAAGGATGTGCTGGATAAGGTTGACGTGGAACAGATCGTGGATTTACCAGGAGTAGGCATGGCTTATCAAGGTCAGTGATCTAAAGCTAGTGAATGGTGGCGCCCACATGTTTTGCAGACCATCAGGTCATTTTCGCCCCATATCTGGCGCCGGATACCTGCGATACCTTAGATGGTATCGTACGAAGTGATGAAGCAGAGCTCAAGAGTATGATTTCCCCAATTGCATAAGATATCTCATTATGAGTCTCATTGTGCTTTCACCTACAGGGTGGGACACTATTTGGGAGAAGGACGGAAAAGGGTTGATGGCGCACAAGCAAGTCCCGTTCACATGAACCATGTCGGTATACTGACCGAGCCATATCAGTGCACTGGACGCCGGTGGCAAGTTGCGCCCTACCATGGCGGAGTTGAAAGAGATTGGCCCAGCATTCGAGAAACGGTGGAACGCATACTTCGCCACGGATGACCATCAGGACAAACCCGCGTATTGGATTGGTGCGGTTGCGTTGTATGTATTCACACAGAAATGCAGTGGTGTTTTTGCTTATGACCATGACGCTCCCACAGGTTGGTTGGAGATCCGAGTAAGAGCCCATACAGGAAATATTTTTCTGTCGGTTACTTCATTGTGAGTACTAGCATGGCTTCTGGGATAATTCTCCGAAGCGATTCACGGCGTAGGAGTATCCCTCTTCCATGGGGCATATCCACATCACGTCGAAGGACAGTGTCGATGCTGCACCCGACTTTGACCCTGCATACTGTAGCAGGTAAATACTGCATTCCACAGCACTTCGGACCCGAATTGACCTGATATTCCCATCAGCCAAGACGACTTGGACCTTTTAAACTTCCTTTATAAAAAATCTCGTGAATTCGCGAGGCGGATGCCATCGTATCGTGGAGAGCATCCTCAAGGGCATCCGCAATTTCCAGAAGGCAGCAAGGCCGCTGTATCCGACACGGGAACACCTGTCCCGATGGATGCTCCGGATATCCAGTACGACGAAAGAGACGAGGACGCTATACGGAAATACACCCGGGCGACAGGTGTTTTTCATACTCCCACATGTAGTATTTTCAGCCTAACGCCCTTGCCTTCGTAGTTGCGACAGCATGGCACTCGGTAATGCTTCCGCGCGGACAGAGTACAACATGACATTGATATTATGTGTCAACAGTTAGGGACGTGTGCGATGAAACCTCGTGAGGACGGAGGGGTCGTCGACGCTGAGCTCAACGTGTATGGGACGGAATGCCTCAAAGTGGCCGGTACGTGCTCGTGAACAGGGCCACGGGTTTCTCAGACGCACGCTGAACCCTTTCAGATATGTCGATCGCTCCCGGCAACGTCGGAGCGGTGAGTTATTATAAACTTTCTGCGGTCTCGGAGCTCAATGGCCACTAGAACACCTATTCCACCGCGCTGGTCATCGGAGAGAAGGCGGCGCTGATTATTGCTGAGTACCTGGGGATTGAGGGCGTATAGACTCTGCTAGCCGAATATCCGCGTCTGGTACGAGACCTCATCGCATAATGCCTGCGTACCCATTACTGATGCATATTCATGTAAGATGTTGTTGAATTTGTCGAAGTTGTCCTACACCAGCTTTTGACACAGAACCGAAAACGGTGTGACATGCGTGATGGTCACTGAAGGACCCGATCCATGTGGTATATCTGGATTCTTCCAGCCGCGAATTGATTCGCTCGTTATACTGACTTACCGGTTAAGCCGTCAAGGACTGCATTATCCCCGGTAGGATGTCCATGGTCTTAGGCCCCCAGGAAGTACCTTCTCCGATATCTACGTCTGATTGTCCGCAGCAGCACATATTACTAAGGTATATAAGAGCAGAACAGAATGCCAGGAGCTTCTGCGACCCGGACTCACTACTACGACCTGCAAAATGGCTACAGGGGGTCCGAAATCCGATTGCGATGTGATGATCGTTGGAGGTCAGCATGAGTCGTCTCCAAGCGATTCAATATAATGATGTTTCTCTGTATCTTCCATTTCAGGCGGAACCGCCGCCAGGGTGATTGCAGGGAGACTGGCGACGGCGGACCCCAGCCTGCGGATCCTCGTCCTAGAAGCCGGTCCGCACACAAAGGACCAATTGCTCCATACGCAGCCAGCGCGCCACCTTTTACCAACCAGCACTACTGTCAAGTTTTATGTGGGCAACAAGAGCGAGCATTGGGATGGCCGTCAAGCGGTCGTCTCCTCTGCGGCCTGTCTCGGCCGGTGGTTCAGCATCAATTTCACGATGTATACTCGGGCGAGTGCTTCGGATACGACGATTGGAAGAATCTGTATGGGAATCAGGGGTGGGTTCGCATGACCTAATGCCACTTCTGCGCAAGATAATCCGGATGAGGAAAGGTTCATGGTGCTATCGCTAACCAGGTTTTCCGCTACAGACGGAAACGTATCAAGTTGCGGAAGGCAGGCCCACTCATGGCTACGAAGGTGATTGTGATTAACTCCAGCCAATTCGCGGTTGTATATTGAGCACGTCGCGCCATCAGGTCCTTTGAAGGTTTCGTATGGCGGCCTCTTCACCAACGTCGGAACACAATTTCTCGATGTTGCCTCAGCGTACGACCCGGAACGCTATTCCCTCGAAGATCCCAATTCTCTCCACGCGATCAATGGCTACGGGGTGAGCAACTAGATCAGCGGGAATCTTTCTGTTCAACATCGCTCATGCTGTAGCGCTGCAGCGATGGCAAAAGTGAGATCCTTATACTGCACTTCGTGCAAGTACCGTACTTCAACCACATCCGCCAGATGGATCAGCGAATACAATGGCACTCGTTCGGACGTGCCTCATCACTACCTATATAATCAGTCACACAACAAGAACCTAGCCATCGAAACCGGCTGTCTTGTTCGTCGTGTCCTGTTCGAGTGAGTTCGATTCGTTATTGTAGATTGATCCATGGGTTGAAATAGTGAAAAGCGGCTAACGTGCCGTCGGCGTAAAGTACACATGAGCGACGGAAGGTTGTCAATCCGTCCGAATTGCACGCGCTAGTCGTCTCGTCGTCGTCGCCTCAGGTCGCCGCAGATTCTGGAACGTTCGAGAATCGGCCGCAAGGATGTCCTTGATCGAAGTGGAGCAGATCGTGGATTTGCCAGGAGTGGGACTGACTACCAAGGTTGGTGGTTGAACGTGATTATGCAACTTCATGACGTGACATCCGTAGTCCGTCAAGTTATCTTTGTCCCGTATCTGGCCTCCGACGAAGCTGAGACGCTGGATGGCATAGCTCGAAGCGACCCATCAGAGTGAGCATTCTCGATGTAGCTACTCCACACCAACGGACTCATTGCCAGTTGAATGTAAGAATGGGAATGCCTTATGGGAGAGAGAAGGGAAAGGCTTGATGGCGCATAAGTAAGACCCGTATCGTGGACTGCATGATTATCTTGCTCACTAATCCTGTCCCTAGTGCTCTCGATGTCGGAGGCAAGCTGCGCGCGACTGATGCGGAACTAAATAAATTCGGCCCTTTTTTCAAGAAGCAATGGAATGAGTTCTTTGCCACGGATGAGCACCAGGATAAGCCCGCATATTGGCTCGGTGCGGTCTCAATGTACGTGGTGCCCAACCATACAATGCTTTCACCCTGCTGACCATTTTTCGATGCAGGCTTGTGGGGGACCCGAGTACTTCTCCTCATCGGAAATATTTCTTTGTGGGGTATATGGTCGTGAGTAGTGGCTTTATGATCCAGGATGGTCATATTGACCCCCATGCATAGGAGTATCCCTCGTCCAGGGGACATATCCATATCACATCCAAGGACGATGTCGATTTTCCGCCTAACTTTACTGTAGCAGGCTGGTTAACCTCATCTTCCTATTCAACGCCACGCTGATATCGGTAAGAATAGCCAAGATGAAGCCGAGCTCCTGAACTTTCTATACAAGAGACCTCGCGAGTTTGCAAGGAGAATGCCATTGTATCGCGGAGAATACCTGCCGGGTCATCCGCAACCCGCAGGGTAGCACAGTGGCGGCTTCTGAAACTGGGTCACCAGTTTCGATAGACTCTCCAGATCTGGTGTATGACGAAAAGGATGAGGAAGCCATCCAGAAATACATCCGAGCAGCAGGCATGCCGTCTTTCCACCTCGATAATCATTATCTTTCTGACGTATCTGATAGTCGCAACAGCATGGCATTCGGTACGAATGGGCATGGAATCAGATTACATGATGTTCACTGTGGTAATATAGCTGGGTACGTGCGCGATGAAACCACGCAAAGACGGAGGAGTCGTAGATGCGGACCTCAACGTGTATGAGAGGGAGTGTCTCAAGGTAGCTGGTATGTGCACTGGTCCGTTAACCGACGTGTCCTATCTATATCATGCACTTCTCGTAGATATGTCGATTGCACCCGGCAACGTTGGAGCTGTGAGTGCCCGCTCTTTGGGAAATGGGCGTGAGTGCCAAACTCAATAATCGTTAGAACACGTACTCCACCACTCTAGTTACCGGAGAGAAAGCGGCCGTAATCGTTGCACGATATTTCGGAATCCAGGGTGTCTGAAACAGCGTAGCGTGTACGAAATGGCCAGGTTCCTCGCACGTCTTCCACGCGGTGAGAAAAACGATCTATCAATGTTCATCCAATAGTATTTTGTACAAAATAACAATGTACAACGGCCGAGAGAGTCGCGGGAAAACACTGGGGAAGGGTTAGAGATTCGACTGGGAACACAGAGAGAATGACTGAGATAGAATGACTGAGATACCGCAAGCCGCGGCAATCACTAAATGTGTACAACGATGTACAATCCACTGTAGTTGAGAATAATGCCGGGTATGCGATGAGCTCTACAAGCCGGCGAGAAGCCGGCGATGGATGAGATCCTCGCCGGTCAGCGCCGTGGGCCGACGCTCGTCCAGCCAGAGAGGTCGCCAGCCTCGTCGTCATCGGTTTCATCGGAGAGGACCTGTAGATCATCTCCGTGCAGGCTGGCGTCGGGCGACATGCTCGAGACGAGAGACATGATTTCGTCGTCGGAGGCGGATAGGAAGTCAAAGTCGGACTGCACGTGGGCGGATCGCGGAGAAAGGACGTGCACGTCCACCACCGGGGCGGATGCCGGGAGCGGTGCAACATGTCCGAAGACGGGCGACAGCACCGGAACGGCATGCACATCCGAGAAGGGGGACGTAGGCGCGGGCTGAACATCGGCGTGGTACGCGCCTGACGCCGATATCGCGCTGTTGAATGCCCACGACTCGGGTGAGGATGCACGGGACGATACCGAGCTGATGGTCAGAGAGGAGGCTGCCAGAGATACGGGGGTAGGTGGTCCGCGAGACGGCAACACGGGTGAATTCCTGATCTGCACCATCGGCGGTGACGGCTGTGGCGCACCGTTCGCAGACGACTGGGAGGCGAGGCGGCTTCTTTGCCTCATGGATAAGGTGGATGCCGGTGACGACGGCTCAGAGTGGTCAAAGAGAACATGCGTAGGACTTATAACAGGGTGAGCAATCGTAACGTTCGACTGGAACCCAAGGACACTGCTTCAATGACGGAGATAATGCGCAGGGAGCAAGGAACGCACCTCCTCCAGTCTGGTCGGTTGTCTGCGCCTCAGATTCGAAGATCCGACTTGCTGCCGCCATTCTGATACCTCAGTGTTCACCAAGCGTTCAAGCTCGATGGATAGGGGAGTATTGTCGTCGTCGTCGTCGAAGCCACTGTTGACTGGTCCAGGTCCGTTCCTCGGGGCGTCGTCAGACATCTGGGCTTGCACGGGCGGGGCAAGAGCACGTCGTCGGCCCGCTCTGCGCCTCGCGATGAATTCTTCGGCCCATTGCTCGATTCTTGGGGCGATGTGAGGCTCGTACACGAACTAGGGGGCGCATTGAGTCGTTATCAGCTGTAGGACCGAGCGTGATCTTACCTCCTTGAAGGCAACTGCAACCGCAACGGTCCCGACCACGGCAGCGACGTAGACGGCGGCGCCAGGCATGGATGCAACTGGCGATGGGAGTCGAAGGCCAAGCTCCTACCTCTCGGCGCTCGGGCGACTTATAGCCAGGACAGTAGCGCCCGCAGCCCCGCACCTGATAGACGGCACAAGATATATCCCGTGGCGGTGCGGCTATAGCACCCGGCATTGAAAGGAGCGTTATTGATTAGAATTGTTCGACGGTTCATTGGAGAGACCATGCTATCAAGGATTCTAATGACACTAATAGAAATATGCATAGTGTACGTATGGTGAGGGTGAGATGCCAATGCAGAAGTCCGTACGTGATGAAGAAACAAATGATAGTCCGAACCGTCCAAGTCCAACTGTCCAATCATTGACATGCGGGAAGAGAGTGCATACGTCCACCTGGCGCGGACGTTCACGCGTCAGAGAGAATCTTGTCGATTGACTCATTCAAGAAGTCCTTGCGAGTCGAGAGATCCGCATTGGGGAAGCGGGCCGTCATCGCCTCACGCGCAGTCCTACAACCCTTTGTCAGTAAGCGAACTCCATAGGACGTCGTGATCCACACGCACTTTTTCGTGACAGTCATGAGATCCTGTGTGCTGAGATAATTGCGGAGCGCGGTGAAGAGTTCTTCGTCAGTGGGGTTAGGATTCATGCTCGGTCCGCCGGCGAACGGATTGACTGTCGTCGCCATGGAGAAGGTGGACATCGGCCTTTGGTTCATGCTCATCGTTGGCGCTCCGAGACCCGATTGGGATCCGCCCATCTCGCCGAACTGGCCTACCGCTGGCATCTGAGGAGCACCATACATGCTCCCAGCATACTGCGACATCGCCGGGGCCCCTGGCCCATACATGCTGCCGTACATGCTACCGCCAGTGTGCTGGAAGCCCATCGGTGGCATATGCATCGGATGTCCGCCATAGTCAGAACCAGCAGCAGAGCCGGGGCCGCTAGCGAACGGCATGAACGGAAGCTGCGGCACTCCGCCGTACATTTGCTGGGCGGCTCCGTACTGTGACATGTTGCTGTTGGACCCTTGCTTGCGCAGACGCTCGCTCATATTGGAGACGCCGGTCTTCTGTGCTACGAGGTTCGTGTCGCGGTAATAGTCGCCGGATTGAGAAGACGGATGTAACGGCGATTGCGACCGAGACGCTGGTGGACGCGAACGCGATCGAGAGTTGTAACCCGATTCACCCGAACGGTGCGATACGGTTTCCCAGGTTTCGGCTTCGTACTCTGGAACACAGAGTCAGAGAAAGCATAGTGAGGTTGAATCTTATACACTAACCACTGAACTTCTTGAGAGGGATCATAGACTCGTCATACTTCTCATCGTCATTGAGCACGACTTTCTTGTCCTTGCCCTCGCCAATGACCAGGCGAGTGTTACCCCAACCGAATTCGTCCATGCACCAGAAGGAGTAGACCGGTAGGAAGAAGCTGTAGACCGGATATCTGCGGACGCGTCATGCAATTATGGTGGGTCGAGTAGCAAAACACCTACGAGAGGATATAGACAACCATCCACCCGACGAGCATGAACTCGCGTCTCAATATGAAGACCAGAGCCTGCATTAAAGCATGAGATTGCGATCGGGCTCCATGATATATCATGACGACCGACCTGAAGACCATAGACAGCTGCTATCATGGCTATCGATATGATAGGAAGGGGCGCGGATCCGGTAGCAACGACGACGATGAGATAGATCAACTGCGTAGAGCGGAATCAGCGCGAGCGACGGCATCCAGGGACTAGACTCACGTAGACAACTGTAGCAGGCAAGATCTGCAGATGACAGTGATGAGTCACGCAACGACCTCCCAAAGGGATGCTAACATACCAAAGTACCGAGCAGGTCAAGGAACACGAAGAAACGCATGGAAAAGCAGCAGAATCCGAACAATTCCGGCAGCAGGATCAGTTCGCACAGATTGTGGACGGTCGAGTTGATCCATCGCCGACGTTGAGAAAGCAGCACGCGCCAGGACTCCGGAGCCACAGTGCGAGCGATGGCATCCGGGATGAACTTCGTCTTGAACGTCGGGAAATGCTTCATAAGAAGGGTTGTCAAGAAACGATCCTCGCCGAGCGAGAACAGATTCTTCTTATGCAGCGTATCAACGTTTGGTTCCGAATATTCGTCGATGACGCGATTGGAGATGATGATAGGGCGACCCTTGTCAGCAGTGCGGATGCGGTAGAGGGTAAAACATCCGGGAAGACAGGTAACCGAACCGAACAAACTCTCGAAGGCCTTGCTGAGGTTATGCGAGATGTAGTATTCGTATACCTACCAATGTTGACGTGAGCAGCCTGGCTGACGCCCCTGATGACACAACAGGCTCGTACCTGGATCATGGTCCACCATGAACCCTCCTCGTTCTCCAGACGGGTCTCTCCGCAAATACCAATTATACTCGAGTCGTCGGCTGCTGAGGCTACCAATCGGTTTAAGGACTCCGTCGTGACCGTCTGAATGAAGAGTAAGATGAAGTCCGTAGAACTGAATCACTCGCTTACAGTGTCGGCATCCACGGTAAATATATACTCGTAGAATGCAGGGTCAATCCCTATGACGTTGCGCATTTGATGATAGATCTCCAGCTCCAGCGGTGACATCGGAGAGTCGAAATGCACGCGATTGAGATAGTGCATCAATAGAATTTGACTATCGCGCTTGCCACGATTACCGGGTTTCGATCGCTCGGTAGGTTTCCCGACTTTGACGACTACCATATACCTGATCATATATGTCAGCTACTGCTAAGGCGCGAGTAGCCAATGCTTACGGTACGACATGACCCTCGAATTCATATAGTCCAGAGTAGACCTTCCCGTAGTTGATCGCCTTGGAACCTTCTCCGATGGATTTGAACAGGAGTGGTTCGGGGTCTAGCTTGGGATCGACACCGAGGATGTCCAGAACGATGCGCGGGGTCGTCCGGTCGTTGCCACTACCAATAATGTTGCCATCGCAGATGACGAATAACAGCTTCCTCTTGTCATCGTAGTTCAAGGCAGCCAAGGAATCAATCGTCCGCCGCAATGACTCCTCGCCCTCAGTGTAGCAAGGAATCTGACAAAGAACAAACTTGTCCTGAAGCTCGGGATTTCTCTTTGGGGACAACTGCAGAGCGGCCAAGACTGGAAACCAACGGCGTGAGCATCGCATCACGTGTCTACGCAGTTCGCTCACATTTAACAAGCATGGACGCCATGAGCACGCCGGAGGCTGCTAACAAGAAGTAGTTCTGGACCTGGCATCTGGGACTCTTGCGGAAATCGACTTTGCCGACGTAGAACGCGTTACTGAGGCAATCCATGTTTTTCTGGACGGTGCTCGAATCCTTCGTCTTGAGGACGGCATCCAGTGGTTTCGTGATGTCCTGACCAGCGCGCTCTTTGAACACACCTACGATATCGGAATCTAAGAACTGGTATGTGCTGGAGGCGGAATTGATCGTGACTGTGTTCTCGTAGTCCGTAAGATCAAAAATCTGGTCCTTGTATATCGCCCAGACCCTGAAATAGAGCCGTCAGAGGAAGCAACAAGGTGTTGAAGCTCGCTCACTTAGCAATATCGTCGTCGTTGGCTTCAGCAGCTATCTTTTTCTTTGTGACAACCAATGGACCTTTGCGGAACTGCTTGATTTTGGGAAGGAACCTCGAAGTGTACCAATCCGCATCGTCCAATTTCGTGTTCTGGGCGGACTGTAACGAACCAGAAGTATGCACAGCCTGCGTGATCGTAACGGTGTCGTTCTTCACTGTCAACGTAAGGGTCTGATCGTCGACAAGCCCTGGGCAGGCCAGAGAAAGCGGAACTGGGAAGTATTGCGTCAGGTCCTGTCCCGCAAGCGCGTCGAGCGTGTCTTCGCCATTGCTAGCCTCGCCGCTGATATCACTATGATCGCCGTGGACGAAATCCGAGACGTCGTAGACCCAGCCCTGGATTGAGACCCAGTAATTATTGTCGTCCGTGTGCTCTGCGACCTCGTTGGCAGACCAAGCCTTGTTGAAGTTCGGGCAAAGGAGGCGCCCAAATTCGATAATGTAGAAGATGACGAGAGCGTTGATGAAAAAGATGAGCAGGCAAATCGTGACCTTTTCTCGCCATGCCAGGCGTATGTCCGGACGCTTCATCCTCCCTACAGCGCTGAGCAGGAAGGTCGGTATCCACCACGTGCACCCCCGTACTACCCATAGCCACATCCTGCGCGATCGGCTTGACGGAACAGCCTCTACGGCATTCGGGGCCTGGTTGACGATGAGACCATTACCTTCCTTCGACATGTGGGGTATATCAGGTGGAGTAGCGCCTTCTCCTGCACCCCGATCCTTCTTATCGCCCCATTCGGAGTCCCATGCGCTGCCCTCAGGATCGTCGTAGTGATGTGCACCGGGCGTGATAGGAGTCGATAGTCCGCCTCCGCCGTAGCCACCTTGCATGGAAGGACTATATGAGCCACCGGTCTGATGCTGAGACACGAGATTGTCGGCGCTAGACGCGAACGGATTGTGTACCAAGCTAGGCGCGTTCAGATGAGTGTTCTCGGTGGCATCGTCGGGACCAATGTCATCTTCTTCGGCCCCGTCCATCGACGCAGTGCGATTCTCCTTCTCCGCTGCCCTGACAACATCCTCCACCATCTTCCACGCGGGGTAAGCCAAACAGATCAGACGATGACCAAGGACATAATCTCTGCCCTCATGCCAGCCGTTCGCCTGCGCGCATTGTCGAATGCGCTCTCCCTCGGAGCCACGCATTGTCGGCACATAACGATCGCAAAACGCAGTTTGCTCGAACTCGACGGTATACTCCACTCGACGCCGGGCAACGATGTCAGGAAGAAGAAGAGAGCGAATTTGTGACTTGACGCGGCGCTTGTCAAATGAATTCGGCGATCCTGAATCGTTCGGGCGTATGCAAGACACCGTCCATGAGCGTGTGTTATCCAGGATGCGGAGGAGCTCGGAGATGTTGTAGTTCAATTGGGTGGTAACGGGGTAAACCTTGGTGGGATCAAGGATAGAGTGGTCATCGGCCAGTAATTGGCCTTCACGAGAGCGGAGGGGGGTGGGTTGACGAAGAGGGCGGGAAGAGACCTGAGCCTGAACGATGATGCTCTCATCTTTATAGTGCTTCTCCGCGGCCATACTCGGCCCGGAAAAGAGCTTGACGATGAAGCCTTCGGACGAGGTCCTGAGCAGGGACACAAACGCGGGATCGAGGATATCCGTGTCCTTCTCGATGAACCCGGACACATCGTAAGAACAGCCGCCGGCGTAATGATTGATGCCGAACAGGTTTCTTTCCGATGCGCCGGCCATGCTCGGACTCGCCACGAACGACGCGTGGACGCCGAACTGTGACACGAGCGTCTGCATCATCTCCTCGTCCTTCTTATCACCACTTTTTCCGGACCTGAAGGACGACGATGCCTTGTTCATGACACCCAGCACGCCGGCCGGTTTTTTTACCACCTTTTCGCTGAGTTGAATGCCACGCAATAGCTCGACGCATGCGCCGTTGTCCATCGTCTTCACGTCGGGGAGCGTCACACCGTCGCCCGTGATCAGCCCATTGTAACCAACCGAGTCATCGAACGTCTGCCGAAGCACGTACGAGTGCAGCAGTTCATCCTGGAAGTTGATGCAGAATTCGTCGAAGCCGTTCTGCCCATAGGCAGAGATGAGTGGAGCAGCTCCCGTAAGGGCCATGGAGTTGGTGCCGGTCGGAGCGCGACTCTGGAAACCAGGCTGATCCAAGAGGACGAGCTGGGCGGACGGCGGCAGATCTTGAGGACCAGGAGCGATGCGGTGATTGGCAGTCTCCACGACGAATGCAAAGAGGATAGCATAAAGGTCGCGGACAAGTGAGTCCCGCTGTGCCGCGCTCTGCTCAGCGTTGAGCAAGACTGTATATAGCTCCTTGCGAACGTAACTAGTCTTGTTGGTGAGGATCTGCGCAAGCTCTTCGGAAGGGACGCCGAGCAAGAGCGCAACCTGTTCAAGGATAGGGGTGTTGACGACGTAGGCTGAGACATCGCGGGCGTCACCATCCGCGAACTCGATGTTCCCGAGGAGAAGGATGGCGACAAGGACAGTGAAGATAGCGGAGATGTGCTTTGGCTTGAAGCCAAGTGTCTTCATCGACGCACGGAGCTCATCCATCGCGACGGAATCGTCGCTGAAGGGGCCACCCGGCAAACGGTAGCATCCCGAGGACGCAAGGAGGGCGTAATCGGACGGATCTTCTAGATTGAAGTGATCGCGTTCTTCAGCAGTGGCCCCTGCAAGAAACTGGTAGAAGACATGGTACGTCCGCTCCTCGTGCGTCAAGCGGTTTAGGCGCGACTTGTCGAGGCCGTATGTCAGCACCTTGGCTGAGCCAATGCGGCCGCGCTCGTTGAAGTGGAGCTCCAAGTAGCGGCCATGGCGGGACGCGTTGGGGTTAATGAGTGTCTTCGCGTTACCGAACGAGTCGAGGAGCGTCGTAAGGGCCTTCACCTGTTCGGCGAGCTTGATTTCGCGCTTAGAATGGGCGGACATGCGGAGGATCTGCTCAACGACCAGCCGAGAGCTTGACGATTTTCCAGAACCAGTGATACCTCTGGAAATTTGAGACTCAGCAACAATCACAACGGAATGCAGTAACGTGTCGCACCTGAATACCACCGACTGCGACTCGTTTCTTCTCCTCATCAGCAGATATATACGTGCCGCCAGTTCATACATATGAGGCTGAACCGACGGCGTGCCCGGCAGCTGCAAATTGGTGTCCTTGTAGCAGCGTTCTTCATACTCGCGGGCGCTGACGTCGTTCGTGTTGGCGAGCGCCTTGTAGGGGTTGACAACGACGTAATTAGAGGTCGATATTCTACTGTAGGGCTGGTCGGACCGGAATCGGGCTTGAAGGACGGTAAGTATTGAGTCGTCAGTGGGGTAGACGGTCGCGGAGGCAGATGTCGATACGAGGTCGGTAAGTTCGCCGCTACGCACGGCCGGCGACGTTGTCAACGATGAAGCCATGTCTTGGCTAGCGGCTCACACAAGGAGGGGAGCTAAGGGAGAGGGCGGGCAGCGTCGCCGCCAACGAAGAGGGCGGTGAGCAAGGCAGTGGTTGCCAATGGGTGAATGTGAATGTGAATGTGGCGGAGCCCAGCCCCGAGTTGTGCGTCAGCCACGCCCACGCGAAGGCCGCTACTTTCGTCTTGCCGCCCGGGGATTCTCGTCCGTCTCACAAAAATTGCTCAAGCACCGACCACATTTGTCCAGCAATAAAATCCATTACACTCTACAAAACGCTACTGAAGGGAACATTTGCGGCATCAAGCCAGTGAATACAGATCGCGGCCTCCTCGTTCATGCCTCCTCGCCTGACGATGCTGCGGCTTCGGAGATGACGTCTAAACGCAGCGGTGAGAACAAGACTCACACGGCCACGAGAATGGCTGGCGCATACCTGACGTTCCATTGGTCTTTGCATGAATCGCCTCCTCCCGAGATAGTGCATCTGCCCATCCCTCCTCAAAGATATCCTCGTTCTCGGCCGGCGACGCGATGCTCGCGGCTATCTTTGAACGATTCTTGGATTTGAGCTCGGATTTCCATGCGTCTGTCGCCGCTGCAGCTTGACTATAACGGCATGAGATACATTCATACGCAGAGACGTATCACTAACCTGGGGGCATATGTCCGGGCAAATAACGCAGCCTCGGGTTGCCGGCCGGTTTTTATAAGGAGCTCCGTGCATGCTTTCGCATCGCCCAATTGGAATAGAGTCGCAAACGCAAGGTTATTCTCGCCCTTTTCCTCTGCCTTCTTGGCTAGCTTTGTCAAACCTGCGCGATCGCCGATTGAAAGGTACAGCAGCATGAGCGCGCCTAGGTCATTCGCTTTCTCGAAGCACTCTTTTGCGAGATCAAATCGCCAGATTGTCAAGGCGCGGTCTCCGAGCTGCTTCCACTTGAGTTCAGCTTCTTGTTCGGGGACTGTACGCGTGATCGCGATCGCGGAATCCAGATCGTCAAGCTGTAGTGAAAGATCAAACTTGTGGTCTGGGTCGGTCGTAACCTCAAGAGCAAGCTGTTTGTGACCTACAAGCTCTGGTTTAGTGACCATGTGCGAGACGGAAAAAGCGCTCTCGCACCTCTGCTTTCAAGAAAACGCGCAACGCGATTGCGCTGCTCCTTCGGAATCTGGGGCAATATCTCGGCAGCAGCATCCATATCGCCTCGAAGGACTGCTGTCTGGTACTCGACCAGGCTAAGAGACAGCATGAAGCCGTAGACGTTCATGTTCTTGTCCGCTACATAGACTCGGTTGTGAGCAGGGATGTATCCGAGCAGATACATAGGGCTGGATGAACTTGATGAGGAACGATCGACCGGAAATAAGTCGTGAACTCACGCATCGAATTGTGTTATACTGTCCGATTCCGTCCCAACGACGTAGTTGAGTCGGTTTCCTCCTGTTGTGTAAATGAAGCAATCTCCGATCCATTTTGCTGTCTTGACACTATCAAGTTCATTCAGGATGAGCGGCTCTATCCTCCTGGAAAAAATACTTGCCTCTCGGAAATCTCTGCCACGACATCGAATGCCTCTTCTACACCCTCGTCGCCGACGTCCGCTCCTCCGGAGACAGCATTATCATATGCTTCCCTGTCAAAGCGCAGAACGAAAAAGCCATCTTCCGTCGTAATCGTCACCAAAGTTCCGCTCGTGCTCCAATACACTCCCCGTGCATCGACGTCGATCCGCCTTACTACCTCTCCGCTCTCCCAATCCCAAAACATCACGAAACCCGGGCCGCGTGCCGCCAGCAAGGGTCCGCCATATATGCCCTCAATACTCCAGCTACCGGCACCTTTCATCCCGGCACCCGCACGTTCCTTGAAGTTTTTGTACATCCGGATCTTGGTTTTCCCCTCGAGAACCGCGTACGTATTGCTATCCCCCGCCCATGCGAATCCGCTGCCGGTGCCAAACGATTTATTCCGCCAAGCGAGTGCCGTGTACACTATGTACTCGCCATCGCCAACAACAGCGACGAAGCGACCGTTGGGGGAATGCAGGATCTGGGCAGCGAACAGCTCCGTTGATCCCAGTTCTTTGGCCGATATAGGCACGCGAGAACCCTCTGGAGCGGCGTCCTCTGACAAAGTAGCGAGATTGGCCAAGAGGACTTCCTGGTTGCGGGTATAGATCAGCTTTCCCGATGGGTCCATGCTGTAGGTCGGCTCGTCCCTGCCGAGCTGCGGGTCGTCAGTATATGATATGGAGAATGAAGAACACGCGTACCTTGATGACCACTACACCCTCGTCAAAGCCTACCGCCACCTCGTTCGCATCCTTGCGCAATGCGACGCACCACGCCCGCTCCAAGCCATAGCTGAGTGTGTTCTCCAATCTGTATGTGCCGCTGTTCCATATTTTAACTGTGCCATCTTCGCTCCCGCTAACGATGATCGGTAAATTGGGATGGAACACCGCAAAGGACACGTTGTGCGTGTGACTGGCCATGGTCTGTACGCAGCTCTTGGACAAATAGTCCCAGATTTTGATGGTTTTGTCATCACCCGTGGTGACGAGGTAAGGCTTGTCAGCGCCAGGATAGAACTCCACGAAGTTGGTGCCCTTCTCGTGCGCCTCCATAGTAAAGTTGGCGTGAGGAGAGCCGAGAGACCACATCTTCACAGTGCGGTCTAAACAAGAGGAGGCAAATGTGTTCCCGTCCTTCGGATTGACGGCGATGTTCATGATATAGTGAGTGTGGCCTTCGTAGACCTGTAGGAGTTTAGAGGCGAAAACATATTATTTGTGTCCAGAAGGAGCACACCTGCACGCATTTCCAGTTCTTTTCCCAGTCCCAGGCTTTGATCGTCATGTCATCGCTACCAGTGAGCACAATGCTCGCGGTCGGATGCACGGTCAAGCATCGGATGTAATCTGGGTGGGCTTCGAAGGCGTGAACCTTCTCGTGCGTGTTGTAGTTGAAGACACGCAGCTGAAAGTCGTCCGAGCCGGCCACAAACCAGTTTTTGCGCGCGATGAAACGAACACATCGTACTGGCACCTCGGAAACCTCGAAGGTCTTGAGGAGGGCACCCGTCTCGCGGTTGTAGATGTTGACGGTACCATTGTACAGCCCGGTGAGCAGCCACGGCTCGGTAGGATGGAAGTCAACTCCTTTGACGCGATCCGAGCGCGAAAACAATTTTCGCTAACTCCTCGTCAGAGGCTCGAATTATCTCCGATAACGCTGATGTGCACCTTTACGTCCAGCAACATGGCAGCGTCAAGCGATGGGGCGTTCCGTCGTTAGGCGTGGCGTAGACGTATGGCGAGCTTTTATATTCAGATGTATTCCAGACTGCGCGGATGGTACCACGTTGATTGTCTAGAGGCGCGCCCGAGGACCACGTCGGATGAGGCGTTGTATATGCGAGCGTCAGGCGGTGTAGAGAGCCCACGTCTATGGTAGGGCCACTGATAAAGGCACGTGAGCATTGAATTCTGGGGCACCCTGAACATAACAGTGAACCCCGACCTTCCTCGTTGCCAATCCCTTTGTCCGAGGCTGCGAGTTCACCAACATGTCAAAACGCAGAGTGCAATATTTCTACGATCGTACGTTGTATGGCCTCTCTTTTATGTCTCTGAGCTGAACTACGATCAGCCGATGTTGGCTCCTACGCGTACACTTTTTGGCCCTTTCATCATCCGATGAAACCGCACAGGTAATCAATGGTCATGCACCGTCTTTGCCTTCAAATGTACTCACTGGGGAGGTCAGAATACGAATGGCCCACGAGCTTATAACAGCGTACGACATGCTGCCCAAGATGCACGTTGTCGTGTGTACATCGCTCACTTCTTCGTCGCTGACGTTCACTTAAACCCCCACTTGAAGAAACCACCTCGAAGCACCCCAGAGCAAATGACTAAATTTCATACCGACGAATACGTTCACTTTCTTAGCAGGGTTACACCTGAAACGGCGTCAAGTCTTAGCTACGGTGGTACTCGTTGTACGTGCCCAACCGGTCCGTCGGCATAGCCCCTCCCTCATGTCTGGCAGTCCTTGTAGGAGAAGACAACCCTGCATTTGAAGGCATCTTCGAATTCTGCTCTATATCTGCCGGTGGTTCACTCGGTAACTACCCTCGTATCGTACCGTCCGTTTTCTCACCGCCTGTGCCACAGCCGCCGCCGACACGCTGACCTCCAACGCTGCCGACATCGCTATCAACTGGGCCGGTGGCCTCCATCATGCCAAAAAACGTGAAGCCTCCGGTTTCTGTTACATCAATGATATCGTTCTCGCGATTCTCGATTTGCTTCGCGTATACCCTCGCGTCCTTTACATCGACATCGACTGCCATCACGGCGATGGCGTGGAGGAGGCGTTCTACACAACGGACCGCGTCATGACTTGCAGCTTCCATAAATACGGCGAATACTTCCCCGGCACAGGCACACAGGCAGACAGGGGACGTGGCAAAGGCTTCGGATACGCTGTTAACATACCTCTCAAGGATGGCCTCACGGACGAGTCGTTCCAACGCATCTTTGAGCCAATCATCACCAAAATTCTCGAAGTATACCGCCCTGGCGCCGTTGTCCTACAGTGCGGAGCCGACTCCCTTTCCGGAGACAGGCTTGGCTGTTTCAACCTCTCCATGCAAGGTCACGCCAACTGCGTGCAATTCATGCGCAAGCAAAACATTCCCCTCATCCTCCTTGGCGGTGGCGGCTACACGGTCAAGAACGTGGCACGCGCA